TATACGCAGTATTATTTCATATAGCTCTTTTAACTGTAAAATACGAGAGAAAAATCATTGAGTGTGGCTTTGATAAAAATTTACTGTGGTAATAAATGCCATATGAAATATTAAACCGTGAATATCTGCGAAACCGTTAAAATTTTTGAAATACTCTAAATACAAAAAATTTTCATTTTTTAATTTTCCATCTATTGAAAAAATAATATACAGGGTGTTCCATTTAAAAAAAACCAAAGAAAAATTATTTTATATTTTAGAAAGTTTGGCGTAGAATTTTGTACATCCTGTATCATTTACGATTACCAAATTTATAGCAAAGTAACTACATACCATCTAAAGTAAATACCTAATATAGTTTTGATTTCAGGACAGTTCTTGTATTTTTAATATATTTTTTAAGAAAGACTGAAAAATATATGTTTTATTTATTTATTAATATCTCTGAAACTATCGTAATAAATTTACTCATATCTTAGGATTATGTAAAGTGATCTGGAAGGAAGCCAAAAATGCAATAATACACAGGGTATTTCATTTAAAAAAAAATCATCCCGATCCACTGACGCTTATTTTTGAGACACCCAATAGAAGTTAAAATATTTTCCTGAAATACATCCTAGTACATACTTTAGGTCTGCACTTTTAAACAAAATTCCCAATTTTTTTTATTTTAGGAGCTACAGATGTCCGACGCATTATTGTCACCCTGTATAAACCTATTTACAATAAATAATAGTTTTTAATTAATTTAATGTTAATTAAATATACATATCATAGACTCGTGACGATAATGAAAGCAAAATTAATTTAAATTGTCTATAAAAAAATGTGCAAAACAAATATTATTTAAAAATTTAATTCCCAAGAAATATTTCATAATATTGATATATTACGTAAAATAGCATGTCCCCTTTAAATACACATATGACATATGACTATCAATATGTAAACATCATTATAATAGTATTTTTTTATCTGGCACGAATTGATGGTATGCCGAATATTTATAAACTTAATAAAATGTTTTATGTAATAATAATTACACTAGAAAAATAATTACGTTTTAATCTATGTAATATAAATATTTCTGTAAATTTTCATTCAACATTAATAATAAATATCCAACGGAGACCATTTTGTAATGTATTTTACTAATAAAACAAATCTGCCTAACGGATAAAAAATATTTAACGTTTCAGGAGGAGATATTTCCTCCCTTCATCTGAACCAAAAAAAAAACAGAAAGAACAAAGAAAAAACTATTTAAAAATCTAAATACAACTATTCAAGAACGCTTAAAAAAGATAAAGTGGTATACAGGGTGTCAAAAAAATAGTGTATCTAACTTTATATAGTGAGTGATTCTAGAGATAAAAATGTAACAGAAAATTTCTATGAACAAATATCCTAAAATGAAAATGCTTCCCGATGAAGTTACAGCCATCGAGAGGTTAAATAAAAATAAGATGTTTTGTTTATTTTTTTTTGCCCCAATGGCCAGTGGCTTTTTTGACTCGCACTCAGGGGATCGATTTGGTGTCGAATCAAAATAATTCACCTAAATTTTTAGCTCTTTAACGATGCGTACAACTTATCTTAGATAGGAACTATCGGAAACAAGAAATAGCCATCTTGTCTGATAGTCAAGCAGCGTTAAAAGCGATCAACTCAGTATCAATCAATTCGAAATTGGTCAAAGAATGCATAGAGAAGCTGAATAAATTAGGCAAAGAAAACAAAGTCCTCCTACTCTGGGTGCCTGCTCACCAAGGGATAGAAGGCAATGAAAAAGCAAATAATCTAGCTAGGAAAGGAGCGAACACTCCACTAACTGGACCAGAACCGTTCTGCTTTCCAAGTGGTAACCAACTCAAGGCGGAACTCAAGAACTTGGAAGATTCCATCCGCAACCTGGAATGGAAATCTTGCAACGGTCTAAGACACTCGAAGAAGTTTCTGAGGGCTTATGATCAAGAAAAAATCACAGATCTTCCTGGGTTTAAGTAAGAACAATCTTCGGATTGTCACGGGGTTTTAACAGGACACTGTCTCCTCAATGAACACCTCAGTAGATTGAAACTAAGAAGAAACGGCGAATGCAGATTCTGTGGGGAAGATGGGGAAACACCAGTACACCTCATCACTGAGTGCGCCGAGACGACAACCATTCGTGCCATGAATTTTGGTACGACTGATATTGGAGATGGAGAACTACCTTCTATAAAACCGTCCCAGATACTGGTTTTTGTCAAAGCCCTGGGACTGTATGATGAGTTATGACTCAAGAAAGGGGGACACAATGGATCTGTAAGGTCGCAGTGATTAACCCCCCTCCCACTCATTCTAAATTCTAAAAAAATTCTAGCTCTTTAACTCAAACGGTTTTCAAGATTTTCAAAAAAACTGTTTTTCCAATTTTATTTTTTATAGTAAAATTCAAAATTAATTAATGATGATTTTTTTTCTAATTCTTAGAAGTCTAAGACATGAAAAAATAATATGATAATGATTCTTAAACGAAAAGCCGATTTTTAACGGAGGAAAGAAAATTAAAATCTTCATTTTTTTAACCTTTGTGAAATATGTCACCCACTAAAAATCGTCAGAAAGTGTCTTTTATACTCCTTTACGCTCAGGAATTTTTTAGAATTTTTTAGAATTTTTTGAAGTGGTGGAACAATATGAAAAAAATTAAAAACTCATTTTTTCTAAAATTTTCTGTTTTAACTAACTTATATTTTTGTTTAGTTTAAAATAAATAAAGTTTATTATAAAAAAATGAGCTCGAGAAGATTTTAGAAAAAAAAATGTTTACTATAGTAAAATACCATTGACAAATTAGTCTCAGTTGGATCAAAGCAGTGGTATTTACAATAAAAAATACTTTTTTAATTTGTAGATTTTCTCTTGGTGGCGAAAAACCCAGAAGTCTTTTCAAGAAATGAACTCGCGACAAAGGTACAGTCATTATTAACTCTGATTTATTTTAATATAATAAATGACATTTTTTAAACGGTAAATTTATTTAATGACAGAAATATTAAAAAAAATCTATTACCTGCCATGGTTTCGTTAAACACTTCTTTTCAAAAAATCCAAAACAATAACACTTGAAAATATTTTTAAAAAAATTAATTAAACTTGAATGAATCAAAACTACATCTTAGACAAAGATGACGAAAAAAATAGCGTCACTTGGCACAAGGGTTATCCGTTCTTCTACGAATCCACGATAATACAGAAAGCACAGAGAGCTAGCTACAAATACATCTATGCTCTTATTTTGCAATTAAGATAAGAAAGACTGGAGTAATTTGGGAGATTTCTAAACGTAGCCCGGTTTAAGCATCAATTTTCGGCATTGTTACACTTAATTGGACCGATTCTGCTTGGTTTAAAGGTCTAGCAATCGACTGGCACACTAAAAGCACAATATTTGCAGTTTTTGAACGATGTTGTTTGGATATAAACAAATAATTATTGTGCTTAATCGTTTTAAACGTTGTCTGTTATCGGTCGATGATGGATTTCCATTGAGCGATATCAAAATCAAATAAATATTACAAATTAATTACTGTTTATCATTTATTTGTTGTAAGTAAAATTTTAACCGGAGAAAATGAAGAGGCAAAAATTTATGCTAATTTGTTTTGTTTACAGGGTGATGCAAATTTTTAATAATTAGAAAATAATACGGTGTCGTTAATTATTCATTAATATACAGGGTGATTTTTTGCTTAAATTTTGATACCCATTGGATTTTTCTGGAGTTTTCTTTGTTGTAAATTTAATCTAGTACCTATGTTCCCATATTATCAAGATGTATTATGTTTTTTAACTAAAAATTAAAATAAAACAAAAAAAAATACAACATTTTCAATTTTTTTGGCGATAAAACTTTATAGTCGTGTTCCTGGGATCGAAATATACCACCCCTAAAAATATTTGCACTAAGATTCACCCTGTATAATACAAAAAAAGAGAGCGTGCTAATTCGAACCCTTGAAAAAAATATAAATTCTAAATTTAGGTCGCCCCTGTATATACCAAGCAACAGTTTGTATATCAAGTTTTGAAATGAACCATTTAAAATACCGTATGATCGAATAAAAACGGCGTCAGCGATGGCTATGAAATGAAGATCGCTGTCATTTTATATGTAAAATTATATGGGAAATGTCATCGACCGTCATTTCCAAGCCAACTGGACGCCATTTTTTTTCGATCATACGGTACATGAATAACTTGCAATTTTACTATAAAATTCTGTATAATATTTAAGAAAAGCACAATAAACTTATTAAAAAAAGCATTAAATACTAAAAAATTAAAGTATCTTTAAAATAAGTGTCTATACACATTATATTTTGACAAATAATTAAATATAGAATTAAAAAAAAATCTAATTATTTTTAAAAATTATGGTTAATAGTACATTTTTTATATAATAGATGGCTCTGTATAAACACTGTCTTGGATCAAAAAATTGCAGATTTCTTTAAATTAAAATTAAGTACTTTGACAATTGTCTCATAGATGACAGTAACAGTAAAAAAAATTACAGTATTCTTTTATATTTACATTGAACTAGTGTCTATTAGATGTCAGCACGTGTCATATTTTTTACAGATTTCAATAATTAGAAAGGTTAATAATTCTCTAATAGATGTATATACATGTTATGAAAAAGATAACTACATTTTTCTAATTTGACTATTGACAAAGAGATGGCGTTCTACAATTTTTTTAGTACGAGAATTTGCCACAAATGCTAAATGGCGCTAAAAACAGTTTCTGGCGGGATAATAAAAATTCAAACGAAAAATACTATTTCTTTAACCAAAATATAATTTTTAAAGACTATTGAATAAAAAAGTACAGATTATGAAGCAAGAGTCTTTTAGAAAATTGATTAACTAAATATAAGTGAATTCTATTAACAAGTTCGAGTATATATCGATGATTTTTCACGAATACATCTCTATTAATTTTCGTAACCTACCTTTTTTAACCTCGAAAACTTGTTTACAAAATTAAAAACGCCAATTCTTGAAAGAAAATTAATTTTAAAATGAACAATGGCCCTCGTTTACAAACTATTGGACACTATCAAGCTCACCGGACATCCCCAAACCAACTTTGCCTGCGGCATGTCAGAAGATGACCAAATTTTCATTTTATCTGAAGCCGGAGTTTACATCGTAACTTTAAAACCGAATTTAAATAGCAACTTCGCACAATTCTCCTGCAAAAAGTCCTTCTTTAAATGCTCCGATTATTCGTTATGCGACAACGTCGATTTGAATTTTAACGATTTCTTCTACGAACTTCCAAGAGAGATGCTTTATGAAAGTATCGCCCGTATAGAATTATCAGCAAATTTAATAAGGTCTACCCCTGTCGAGCCCCATGTAACTGAAGCACACTGGTCTGGTTTAAGTATTTCAGGCGAACCGAATTGTTTTCTTGGCATTCTAACAAATTTATACAGTTTAGAAATATACTTACGAACAGTTAACGAAACTAACTTAACCGAGTACTGTGTGGTTTTGAATCTAACCAAAGAATTAATAGAAATAAGAAGAGGACATTTTGTTTACAGCAATAAACTGCCCCCAATACAGAAATATAATGAATTTAAGAAAAGGATTGAGTTTATAGCTCCTATAGGTAAAAATAACTAATAGTAAATTTACTTTTCTTATACTTTCTAATGTTTTTATGCAGCGTTCTGTTGGAGTCACAGTTTTTTATCTAATTCAAAGTCATGCAGTATAATATTTATCGCTCATTTGCATGGATTTGTGAGCATTTTGAGGATTTTTAATTTAGAACATGATGAAACAGTGGCTAAATATGAATTTTTGGGTCGATTTGCTACAAATTTAGGAGATATATCAACTCTATACTGGCACCAAACTAGTGCTTATGGTAAGAACTTTAAAATTAAGTTTTAAAACCTTAAAAAAAGTTATTTTAGATGGAGCACTATGCTTAGGTGATAGAGATGGTAAAGTATCGATTGTTCATGTCGCAGACATAGATAAAAATGACTGTATATTTGAGAATGAAGTTGAATTTTGCAAAGAAAAGGATCACAGTGTAGATAAAATAACTGTTATGAATTTCGAAGGGTATACGGTCTTGATAGCTGTAAAACAATGCTATTTATTTTTTTATGCGTTGAATGAGAATGGGAAACTCATAGATGTAGCTGTACATAATGTAAATAACTTATATATTACAGGTAAAAAAAAGTATATTAATGAAAATGTATGAAATATGTCTATTAATGGTTTTAGGATTGTCTCATAGGAAAAATAAATTGAAGGTACTGACTTTTACAGGCATTTTCAAGCATTTAACTATAAGTGTACATTTTAACAAAATTTATGTTGTTGACAAAGAGATTCAAATGAAACTGGATACCGCTGGTAAGTGTGTTTAAACTTGATTTAAGTATTATAAAGTGTTTAAAATTATCAAAAAAAACCTGAAAGGGTTCTTTTTTGAAATACTGTGATACCTATTGTAAAGTAGTAATTATTATTCTGTGATACCTATTGTAAAGTAGTTTAAACTTGATTTAAGTATTATAAAGTGTTTAAAATTATCAAAAAAAACCTGAAAGGGTTCTTTTTTGAAATACTGTGATACCTATTGTAAAGTAGTTATTATTCCTTTTAAGGTTTTAGGACTCATGGCTTTATTGAATCAAAAAATAACGTTATAACTGGAGTTCTCCTGAGTCCATACAGGTTTTCAAATTCAATAGATTCAAAACAGCCAGATAGTTTCCATATTTTCCAGAATACACAACTGAATCCTCTAAAATTACTCTGGGAAAATGAGAGTGAATCCTTAACCAATCATTGGGATTGTTTAGAAACACTTAGGTAAGTCTTTGAAGAATATATAGTTGTTCTCGCGCAAATATATTTCTACTTGCTAAAACAATCTGTACAAGTAACAGTAGGTATTTTAATCTCTAGAAATCTTACGCGAGAAGAACTATACATAAATAAAATAAAAATAATTGATATATTATCAAATTCTAGGATGGTTTGTTTAAAAGAACAAAGGTTTCCCTGGTTAGGCATAGACCCAGATCTCAACTATGACACTTTATCACTTCACAAACTCAAAACTTTGAGACTGATCGCTCAAATGTCTGAAACGGTTTTTTCAGTGGTCAAGGAAGTTAGAAGTTATGATATTAAACCATACATTTTAATACATTATTTGGTTGATATTAAACTGATTACTAAAAGACTAAATAAATTGTTTAGTCAGATGAATTCGGGAAAAAAACTCAGTGATTTTCAGATGAGAAGCATTGAACTACAGGTCAGTAATAAATATATTGGTGTTAAATTTATTTCATATGTTTTTTTAGTTGTTCTTCTTGAAGGAAACTGTACTAAATGGGATATTAGCCAAAGCTGAGATAGGTGAAAATTTTATAAAGGATATATCACATGTTTTGAGTATAGGCAATGAGATAGAGTTTCCTGATATGGTGCCATGCCAGTTTTGTGGTGAAAAGGTAAGCTTTATGTTATATAACTATATTATTTCTATGTTGTGATGCGTACCATCAGTTTTACAAGTGTATGCATACACATTACTACTACATTTTACTTTTTTTTTCATAGTATATAAGTAAAATTTTCGAATCCTACTTATCGCCAAATATATCATTTTATGGCCAAATAATCCTAGATTTTATCGCCTATAACATAAGCATGGTAAAATAATCCTACATTTTATGACAGAATGGTACATTTTATCGCCTAATACAGCATTTTATGACCAAATCATCCTACATTTAATCGTAGAATTCTACTTTTTATCGCCAAAATACACCATTTTATGTATTTGGCCATAAAATGCTGTATTTTGCATAATACAGCATTTTTTGTACTAATACAGCATTTTATGGTGAAATAATCCTACACTTTATCGCCAAATGCAGCATTTTATAAACAAATGATCCTACATTTTATCGCTGAATCCTACATTTTATACCCGAATCCTACATTTTATCGCCTAATACATTAGCATGGTAAATAATGGTGAATGTATGGCAGAATTGTACATTTTATCGCATAATACAGAATTATATGGCCAAATAATCCTACATTTTATCGCAAAATTGTACATTTTATCGCCGAATACAGCAATTTATGACCAAATAATCCTACATTTCGTCGCAACATTCTAATTTTCATCGCCAAATACAGCATTTTATGGTCAAATAATCCAAAATTTTAACGCCGAATCACTGCGACATTATTTGAGAGGTTGTACTAGGCAAATACACTCAAGATGGTTTGCTACTGTCTTCCTTGAGGTGACAACCCGATAGTCGTTTTAATTAGATAAATGTTGATACTTAAATAAATAAAGAAGACAGACAGGGCCAAGGCCTGCCTTTTATCGCCAAATCCTACATTCTATCGCCAAATCCTACATGCTATCGCCCAATCCTACATTCTATCGCCGAATCCTACATTATATCGCCGAATCCAACCTTCTACCGACGAATCCAACATTCTATCGCCAAATCCTACATTCTATCGCCGAATCCTACATGCTATCGCCGAATACTACATTCTATCGCCGAACCCAACATTCTATCACCGAATCGTACATTTTATCGCCAAATCCTACATGATATCGCCCAATCCTACATTCTATCGCTCAATCCAACATTCTATCGCAGAATCGTACATTTTATCGCCGAATCGTACATTTTATCGCCGAATCGTACATTTTATCGCCAAATCTTACATCTTATCGCCTAATACATCAGCATGGTAAAATAATCCTACCTTTTATGGTAGAATTGTACACTTTATCACCTAATACAGCATTTTATGGCCAAATAATCCTACATTCTATCGCCAAATCCTACATTTTATTGCCAAATTCTATTTTTTTGTTTAACGAATATATCTTCATGAATCTTTTTTCTATCAAAACGAACAATTTTAGTTAATAGGTCCTACATGCGTTCCACCTCACGCTGACTCCCGATGTTGCTTTACAATGCACCAAATTTTCGTGACGCCCACTCACAGATGCAACAACTGTGACTCTGTGGTTCACAAAGAGGCCCTCCTAGAATTAACGCGGCCCTTGTGTCCTTATTGTGACATACCCCTGCAAAAAATTACTCTAGCTAGCCCTATGAAGAAGTGTATCGAAGAACTGGAGGAAACTTTTGAGGTTAGGTCAGAGTGTATGTCCGATTGTATGAAGGAAAAGTTAGAATTAGAGGATATAGAGGAGAATGACGTTGAATTATTGGTGGTTAGTGATGATGAAGAGGAAACCGTGGAGGACGCTTTGAAGGAAATGTATTTTAGAGTGTCTAAGTTAAATTTTGAAAATGATGAAAATGATACTATTAAATCTGAGAATTCGAAGACATAGATTATACCAATCCAATACAATGGTTAGTTCAATATGTGATATTTTGTTTTAACGTTTTTTTTTGTAAAATAAAATAACATAGGATATAAATAAAACCCATATTTTAGTATATTTTTTCTTTAATTTTATTATTTAATAAATACAACACAAAAATAATAATAAAAAAGGACTAAAAATATAATGGCAGTCTTGTTTATAACGTGGGTCAAGCCCAACGCGCGAATTTTTTTTTGAAATGTAATATACAGGGTATTTTTTCTTCCTAAATGCGATACAAATCAACTATAGTCCGTCCAGTGAGAGAATATTTGATTTTGATAAATGTCACTGAAAAAATTACAGGTAAAAAAATTAAATATGATAAACAATTATTAGTGTCATCTTTCACTGGATATACTATACATGGTAAGAGACGTAATTAAGAGGAAATTTGTAAATATACAGCATATTTCATAGAGACAAAATAATAATGTAAAAAAACTATAAAGTAGCCTCAATTTTAAATCAATTTTATAACAAAAATTAAGACGTTTTATAACAATAAACAATTTGAAAGATCTTTTTAAATATAATTTCTTTAATCATATATAAATCAGTAGATTTAAAATATTTTGGCCTCTATGTACATATTATTTCGTTTATAACTAGTCTTATCTATAGTTCTTATCGTGTAACTTTTCTTAATATGACAGAAAACAATCTGTTAATGCAATCAAAATTTGTATTTTTAATTTTAATTATTTAAGTAACTTAATACCGTATGATCGAAAAAAAAACGGCGTCCAGTTGGCTGGGAAATGACGATCGATGACATTTCCCATATAAAATGGCAGCGATCTTCATTTCGTAGCCATCGCTGACGCCGTTTTCTTTTCGATCATACGGTAAAAACTAAATGCCATACTAGAAGCTCTACTAACCTGTGGACGTAGTTTTTTAATGTTTTCAAAACGTAAAAACCTACCCCACAAAAATAGAGTTTTTTACACGTAAAAAAACTATTTTTTACACGTAAAAAATAGATTTTAACGCATGAAAATCTAGAATTTTTAAACGTAAATGGTTTTTAAACATAATAAACAAGATTTTTACACCTAAAAAATTTGAATTTTTACAACTAAAGAACTAGATTTTTTTACACGTAGAAAATAGACCTTTCACGCTAAATAGCTTTTTTACACGTAGTAAACTGGCTTATATGATAAGGTTAGTAACGCGAAAAGAACTATATATTACCAGTATTCTTTAAAATCTATGATGTCAAGTTAGTGTCAAAAAAATATACAGGGTGGTCCGAACTGTATTCCGGATGCTTTGGCAGCGTATTCTGCAGATAAAAATGAGTAATAAAGTTCGTATAAATGTATGTCCTAAAATGCTTAGTTTCGGACATACAGGGTGTAGAAGTTTCATTTTTATTTCGATTTTTTCCCTATTAGAAACTATTTAGTCAACATGTTTAATTTATGTCAATGATGACAGGTATTGAAAATTTTGAAAAGAGACATTTTTTATTTAAAAAAAGTCGTAAATGTATATTTTTTTTTACTCAGTAATTTTATACAGGCATGGACGAAAAGTTATTACTCTTCAAACCAGTTAAAAAATATGTAGGTGGCGCCCTCTACAAGAATGAGTCATATTGACATGAAAATCAAATTTCCCATGTCAAAAAACTCCCAGACACCAATTTTCATCCAAATATTGACGTTACTTCATAAATTATTTGGAAAAAATCGAAATAAAAATGGAACTTCCACACCCTGTATCTCCGAAATTAAGCATTTTAGGACATACATTTATACGACCTTTTTTACTTATTTTAATCTGCAGAATATGCTGCCGAAGTTTTCGGAATACAGTTTGAAATTCAAATATATTTTCATAGAAAAAAATCAACATTACCTAAAGATTTTTGATTTTTTTTTTGTTCACCGTGTTCACAACTACGCCGGTTGTTCCATCTTGTGTTCAATCAGTTCAATCTCTTCTTTAAATCCATTCTCGGTTTTCTTGAGATGTTTTTTCGCGTGAGACAACATGGTGGATCTGGTAACGAAGGTTTTCCCGCAGGTTTCGCAGGGATAGGGCCGTTCACCGGTGTGATGTCGCCTGTGATTGGCCATGGGAGTGAATTGCGTGAAGGTCTTGCCACAAACGTCACACCTGATCGGCAAAAAAGAAAAAAAAACACTTTTTCTTATTTGAATTCTACAAAATATCTTATCTATACAGAAGCAAATATATTCATCACAAAATAAGTTAAGTATATTGTCAATTTTACAATTTGTAGACAAATGTAAAGTAAACAAACAAAAGAGAATACAAAACAAGTATACAAATTACATTGTCAGTCTTAGTGTTTAAAATAAACATGTATAAATGTTTACAATGTCAAAGAATAAAAAAATAAAAATAAGATTCAAAAATATTTAGTAAGTTTATAGAAAATATAGTAATAGCAAATATTAGACCAGTGTTGACAAGATCGAATTCGACTATCAAAATATAAATCATTTACGGCGTAGAAAGCCTTGTCTAGTAAATAAGATTTCAATGCTTTGCGAAAAGAAGAAAATTATATTATGGATTTGATTTCAAATGGCAGGTGATTGTGCATTTTTTTTCAAGTTGTATAATATTGAACTTTTAACTAACTCTGAGCGTGGGGTAGGTAGATAAAGATCTTGCTCCGCGTTCCTGAGTGGATAAGTGTGAGATGGCCTTTCTTGAGAACCAGATACATGCTTACGTATTAGGCAAACGGATTCAAATATAAATAAGGAAGGAAGAGTTAATATTTTTAATTTTTTAAAAAAGTCCTGGCAATGAGTTCTGCTGTTTAGTCCCAGTGAATATCGAACAGCTCTCTTTTGGAGCTTGAAAATGCGGCCAAATTGAGTCGCACAACACGTACACCAGAATGGAAGGGCATATCTGAGGTGCGACTCAAAAGGTGCATAATATAATTTATTACAGCTGTAGTAAAATGAGTAACCAATTGTGAAAATTAAAGATCCAGCCCTATATGCAACATTATAGCCTTATATGAATATATAGTTTTCTGTGATTGTTTTATGATTAAATAATTACCCGTAAGGCCTTTCTCCAGTGTGCGATCTCCTATGACATTTCAACGCATCCCTTCTAGCAAAAGCCTTGCCACACATCTCGCAAACGTACGATTTTTCGCCTGTGTGCATTGTGAGGTGAATTTTCAGATCGACCCTCGTTAAAAAACCCTTTCCACAAACCTATTTAAAAACAAGAATTAATAAAAAAATATTTACACTTTTTTTTATATAGATTACCTCACACATGAACGGTTTTTCACCGGTGTGTATCCTAGAGTGAGTCTGTAGGTAACTCTTTGACACAAACCTTTTCTGGCATATTTTACAGGAATATTTCCTATTATCCACTCCTGTATGTGTTTTTTCGTGTGCCCTACATAAAGCTAAACAAAAAAAATTGAAGAATATTTATCTAGATTTTAATAATAATTTTTACCTTTGGTAATGAACCCTCTACCACAAATTCCACATAGATACGGTTTAACTCCTAAATGCCTGTTGGTATGGTCTAGTAGAGACTGTTTTGTTTTGAAGTTTTGACCGCAAGTAGTGCAGGGATACGGTTTTAAATCTGAATGAACCTAAAAAATAAATAAAAAAATAATTATTGAAATAAACAATAATATAAAAGCTTATAGAAGGAAAACAACAATATAAATACACAGTATTTGGTATCTATTACTTACCCTCTGATGTACCATAAGATAACTTTTACACTGAAACCCTTTTCCACAAGTTGGACACGAAAAATCATATTGACCTAAAAGAAATATAGATTTTTTTAAATTACAACCAACTTAACCTCCTTAATTTTTTTGTATTCAAAGATAGAATAAAATTAATAATAAAAAAAACATACCAGTGTGTTTAGCTTCGTGTTGTGCCAACCCTATTTTCGACCTGAAGGCTTTTTCACAGCTTTTACACTTGAACGGTCTTTCCCCTGTATGTTTCTTCATGTGTTGTGACAGTTTGTAATTTGTGGAGTAGCATTTTCCGCACTGTTCACATACTTTGCCGATTTTCTTGATTTTAGGCATGTCGTTTTCGGGTAATTCTGGCACGTACGGGACGTCCAGGCTATTGCTGTCCTCATTAGGCCAACTAAATACCAAGAAAAATATTTGAAAATGTTTTCTAGATTGTTGGAGGCATAATTATAAGAACTGTTGAAAATATTAAAATAAAAAAACATCTAACTTAAATATTTTATTCCTATCAAACATCGTTTTCAACAAAAAAGCGACGATGCCAAATTTCTGCGGATTGCGTTAGATCTACGGCTTGTGTTTGTAAACGAGGTATGTTATTATTGTTATTAATGTTTTTTGGTACCTATAGAAAATGCATATTAAATATATGTGTAGGTCATTTTAGTTAAAATACATAGATTATACCTTTTAAATTATTTTTAATTTTCTAGTTAAATTAAATTAAATTTTATTAGGGAAGTAACTCTGACAACGCTGCTTCAGGGACACTGGTTTTAATAACGAATAGTAAAAGTTTGATGGATTCATTCAAGTTATGTTTAACAGTGTTGCCGCGGGATGCTTGCGAACTTTTGTGTTTTTCAAGGAATGTTTAGTTTATGTCAGTGCTTAGTTTGCAAAAAGGTGGACTATTCTAGTCTCAAATTGATATTTCGGCGGTAAGTTACGTTACGTATTTTTTAGTTTTAACAGTGGTGTACCTAATTTAAGTTTTAAGTAGGTTATTACATAAAAACATTATTAAAAATAAAATTATAGCTATATGATTTTTATGAACTTCACATCTCGAATAATAATTATCTATTATACATATTATTGCAAAATTTAAATTAAAATGACTCTTTATGATTGTTGATAAAAAAAACCTGCACGCCGCTGTAGACCGAAAAGACACAAATGCACACAAAACTCAACAGCGTTGTCATATTTATGCACCCATCTCTTTTTAACTTATATAAAAGTGTAAAAGCATATATGATTATAAACAGGTGGTGTTTTTTTTACTAAAAAAAATTGATATATGTTTTAAGTTTAGCCCAAATAAATGTTTTCTGAGGCTCATTCAGACTTGTTTGTGTAAGGATTACATTAAGGGTTAATATTATTCTTGAAAAATGTTTGTTTTTTATGTGTTGGCTCAGAATCTGGTCACTTTATACACAAATTTTATAAATAAACAATTAAAATATAAATAAAAAAACATTCTAACCTTTTAACCCTATCCAAGTACACTTCATCGGCATTTTCTTCAAGGACATTATCTGCATCATTACTTTTCGAATTGTCTTCATTACTAGAGCTCACTCTACAGTTTTCTTCGATTTTTCTAGTAACCTCTATGTCCTGCTCCTGTACTAAACCATATTTGAAGAGATGGCTTTGACAGTGAACCTCCCAAGCAGCTCTATTAGCATAAGACTTCCCACAAATGTTACAAGAGTAGAAATCTGCAGGCAAATTGTCTAAATCTGTAAAAAAAATTAAAGTAAAACCTTTCAATAAAAAGGTAAAGAAAATAGTATAACGCTATCCCTGTACTATCCATATTTTTTTCAGCAGCGTATCTGATTTTTTTGTTATTAAATAATTGTTATAACATAATAAATATATTTTTTTAAGGGTTAAACAATATATTACCTTGATGATGATGGTCAATAGCGTCACTATCCAGCACATTACTGACTTCCTGATCAGCTAAAATATTAGTGTTACTATCACTTTCATCTTGCTGGTGCAGATGATCTATTTGACTATCGCTAGAGTAGGATATTATCCTGTTTAAGTGTGTATCAACTTCAACACCTACAAATTCAGAGAATAAATAAATATTACAAATTTCTAAAACACTTTAAATATAGTGAAAACAATAAAAATTGGTGTACCCGTCATCAAAATATTTGACGTACGCACGTCGCAATGTTGCCACGGCTATTTTTTTAGATGTAAGGTTTCGACATCTTTGATGACGTGGACGTCAATTTTTATTGGTCCCTCTATACATACCTAAACTATTGTCACTTAAATTTGAGTCGACTACTATATTTTTGGAATTTGAATAATCCAACGTATCTTCATCTTTAGAATAGTCATTTTCTTGCCCTTGTGACATGTGCTTCATCTATATCACAAATATTTAATCTTAATAAATTAATAAGTCTTTTTTTTATGAATCTTACATTATCAGTGTATATGTTGTTTGGTCCAGCCATCGAGAGATGGTTTATAAATTTAAAATCTTGATGGATCCTGAATTGTGAATCGTTCAACAGTTGTTGCTGCATCAAACTTAAATTTACCTCGTTGAAACGCTGATCGTTATGGGTCGGCATTACAGATAAGTTTTCCTGGCCACTGTGTATACTTTGGTTTGATAAATCTTGTCCTGGAATTATACATTTTTAAAATTTGTAAAAAAAATCTCAAGGAGAAGTATAGTTTGTATTGAAATGAAATTTTGGATTTTTTAAAAATATATCTAGTTCTACAGGGTGTCCCCAAAAAAAATTAAACTTGAAAGTTGTGTTTTTTGTACTGAAACACCCTATATATTAATTGATTTTCGGATTCTAAAAAAAAATAAAGGTGAGTTTCATTAGAGAAGCATATGACTAAAATGTAAGGTTTTTGACATATATTTAACATTTTCTAAAAATGAAGAAGAAATTTTAAATTTCAATAAAAGCTACCTAAGTTGGAATTTACCCAGTATAGTTTAATTTGTAGTTAAAATATTAATTGCGCTTTAAATTAAATTAAAACTTCACCAGAAAGTTTATACAGGGTGATACAAAATTAATATTGAACATTAGCCACTTTTAAAAACAAGTTACTGCTTTATTTTAAATGGAACATCCAGTATAGTATTCCGGTATTCAATGGAGAATTTATGTCTCCTCAAAATGCTACAATATGATCGAAAAAAAAACGGCGTCAGCGATGGCTATGAAATAAAGACCGCTGTCACTTTATATGTAAAATAATGTGGGGAATGTCACTGATGTTCATTTCCAAGCCAACTGGACAACGTTTTTTTTTTCAATCATACGGTATTGTCTACTCCTCAGACAAAGATTTTCTATTATATGATATTTTTTTTATATGGTATTTTCATTTTTATGATTTAGGGTTAGTAGATCCTTATTATTTGATAAAATCTATGTAGGTGTCTGTGATATACCTAATATTACCTCAATATAGCTGTCAAAATAATGCATTAGTGTTTTTCTTTCATAGAATTCAAAAATCAATTAATACATAGGGTGTTCCATTACAAAAACACAACTGATTAAATAATAAGTACCTATCTACTGAGATTAAATCATAAAAACTAAAATATCTAGGAAAATCTTTGTCTGGGGGGTAGGCAACCTTAATAGTATTTTGAAGAGATATGAATTCTCCATTGAATATCGGAATAATATACTGGGTGTTCCATTTAAAATAAAGGAGTAACTTGCTTTTAGAAGTGGCCAATGTTTAATATTAATTTTGTCTCACCCTGTATAATTTTTCAGGGCCATATTTTAATTTGGTTGAACCTTTGGGTTGAACATACAATGGTTATTTTAACTAAATATCAGATTATACAGGGCAAATTACAATTTATTTAGCTGTTATTGAAATTTAAAATTTATACTTTGCTTTCACAAAATGTGAAATATGCCATAAACCTTAAATTTTAGTCTTATGCTTCTCTAATGAAACTCGACCTTTATTTTTTTCTAGAAATCAATAAATATATAGGGTATTCCATTATAAAAAACACAACTTTGGTATGAAACTTTTTTGGAGGGACATCCAGTAAAACCCTATATATTTAAAAATTGTCCAAATTAATCTACATATACTCACAAAATTTCATTTCAATACAAACTATCGTTCTCCTTGGAAGCCCTGCATTGTATATACATATGTAAAAGAAACAATTATTTACCTGGTAAATCGTGATTGTTTAATTCTAAATTCTCTAAAGGATGAGCAGCATTTAAATCGTGGTGGCTATGCAAAATAATAGCATAATTCTCAGCATTCTCTCTATGTCCCAACTGAGAAATATCTATGTTAGGAACGTCTTGTAAACTGTCTGTTAGTATTTGGTGATGAGGAACTACAAAAAAAACTCAAAATCGACCAAATTCAATGAGGTATATCTTGAAATTACTTTGAACAATTAGTCCGTTAGAGTCTATTGAAACCACGCACTGTTCTTGAGGACTTTGGCTAGTTTCATGGACAGTGTCTTTAAACTGCTTATACAGTTCAACTAGGATTTGTTCAGTCCTGAACGATTTGTCCTTAAAGTCCCAGAACATCTCTAATTTGTACAAACAATTTTCGCAAATGATTTTCGGCAATTCGTCCTGCTGGTGTACCTTTAAATCAGGAAAGAATTTGTTTATTTATATCTAAAAATGGTGAATAAGGTTTTAAGCTACCTGAATTTGAAGACAATTATCTATTTTTTTACTTAATTGTCTTATAGGGCCGTCCCCCTCGAAAATATGCATGGAGAGCATTAGTTCTGTTTTCGTGGCGCATAAACGGCACAATTCGTGAAATTTTGAGTTTTGCAAAAGGGAACTTGCGGCCATTATTAAAAACTTTAATTATTTTATTCTAGTCTTCCCGTAATACCCATCCAGCCCTAATCACATAATAAGAAATACTAATTTTATCACTAGAAAATATCGTTTTAAATTTAAATAAATGTTTAAGTTTAGTTTATAAACAAAATTTATTATGAAAAATATATTTCTTTACTGCCATTCAGTCATTAAATGACAAGTGACAGATTTGACAAGAATCACAGATGACAATGACAAGAATGTCATTTTGTATTTATTATTTATTTAGATAGTTAGGCAACGTAAACAGAGACCTAAAATACAATCTTCTAAATTGTTTTTATTTATTTTAAATTTTATTTAGAGTATTATAAAATTAAATTTATACAAAACACAAATGTCTACATATGGACGAAGATGACGAAGAAATTGTTGAAGGCACTCCTGTCAAACACAGAAGGAAAAGACGAAAAAAATCGAAAAAGTTGAAAGAAAACGAAGATTTATGTGATAGGTTTTCAAACTTATCCTTTGAGAATGTGCCTCAAGGAAATAGTTTATCTTCTGCACTATCAAATGTTCAAAATATAAACAATGGCCAGTTTAATTCATATAAATTAGATGAAAATGTACCTACACCAATAAAAACTGAACAAGTACAGTACCAGAGCACACCAAAACAATCCAAAAAGTTAAATGAAATTAATTCAGAAGATTTATGTGATAAGTTTGCAAAAACATCCTCTGTATTATCAAATGCTCAAAACATAAACAAAGACCAGTTTAAATCATATAAATTAGAGGAAAATATACCTGTACTAGAAAATGAAGAAGTACAGTCATCAAATTATTGTGGTATAGCTGATCCTTTATATACTATTCCTAGAAACTGTTATACTCACTATGTGTTCTATTTAATCGAAGAAATTCTGAAATATAGTCCAAACAAGTTCCCAAGAAACTGCCATGTACATCTAATAGGAACTTATCAATATTGTAGCAGTTTAAATGAACATTTTCTATTAAGTTTTGAAGTGGTTTATGGGCAAAACAGCAAAATTAAGTTGGATTTTGATCAAGTAGAAACAATTCCAATTGAAGATGATCAAGTTCTCATATTTGGTACCTTAAACTTTGATCAAAGCGTTCATTTTATCCAAGTACATTTTTATCAATCAAATACAGTGAATAATCACAAAAATTATTCGGATCACATGAGACGCTTGAGAGATATCATTCCCTTGGAGAACACAGAAATTATTTCAGTATCAGATAAAGAATTATCATTTGGAAATGAAACATGTCCTAATAATACACCTATGTTGACTGATAATGTTACTGATTCAATGTTATGTAACTATAGCATCAAAATTGAACCTACACTATCAAAAAATGAACAAGAACAGCCATTAAGTTATTGTGGTATAGCAGATCCTTTATATACTATTCCTAGAAACTGTTATACTCACTATGTGTTCTATTTAATCGAAGAAATTCTGAAATATAGTCCAAACAAGTTCCCAAGAAACTGCCATGTACATCTAATAGGGACGTATCAATTTTGTAGCAGTTTGAATGAACATTTTCTATTAAGTTTTGAAGTGGTTTATGGACAAAACAGCAAAATTAAGTTAGATTTTAATCAAGTAGAAACAATTCCAATTGAAGGAGATCAAGTTCTCATATTTGGTACCTTAAACTTTGATCAAAGCGTTCATTTTATCCAAGTACATTTTTATCAATCAAATACAGTGAATGATCACAAAAATTATTCAGATCACATGAGACGCTTGAGAGATATCATTCCCTTGGAGAATACGGAAATTATTTCAGTGCCAGATAATGAATTATCATTGGGAAATGAAACACTTCTTAACAATACTACTGATGCGTTTGAAGGCTTGCCAGAAAGAATATCTATGTTGACCTTTAGTGATTCAATGTTATGTGAAGTTTTTGATGAAGTTTGTACTGGAACTGTATAAAATATTTGTAATAAAATTGATAAAATGTTCATTTATTAGGAGAAACAATTTTATTAACAAATATTACTCAGACTGAATTTGTTTCTAACTAAAATCCACTTGAAATTAACTCATTTGTTAATAAATTTTATACATTATGTATTTTTAAAGATTATTACTTATTGATTTCCCCCTGTAGATCTAAGCGCGAATAGGGCTACAGAATATGTTTATCGTACCCCTATATCTCTGAACAATACCGATTGTCATTCTTGACATTGACATTGACAACCCACTTTTAGGTTATAAAGTTGTTATGAAAACATAATTTTCGATTTTCGCTAAGAATTAGGCCCTATTTTCCAAATAGAGAAGGATGTCTTCAAGGCATCATGATTTTCCCTTGGAGAGTCTCAAGGTGAACGGTCCCAATTACCTGAAACAGGCTTTAACCAGCTGTACAGATCCCCTGAAGGCTATAGAAGAGTTTCAAGTACATATAAACTTATTTCTTATATCTATTTGGTGTTTAAATAATCTAATTTTAGGTAACAAACGGTATTTTACTGCCGTCCCTTCGGCCTATGCTGCCGTTGTTAGATCTACATGGAGTTAGGCGTTTGGATTTTCATATGTCCGTTGTTGAGGTAACAACTTAGTGTATTTTCAGTGTATACATATTTCTTAATGATTTTTAATTAAAGGAGCTACGTGAAAAATTAATTTCTCATATCAACGAAATAGGAAAACAGGAAGGCAAAGAAAGGGACCATAAACTTAGGGAGTTGCTTCAAAAAAGTTTTCCTGTAATAAAAGTCAAGGCGATGCGACCTATCGTTATGGCAATATTGAAGAATATTCCGCATATTGATGATCATTATCTTAAAGTACTTGTTAGGGATAGAGAATTATATAATGACACAGGTAAATACAGTTAATTTTTTGTACACTTACCTATTACCACAAGATTATTATTTATAGACACTGAAGTTAAAAGACAAATATGGAAAGATAACCAGTCGTTGTTTGGCGACGAAGTTTCACCGCTTTTAAGTCAGTACATCACAGAAAAAGAAAATGTTTTATTCGACCACACCAATTTGAGTGTACAGTTTTTCGGACCATCACCTAAGGTATTTCATTACCTCAAACATACCGTCAAGTTATAAAAATTACGTTTACAGGTTCGCAGACAAGGTGAGGTAGTCCAAAAACTAGCCCACATGATCGGCAACAGTGTGAAACTCTACGACATGGTGTTGCAATTTCTCAGAACGTTGTTTCTAAGAACTCGTATAGTGCATTATTGTACCCTAAGAGCGGAACTACTGATGGCGCTGCACGACTTAGAAGTACAAGACATCATTTCTATCGATCCTTGTCACAAATTCACCTGGTGTTTGGATGCCTGTATCCGAGAAAAAAACGTCGATATAAAACGGTAATAAAAATTGTACTAAGACACAAACTCCAAGGAGAATGACAGTTTATATTGAAATGAAATTTTGGGAGCGTATGTAGATTAATTTAGAGCATTTTTTAAAAATATATAGAGATCTACAGGTTGTCCCCACAAAAAGTTACATACCAAAGTTGTGTTTTTTGTAATGGAACACCCTATATATTAACTGATTTTCGGATTCTAGGAAAAAAATTAAGGTAAGTTTCATTAGCGAAGCACATGACTAAAATGTAGGGTTTTTAAGATATTTAGCATTTTCTAAAAACAAAGAACAAATTTTAAATTTCAACACGAGCTACCTAAACTGTAATTTACCCTGTATAGCGTGATACGCAGATAAAATAACTATTGTACTTTGAATTAAGTTAAAACTTGACCCGAAAAGTTATACAGGGTGAGAGAAAATTAATAAATAAACATTGGTCACTTTTTAAAGCGAGTTACTCTTTTAAAGATTCAGACACACTCCCAAAATTTTATTTAAATACAACTAAGAGATGCGCCACCCTGTTTATTTCGTTTTTAGGTCTAGAGAACTTCAGGGATTTTTGGATAATGTTAAAAGAGGGCAGGAGCAGGTTTTAGGAGATCTATCCATGACTCTTTGTGATCCTTACGCTATTAACTTTCTGGCTTCTTCGGCCATCAAGATATTGCACCATTTGATCCATAACGAAAGCTTGCCAAGGGTAATTAAATATAAAAGGTAACAAATTAGAAATAAACAGTAATCATATTTATTTTTTACAGGATAACACAATTTTAATATTGCTACTGCGAATGTTGGCGTTGGGACTCAGTGCGTGGGTTATGATCGATTCACAAGACTTTAAAGAGCCAAAACTAGACAGTCAGGTTGTTACAAAGTTTTTGCCAGCTTTAATGAGTCTCATGGTAGATGATCAGGTAATATACATCAATTTCTTGGATAGAATTACGTTTCTGAATCACCCTGTATGTCATTTTTGATATTGGAATGAATCTTTGAATATAAATATTGAATAAACAATAAATAACACATAGTAAGTTCAGAAAGGCTATAAAAAATTCATAAAATTTCAAATCGGATTCAAATGTGTCAATTGAAACGTTAAATCTTAATTTTTTTATGAAAGTTTGGAGTGAATAAACTATTATACAGGGTGTCCCAGGCTGAGCGCGCATTAGAAGTTACTAGTGAACCACAACATCCAGATCGGAGATTTTTTCCACATCATTCTTTTACGGGATCTATCGATTAAAAATATTTTCAATATGGCGGCACTTCCGGAAATACTGGAGGTTGACAACAACTTTCTTATTTTAAATGGGTGCCCCCATTTTTTATTACATACTTAAATTCTCTGTAAAATTCTGTGAATGTTGATGTTAAACAGTCTATATCTAACATTAACCGTTTTTGAGAAAAAAAATATTTAAAATTTTTAGACGGAAAAAACTACTTGTCAAAAAAATTAGATGTAGCCTAGAAGTCAAATTTAGGGATTATTACAGCCACTGTGACATGTGGCGATCTATTTCAAAAATTAAATTGTTTAAATGTCATATAATAATGGCGGTGGCTGTCATGGAAATGAGCGATTAAAAAATTATCATAAATCATTTTTTTCAAATGGAAACCCACTTTTTTTATTTCACTAGTGAAAAGGTTTTCCAATTCGTCACTTTTTGAGTATACATGTTCCTATACCTAAAATAAATCGTTTTTAAGTTATTTATGATTTAATTTGAAAACATATATTCTTCTTGATTTTATCTGGCTTCCTTTGACATTAAGTGTCAAGCAGTCAGACAATTTATTTCCATCTGTCAGAAAACGAATTATTTTAATTTCCTATATTATAAATAATAATAATAATAATATATAAAGTATGTAATAAAAATGGGGGCACTCATTTAAAATAAGGAAGTTGCTGTCAACTTCCGTTATTTCCGGAAGTGCCGCCATATTGAAAATATTTTTAACTAATAGATCTCGTTGTGAAACAGTAATATGCAAAAAATCTCCGATCTAGATATTGTAGTTCTCTAGAAATTTCTAATGCACGCTCAGCCTGGGACACCCTGTACACCTATAGTATGTCCATTTCGAGAGAATATATAACTTCAACAAAAGACATCTAAAAAAATGACGTTATAGGTTAGACAGCTGTCAACTAAACTTCCTCCCGACGAGCGCGAGGCTGCCATCACAATTATAGAACATGCCGGCCCTCTACCGGACGCGGTAGAAGCTTATATCCAAGACAGCAGCGTTGCCAGCATTCTAGCCATGTACTACACGCTAAACGTCACTAGATTGAAGGATAGGGTAGCACTGTTACGTATATTGACTGTTCTGGCAAACTGTAAGGACGACAGAGCTTTTGAAGACCCTTTTCTACATTCATTTGTATGTGATTATCAATTAATTGATTTATTTAGTAAAATTTACTGATAAAATGTTGTAGGTGGGGCTTTTGATCAATAACCCTGACGAGTTTCAAGCGGAAGATTTCTGTACTGCGTTATTCGATGAATTTTTCTCTGTAGGATTACAGAGAGACAATGTTACAAGACATCTACTAAAATTATTATGGTAACTTAATTTTTTAACTATATCACCCTCAATTTCTTAAGGTAATTATTTTATTTTTAGGTATGTTCATCAAAAATTACCCGTGAGCAGGTTGCATACCATATTAAAAACAGTCCAACCTACACATCAGCACAGTGAAAAAGTACATAACCTGTATAAGTTACTTCAAGACAAGATAAACTCGCAAGAAGAAACTACCATCCTCACTGACATGGATATTGATATCAACTCACCTTTAATGAGTGTTCCAACACCTGCGCCGTATCATCATATTATATAGATTAAGTAAAATATATACATAGTTTTTTTTATATTTTATTGACAGAGAAATAAATGGTTTAAAAAATGTATAAATTATTTTATTTTTCTTTTAAATTATACCTCAAATATTTACAGTGTGATTAATGTTGTAATAAATATGTACATGTTATCTTCTAAACTGTTTTTTGAATCGTTCAAAATGATAGTCATCCGTAGCTTTCTCGTCTTTCTTCTTCGGTTTTGAAGCGTCTGTCTCTATCTTTGCCTTTTTCTTTACCAGTTCTGCCTGTTCAATATTAACTAAAACACCGAAAAAAAAAAATTAAATTCCCCATTTTAAAAATGCAAGAACTTCCTTCTTACATCTATTATGCTGGACAAAATTCACAGCCATGTTGGTGGGAACAAACTGTGAAGGTCCATCAGATTTATTCTGTTTTTCCCATAGGAGTCGAAGTTTGGCCTCCTCAGTTGCTTCGATATTCTTAATTTTAGCCTCAATACCAAGATCAACTTCGGGAATACCGCTCAACATCTGATTCGAAAGCATTTCCTCAGACCTGTTAAGTAAATTTAAATAAGTAAAAAAAATAGATTATATTAAAAATAACACACCTTTTTGCTGAAGATTCTCTTAAATGTTTGGGAACAGCTTGTAAAGCTGCTTCTTCTGGTGCCAAGTACGTATTTCTAGAAGTTATCTTGCTGGGTATCTCTTCTTTTTCACTTTTTCCTTTTCTTTTCGATAATTCTTCTTCTATATATTTCATCATTTCTTCATCCTGTAACAATACGTTTTCAATGAATAAAACACATTCATAGAATATTTAAATAACTTTACCTCGTCTCTTTTATTTGTTTCTACCGAAAATTGTGTCCCTATTCCCGTATCGTAAGCATCATCCACTTGTTTTACTTTGCCCGATTTTAAAGCTTGCATATTGACCATTCCACCTGCCTGGGCTTTAAACGGGTCTTTCTAAAACCATATCACACATTTAGGAATATTATTGTAAAATCCTTCCACGAATACTTACGTTAACAGCTTCTTCTTCGACAGAAACTTTGGTGCCTAATGCAAGTCCAATAACACTAACTCCGTGTGGTCTTTTTCTTAGATTTTGTACTTCCCTCATTTCACCTAACTTGTTACTGTATAACAACATAAATACGACACAATTTGATGAATGTTAAGGGTACAAATTCAAAATTCTACACTAAACATACCTGATTGCTATAGTTTCTTCATCGTCACTCTCTTCAGTTTTTATTCTTTGTCTCAGGTTCTTTCGTTTTTTCGGCTTGAAAATGGTTGATTCTTTAGATTCAGACTGATTTTCGGCTGTATCGCTCATCTTTATATATATTTTTTAGAAATTAAAGGAATATTTGGAAAACTATTTTTGTTTTCGTGTAATTATAACCTATATTTTATTAATGACAGATGACAGCTGTTTTGAAGTTTGCTTTGATTGGTCTGAAATGGGACATTTGAACTACTGTGGTTTGGATATATATACAGGGCGTCTCAAACATGAACTGAATCAAATTTTACTATACCAAAAAAAAGCCCTCAACCTTTAGGGGCTTTAAAAACATACACAAAATCTAATAGTAACATATAATTCTAAAAAACGGTGTATCCTCAACATAATTTTGAATGAAATCGTTTTTACTAAATACTGTATTGTTAGAGGTTTGTATATTTTGCACAAGCCTGTTTTACTACAGGAACTAACTGTTTTCTAGACAATTTAATATTATGTACGTGCAGTAAATACATATCGTCATCAAATGCCGTTGTTCTATGCTCAAATTGAAAATCATAATCAGGATTGTCATCAAAAACGTTCAACAGGGCTGCTTTTAATCTGTCTTCCTTTGTAGTTGAGTATATGCCAATATCTCTTCTTACTTTTCCAGCAGTAACATCCAAGCCGACTAATAAGACACAATTTGTCTAAAAAGTTAAAAAAAAAAACAGGAAATACTAAAAAGTTTTTAAGGATTATACATACCTTATTTTCTACAGCAAATTCAACTATAGCTCTGTGAGCCTCTGGAATTTTCAGATAATCTTCAACTAATATTGGTAGGCCTGGTATATAAAAAGATTCGATGACTTTCATATCTTTATATAGTAATTGTTTTGGAGATAAAGCGGAGATATCATTATGCACAGCCCAAAGACTATCACACACTGATTGACGGTTTTTAGCCAGAAAATTATACGTTTTTTCTAGATTTAATGCTACTTCAATATCTAGTGGTTTGGCTTTACCAAGTTCTGGCCTCAAAGCTACTGTATCATATATTATAGTCTCTAAAAAAAATGATTAATTTATTAATTATTTTTTTTGATTTTCACAATACAAAAACATACGGTATAACAGATTTGCCAATGGACAAGTTAAAATATCAGGTTTTCTCTTCAGAATTACATCCGTGACTAAAGTAGAACATGATCCAACTGGTTCAATTCTAACAGTAACTTTGTCTGTATCCCAAACATGAGAAGAATCAACAGGTCGATGGTCAAAAATTTCCGTCACATATTTTTCAAGTATTTTATCGTTATTTGTTAAAATATGATGATCTACCAATGATACAGTTAATTTACATTTCTCACATAACTGTTTAAAGTCAATTTGATCTCTGAAAAGGTAGAAATCCAAAATATTAGATGTAGTAGTAGTTATTTAATCATTGTACCGATAAACAAAATGTTCTAAATCCAAACCTGCCTCTTTGAAAACAAAACAATTCTCTGTTCTGAGTAAAAAGTTCTCTTGGGACACGTTCAAAACAGGAACAACTATATTTTCTGGATTTTGTATCGAATGGAAATATCCTAAGAGTAGAGAGGATATGGATGAATCTAAATCACAAGATTCGTTGCCTAATACTAGATGAATTTTGGTATTTTCGGAAATGGTACCCTGTAAACATAAGAATATTTATATAAACTTACACAAATACTCTAAAGCACACAATTACCCTATTTTTACTTAAAAAAAATATAACTTAAACAGATCACTTACCAATAAGCTTTTAGATCTTCTTAAAAATAATATGAATTTGTCCATCCTATAAATAATGCATTAGAAGATATCAAATTAAGAAAATACACTATTTTGGCCACAAAGCAAGAACGAAAAATAAATATCAAAAAAAAGATAAACAAACTTCTAGGTTAGAATTTAGAAATCTTTAGGACTAGGATAGACTAGGACCAGTTAGGAGTCAGGACTTAAGGGCTGTCCACACGCAAGAACTTATCGTACGATTCGTTTGAGACGACAAAACGTTGCAGAGTTTAGAAATCTTTGGTCCACACAAGGTCCACACACATTTTCTTTAAATTTTAGTCGGTTAATCAAACACACATACAAGTAATTTTTGGTTATATGAGGTCTGTCTACTCAGTAAATAACTATATGCTTCAACATCCATTTTTAAGTAATTCGTAATTATTTTCTTAAAATTCTTTGTCTTCTCAGTAACCAGAGATATCTCTGTTAGTAACCAAGCTCTGGATCATATAGTGTTGTCCGCAGTTAAAAGTTTATAACTTGCTTTTTTTAACATTATTTAAATAACCAGCAAAAACTAACCACAACCCACAACAGTATGTTCTCTATAATAATACCGTATGATCGAAAAAAAAAACGGCGTCCAGTTGGCTTGGAAATCACGATCGATGACATTCCCCATATAATTTATCTAGATTAAGAATAAAAATAATTTATTTAGATACAAAATGGCAGCGATCTTTATTTCATAGCCATCGCTGACGCCGTTTTTTTTCGATCATACGGTATAAAGCAATACAAGTCGTTGTAATGTAGACAAATATTGTTCTGTACGTTTTATTTCCAACATTTTGTCGACGCTAGCAAATCGTACGATAGGTTGTTGCGTGTGGACCCCCTTTAAGAAAACAAGCCAGGACCAGTTAGGACAAATATCCCTAAAAAATAAATATTTAATTTCCATTACCCTTGAATTTGTAGATATTTTGATAGTATTTATGATTCGTCATCTTCAATTATACCTTAGAACTAATTTAATAGGGTAGTTGAATATTTGAAACATACCAAATATTAGGAAGCTCTCAAATTATTATTACATTTTCTAAAAAATTTTATCTATGTTTGGACCAGTAATCGCCAGTAATAACAATAATAATAATTCATCTTTTTTGAACAATAGATCGAGATAACAAAGAAATTCACCTGTTGCTCTTGTCTTGAAAAAATTTCATCATTTTGATCCGAATTTCGAGTTGACCAATCGCACGCAAGGATCTTCAGAGATGAAAATATATCCAGCGTTGCCGGTAGTTCTATATTTTGCTTGATTTCTGGAATTTTCAGTGGTGGCCTCATGGTGGCCTAGCCCAATAATAATTGATTCTTTACCGTTTTCTTTGAGTTTTTTTATACAAAAATGTTTGTAAAATAACAAAAGTTTGGAAAAAATATGATTTTCTTTGCCTAATTTGTGCAGCTTCTCTAGCTTTGGCCAACTTCGAATTGATGGTTATTGGGTCGATGGCTATCAATGCTTCTTGACTATTGGATAAGACAGCTATTTCTTGTTTCCGATAGTTCTTATCTAAGATAAGTTGTACGCATCTTTTGGTAGCGTAGATTCCTGCCTGAAGGATGCTGGGGTATGTGCCCATTGGTTCGGAGGATTTAATTTTCAGTTTAAATACACTTGTTCCTGCTTTAATTCTGGGTGCATCAGAGTACACATTAAATTATAAACCTCAGTTTAGGGCATTTTCACAAGACTATTTTTTCATACGAGATTCAATGATATTTCTATTGCTCAATCCGACAACGCCGTATTTCTCGTTCAACTCAGTTCACCTGCGCCGGCTGAGGACCGCGTATCGTGATGTGATATGTGTACATAAAATCTCGATTTATCTGAGAAAAAAAACGCGATAAAACTTTCGAAATAATCGCTTTGAATAGTCGCCGATTGTTTATGTTATGGTAGCGTGATTGGATTTTCGAAAAGGAGCGCGAAAGTGCCTTTATTTACACTGGTTTTCGAGTGATATGTAAAGTTTTGCCTCGACCCCAAGATGGCCGACACGTATTTTCAGGTGAGTTCTGTTGTTGGGAAAATGGGAAGTTACGGCGATATTCCTTCGTTTATGCTAACATTTTTAGGGAAATCCGTAAGAAAACATAAGTAAATTTAATAAAATATGCAATTTTTCTTGTTTTATGCCATATTTAAATGAGAAAACTTAGTTTGAAGTTTAGTGTTTATGCTTTTTATAATAGTGGTTGGTATTTAGGTTAGATTTAATTATGGCATTTTATTTTTTTATTTCGCTTATTATTTACCGTCCAACGGATTTTTCGTGTGATTTATGATTCCTCTTTCACTTCCTGTTCGTTATTAATTGAATCAAACCATAAATTAACGGATTTTATAAGAATAACGTTTGTATTTACTGTAGTTTTTTATTATTCCATACCTTCTGTAATTTTTTTTTGCATTTTACCATAATTAAAGTGATTTACTTATATGGTAGTTTTACGAGACGATACAGAATCGATTGTTTTAACGTATATATGTTAATACGGCCAGTAGTCTGTGCGTTCAAAGTGGAAATTCCTGTTTTTTTAAACGCTCACCATTCGATAACATAACTGTTGTGATTTCACATGGTGAACTGCTTTATTTTAATTTGACCTTATATAACAACGTCTAAAGATCTTGAGCGGTGCGATAAGGCTATTAACCCCAAGGCTACACATTACCCCAACGTCAGCCGACTGACTGAATGTTAAAAACAGGGATCTGGTAGCCACAAAGCTATCAGGAGTCTTTGATGTGCCTAATTGAATAAAGGCTTTTATTTAATTAAGTTTCGAGTGGCTTTGAACTTGAAAATGCCAGTTTATAAATGGTTAAATGTTAGAGAAAAATAAAGGAATATCTGCGAATAGAGTGCTATAAACAAAAAAAAAACATAAAACATACATATATTTACATAAAATGTCTACTTATTTTGTATAGTATATTTAATTAAATTAAATTAGAACTGGAAGCCATAGAACACTATAAAATAGGGATAAATTCGAATTACAACCTCTAAGGTCATCTAGCAATATACCATGTTGGGAAAATTTAATTATAGCGAATGACCTTAAGAGAATTTTCTACATTCACTCGTATGTACCGTTTGTTATTCTAAAAATAGCTCATGCTCTCTGAAGATGGACCTACATACGTCAACAAGAAAATACAGATCCTTCAAAAATGCAAAAATTCAAGATAAAAAAACGGCATCGCAGTAGGCTTTGAATCATCGATCGTCATTTCAGAGGCTACTATGACACCGTTTTTTTTTCAATCAAACGGTACCAAAAAAACATGTGCGTCTCAGAAATCAGAATCATTTTTATGTCAATCGTCACTATTAATTAATTACTGAAAAATATCCGAAATTAGGACCAAAAGCAAGAAACGCAGTAAAAATAAAGCATAACATCCGCAATAAAAAAGGCATCAATAATAATAACAGAGGGAATATTTTTAGAAATTGGCAAGTAATCGGTACATGGAAAGTTAAAAATACGATCTTACTTATCAGGATCGTCTAGATCTAGAAAAAAGTTTTTTTTAATATGGGTGGGAAAAAATATGTCATCTCGCCACACATAATTTATTTTTTGATATAATTATTTAAATCAAGCGATTTTTTATTTTAATCCAGAGATTTAAATAAAAAAAATCGACTCTTTTAAAACTTTATAATAAATCGAAAAATAACTGTAAAAGTTGTGTTCTAGAAAACTATAAAAATATATTCCTGTTTGCACTTAAAGAAAATTCTTCTTGTACTTTTGTGCTTAGGTGTTTAAATGACAAAAATTAATATTTTTACGAAGATTTAGCAATTTAGCATAGGACTTTAATTGTTATTATAAAATAAAAAAAATCTAATTTAAATTAAAAAAAAATCTGATTTTTTAAATTTAAAAAAAATATGATTTTTACCAACCCTGAAAAACACCCGGTATAAATAATGTTAGATTCTTTCCATAGTATTTTTATTAAAAGCGTTTCTCTCATTTGTTGCAAACTTTTTATCGCTCCCTGTATACAGGGTTGTTCACCATACGACACGGAGTATTGTAGCTAAACGATGAGATTTTTACAAATTGTAAGTTTGGGGTTTATTGAAGGACTATTAGAGCTACAATTTAAAAATATTTTTACAAGATACAGAGTGTCCCAAATAAATAAAAAATATCAAAGTTGTATTTTTTTAAATGGAACACCCTGTATATTATTACATTTTTAGTTTCTACGATTAAAATAAAGGTAAATTTGATTAAGGTTTATTATACTTAAACCTTACCGTTTTTGAAATATTTTCAATTTTGTGAAATTGCAGTAAAAATTTTAAAGCTTCATTTCTCCAAGGGTATCAATGTTTTTAATACTAAATATTTAATGAAGTTTATTTATTGATCAGTTATTGTGTTGCAATAGTAAAAATAATACTACCTTATACAGAGTGTCTAAAAATTTATTTTAAATAATTATTAGCTTCAAACGGCAATAACTTCTTTAATTTAAATGGAATGCCCTGTATATTTTAGGAGAATCAGATGCACAATTAAATTGTCTATCAAATTGTATTATACCATTTTTTACCTATCCCTTCAAGTTTTCGTAGAAAATGCATTTTCTTATAATTTAGACCTCATTTATCAATATATCCATGGAATACTGACATTTTAGATTGTTTTTAAAGCAACAAATGTACAAAATGTACAGACTAGTAATATTATCGTTTTTAGCAAAACGATAATATTACTAGCCCATTTGTAATGCAAAAGAAAAGTATTTAAATCTTTATAAAAAAGAGTTTACCATTAATTAAATATAACACCATTATTTCCGCCCATATACTAATTAATGACATACTTAATTGTGTTCGTTAATAAATTATTATAAATAAATGTGGATTTTTGAGTCAGAAATCAATATAATAATAAGTTATCAAATTAAAGTCTTTGTTGTTATAAATAAGCATTTATTAAAAAATGAAATATCATTTTTAAGGTGTTACTTTTTATCACACTGTCTAATGCCCATACAAAATTCAGTTTTTTAGTATTTGGAGCAATTATTATTAATCAACGCAAACAGTCAGTTAATGTAGTTTGAATACTGGAATCATATTAATTGGTCCTCTTTAACAAATATTTAAACAGTTTTTTTTATTTTTTAATGAAATAAACGAATTATATCGACAATATTTGTATCTGTACTCTTTAAAAATAATCTAAAATGTCAATAGTCCATGGGTATATTGATAAATAAGTTCTAAATTACAAGAAAATGCATTTTCTACGGAAACTTAAAGAGAGAGGTAAAAAATGGTATAATATAATTTGATAGACAATTAAATTGTGCATCTGATTCTCATAAAATATACAGGGTGTTCCATTTAAATTAAACAAGTTATTGCCGTTTGAAGCTAATAATTATTTAAAATAAATTTTTAGACACTCTGTATAAGGTAGTATTATTTTTATTATTGCAACACAATAACTGATCAGTAAATAAACTTCAGTAAATATTTAGTATTAAAATGAAAACTTTGATACCCTTGGAGTAATGAAGCCTTAAAATTTTTACTGCAATTTCACAAAATTGAAAATATTTCAAAAACGGTAAGGTTTAAGTATAATAAATCTTAATCAAATTTACCTTTATTTTAATCGTAGAAACTAAAAATGTAATAATATACAGGGTGTTCCATTTAAAAAAATACAACTTTGATATTTTTTACTTATTTGGGACACTCTGTATCTTGTAAAATTATTTTTAAATTGTACCTCTAATAGTCCTACATCGAACCCAAAACTTACAATTTGTAAAAATCTCATCGTTTAGCTACAATACTCCGTGTCGTATGTGGTGAACAACCCTGTATATTTTGATAGGTATTTTAACTTAACGTCTTCACCAAGAACCTTTCTTCATATTTACCGCTCGTATCTTGTTATATTAGCGAAAGGCACCCGAAAATCTCCATCAAGTTCAAGGCCACATTCCGTTACAATTTAACAATATTATTGGCCGATTTATTGACGCTAAATTAATTTGTTTAAACTGACGAACAAGCCGTTTTTTTTATCTTTAAAAAAATACAAGTACAAATTAATTCCTGCATCGTGTAATATCAAAAGATAAGGATAAAACATCCGATAAGTCTCTGAGCCTAGCTAGAGAGATAGTCTTGAACGCGATACGGTGTATGCAACGACATAAAATTATGTTGGTTTAAGCGAATTTAGTTTGTTAACAACAGTATAACCACATAAATACACGAGAATCTATGGTAATAAAAAGATACTTAAAAATCAACCTGGACTTTCTACCGTGCCGTCGGTAATTGCGAGACATCGTCACCCAAAAGGCAGGTGCCATATACGGAATCTTTACTACACATAGCGAAACTTCCTTCTCCAAAAGTCGATGCTATTGAACACTCGATAAAAATCGTCGCTGTGAAGAAACTGTGACAAATTAATGACTTATTGTTACTTCTGTTCGTTTTAATGCTTTTTTTAATCGTGAATATAGACTTTGAAGTGTGTATGTGCGATGGTTATAGATATAAAATTGATAAGGTGTATGTTTAGTGATAAATTTTGTGAATGAATCATAGTATATCGGATATACCTGCGAAGTAAGGAAGATGGATTACAGTACGGTGAAGAGGAGACCAAAGGGAAAAGTACAGAACAGGTTGAAGGCAGGGGCGTACTTTACCTGGGCAGGGAATATAGGGTATAGCCCGGTACGTGTTTTTATTTTTTTTTCTTATTAAGCGAGATCTTATTTAAATAAAAAAAAAAGGAATTAAACAAGTTTTGTTCATATTTTAAATTATTGTTATGTTATACAGGGTGGTCCGAACTGTATTCCGGAAACTTCGGCAGCATAATTCTGCACATAAAAATAAGTAAAAAAGTTCGTATAAATATATATCAAAAGAATAACTTTAGATATTTTTGATTAGCTCGTTTACGACTTATCGCCGATTTCATTTAAATATTTCTCCTTTCTTATGGCCCTGTATTTACTTATGAGCATCAGTCAAGGTAAAAGATAACTGTCAAATAAAGTTGTCATTTCAGAAATTTACCTGTTTAGTGCTTTATTATTATTGAAAACTCATTCCTACATCGGAAATCTTAGAGATGCCTATTTATAAATACAAATTAATATGAATTAAAGTAAAATAAAGTAATCAATTACAAAGTTAATTATAGTATTATTACAATATTCAATAACTTATTAATTTAGGTACTATTAAATTGTTAGAAATTTAGAATTTAAGAAGATGTTCAAATATTCCTCCATCGACTGCTAGACAATAACCCAGGCGATCATAAAATTCTCTTCTTATATTCGCTAGTTGGTAAACTGAAATTCTACCAAACTTTGGTACCAAACCATTTGGTACCAAACTTCCTGATTTTCCCTAGCGGCATCATGTAAAGCAGGTAAAATATGATTTTTGAGTAGTTCCAAATAATATTCTGCATTTAAATTTCCCCTAAGAAATAATGGCCCGATAATATTGTGTCCGAATATCCCTACCCAAACATTTACTTTCTGTGGATATTGCCTCCTTGTTTCGACAAACCTGTGTTGGTTTTCTTTGTTCCAATATCGATAATTTTGAACATTGGGCTCATTATTTAAGGTAAACGTGCATTCGTCAGTGAAATATATGTTTTTTAAAAATTCCCTATCCGTGTTTGCTTTTTTCCATCATATCAAAATAAAACGCCTGCCGCTGTATTTCGTCCCCATCTCGTAGCTCTTGGTGCTTTTCATATTTGAAGGAATATTATTTATATCGTTTCAAAATTCGAAACGTTGTAGTATGATCTATTCCTATTTCATCAAGTTTCCTTGTGCTGATCTTTCCATCGTTCTCTTCCTCGCACAATAAAACTTCCAAGTTGGTATCATTTCTTGCATCTTCTCTTTGTTCCTGCCTTGCTTCACATCTGCAGTTATTTATTAGGGTACCTTTGGTCTCAAATCTCTGGATATTCCTTGCGATTGTAGATTTTCCAGGCATCGGTCTATTCGGACACAGAGCAGCAAACATGTCCGACATCTTTTGATAATTGTCATAAATTAAACGTGTAGACTAAATAGTTATTAGCCTGAAATCATAAATTTGAAATGTTTTTGCGTCAAAAGTTCAACAGAAACTGTTTGATTATCATTTTTTTCACAGAAAATTTATATAAAGGTAAATTTAATTAAGGTTTACCGAACTTTAATCTTAGTGCTTTTGAAATATTTACGATTTTGTGAAAATGCTGTAACAATTTTAATGCTATATTTTCTAAATTTTGTATTGCAATAGTAAAAATAATACTTTTATACAGAGTGTCTAAAAAATTATTTTAAATACTTACTAGCTTTAACTGCAGCAATAACTTCTTTAATTTAAATTCATCACCCTGTATAGTTGACGTGAATCAGATGCACGATTTAATTGTCTATCTCAATTTTGTTACCTGCATGGGACGGAAATAATCCAATTAAATTGGTTTTTAATTTAAAAAACAATGTGGAATCTCTTTTAGTAAAAATAAATTAAATTTGTTTTGATTTCATTAGCACAGTTTATACCGGGTGCGTCTCATAAGTTTATGCCATTCTATTCAGAGTGTCATTTTCTATCGAATAAAGTAAAAATATACAGAGGATGTAATTTAAAAATAAAAAAGTTGTAGTAATTTTCGGTGAAACAGGAAGTGATTAAAACAATTGAATACGTCAATCAATCCTAATTTTTATGCCTTGTGCTAACATAGCAAATCTCGTTTTTTTTTTATCTGAAAAAAGTTATAGGCCACTTTTGAGACGCACCCGGTATATTCGATGTCGATGTCATTAGATTTGTTCTACTTGTTTTATCAGTAATTTGTGGTTTTCTCTCAATTGAGATTAAATAAATATCTAAACAAACAAATCCCACATGACAGCTTTTTATTTTATAGATCTGAGTCAGTCCTAAAATTATTTTTCAATTTTTAAATTTTCAGTATTCTGTAATCTCCTGATATTACTACTATCTTATCTCAAACGAGATTATATCACATATTTTCAATAATTTAGAGTAGCAATATTTGTTTGTTTTTGTATTAGTTGTGATATTTTAATTCAGAGGAATGGTAAAAACTGGAGAAACGAGAAAATAGACATTCTTTCCAGATCGATACACTTTCCATAAAACCATTTATTATAAAATAAATAAAATATAGAAAAAAAAATTACAGAAATGCATGACAAAATATTTTTTTTTACCGCAGAATTCAGATTTCGTCGATTTTATGTCAACTAGAATCTCTGCATTCACGAAAATTAGTAGAATCAATTAACAAATTAAACGATTTCAGTCACATTCATGACAGTTCCTGCCGAAGAATAGTTTTTTATTCACATGACAATAATTCTATAATAGATTTCCTTGAATTCATATTAGACCTCCAGCGGAAATACACAATCTGATCAATTACGAGACATCATGTACGGATTTTTTTTCTCAGGCATTATTATTAAATTAAAGTACGTCAGAGAACAGCAGCACCATCGCAAATAAAATAAATAAAAAAGTATGTGGAATGTGAATATAATACAGCCATTAGAAAAATAAGTAAACTGAGACAAACCACAAAAAACAGGATCTTTATAGCCGGGACCCCATTAGCAATATGCCACGCCACAAACTATATTTTAATATTTTCCCATTTAATTATATGTGTTGCGTGTTGCGTACACACTAGGACCACGCCACGCCACGCCACGCCACGCCATCCCACGCTATTACACCTTTATTTCAATATAGATTGTTTTCTTGAATGGGATCTTTCTTGAACACGATAACTCAAAAACCGTTAAACCGATTTAAACCAAATTTGGCACAAAAATACTGTGGCACCCGAGAATCTGGCCATTAGGTTTTGGTGGGGATGGGGGGTTGATAAGGGGGTATGGGAGTGGGTTAAAAATTTAAAAAAATAACTCCAAGATTACAGTAGCTAGCGAAACGCGGTTTTCAAATTAATATTTGCAACAAAATTTGTAATAACATCAAAATCAGTCAAAGTCGCAGTTTTTGAGAAAAAAAATTGGAAAAATTCCTTTACTTTGAAACTAAAAGAACTGCCTACCAACTTATTATTAACATATTTTAGTATGGGCGGCTATGTTTTATTTTCACTGTTTACAGATTATTATTTGCTTCTGCAATACCACGTAACTTACTACTCTATAAAATAGTACTAAATCTAAGAGTACTACTTACTTAAGTTTAAGCTAATTTGCGTAGGTCTTCTTTTTGGAAAGTGCTAAATATAAAGCAACGACACTAATTTAAACAAGCTTTATTTGGAATCTTATAATTATTAGGAGACAATAGACTAGGAAAGCGAAAGCATTATTCAAATTCTAACCCCAATATCTATGTAGGTATATCAGAACCACAACATTTTAAAAATCTATTTTTATAATTCTTTCAAACTTTTATAGAATTATGTGTTTTTAACTTTACTTTCAAACATTTCTTAGATTGTTTTCTTGAATGGGATTTTTATTTCTCTTGCTTGTCCCATTTTCGCGGTTTATAATGTAAATATCGACCGTGGTACGTGTGAAAAACCATTGTTGTTTCGTCCCGAGTCGATAATGACGGCACAATGCCGAGTACTGCTCAGTACCAGAGAAAAAAATACGTTGTTAAGAGGTCTCGAACCGCCTCGTTATGGGAAATGGGACGGTCGGACTTAAAAGAGAAACCAATGTGGGAGGATTTATATTTTTTTTTACTCTCAATAGAGCAGTTTTAATCTTTACTTATACAAGGTATCCCAGAAATAATGCCATGAGGTTTTTTTCGCGATAAAAAAAAATTTAAAATTCGAAAACTCGAATTTTTTTTAGTTTTTAGATAAAAAACATAATTTCTTGATAATATAATATTATAGCATATAATATGGCAACATAGGTAAATTAATAATGATAAGAAAATCCAGTGGTCCTCAAAATTTTAGCAAAAAATCATTTTTTTTGGAAATTTTCAAAGTAAAATAACTCCGTTATTTTGGACTTATTTGAAAAACGATAAAGAGATAATGTGTTTTTTATCGAGATCTACCACCCCTTAAAATAGTTGCACTTATTTCTGGGACACCCTGTATATTCCCGTTAAAATCTATTAAGCGTTGACAAATCTTGTAGATCTCTTGTGTTTCCCTTTCTTGAGTTATGACTCATTATACAGTCTCAGGGCCAGTATCTAAGACGGTTTTACAGAGGTTAGTTTCCTGTCGACCTTAGACCGCATTATATTTCGACTCACTGTTTATTATTATATGTCCCGTGATCCATTATTGTTGGCAGATATTGTATTTGAGAAATCTCCATTTTTTAACCTAATTTTAAGTAAATAATGCTTTTCAGTGGCTTCAGCATACTCTCGCACGCTGTTCGTAATCAATATCGTCCCAAGAATCTATTTTTAGGTCTATTGTGGTCTTGCACGACGGTAAGACTGCGACATTACGAATATAACCCGGCGTTTTAACGGGTTGTTTGTACTTTTGACAGCTGCTTTTGCCTCTATTTGCAGCGATATGATATTGAGATTGAAATATAAGAGAAAACATCGGACAAGGCTGAAATTATTTTTTGAGCTGTCAAATGATATACACATTATGTTTTGTATGGAAGATTAATCAGATTGAAATGTTGTCTAAAAATAGAAGAAGGATATGTAAGATATTAGAAAAAAATATTGAAAACACGAAAAAATATGTCAAAATGACTGTTCTTTCTACACAGAAAGCCTTGCAACGCTGTTACCAAAATAGCGGATATACTGAGTGATATTTTTCCAGTGTTTGATATTTCAAACAGCAAAAAAAATAGAACTACTGAATGCCAGGATGGATCTAGGTACTCTGGAGCTGTTTTTTTGTTTTCTTATCAATTATTTTATCTATTCGGTATTTTCATTGAGTTTTCCATGCGTGACTCAACGGGATGTTCGTATTTCTACCTCCATTGCGTAAATGCAGCCAATAAACCATTATACAGTTTACAGACATAATTTTATCGGTCTGATATTAATGTGATAAAATTGGTTATTTATCAGATGATGTGGAACATTGTTTGTTCATATTACGATTACTTTTACGTAGGAAGATATATTCTTTAATGTATATTAGTATGGTTGTTTGTGAAACAAAGAAATATGTATAGAATGTTCAACCATCGTTCAACTTCTCGTAATATATTTTGCCGAACTCACTCAATCACTTGTCAACCAGATGAAAGAAATTGATGACGTCATTAAGGCATTTCGTAAATTGCTGCATATTCTTTTTAGTAATTGTCATTGTCATTTGATTTGGGGTTATGATTTTATTGACGGACATCGATCAATGTCAAAATTAAAGTTTGATTGTTGCTGTAAAACAAAATTCCAATTTTTTTTATTGCAAAAATGCCTCAGAGATTTAACGAAAATGAACCAGAGCTCATTGCTAAGCTTATAAATTATTTTTCTCGAGAAAGAGACGCTGGTAGAACACTCTCTCTTGCCCGTGGACGCCGTATATGAAGTAAGTACAATGCAAAGGTGTAATATTCCATTCCTATGTAAAATACAAATTGATAGCGTTTTAAAATAATATAGCGAGTTGCTGATGCTTCAAAAATAGGAATTTCAATAGTCCAAAGGATTGGAATTAAAGGGATTGTCTGATGAAGAGTTCAAGAAAAAATGAAGAAATGCCGAAAAAAAACGGAACTCGTTCAATCAGTAATATAGGAACGAACTTAAAACATTTTAAACAACATGAACTGATCTCAGACACACCCTAAAACCCATATTATTTGACAAATAATGATGACGTAACGATGAACGATGCCTGAACAGTCTTTACTGGGGTGTCTCCTTTTAAATTAAACTTAAAACCAAATTTTTCAACAAGCCATCATAAAGAAAATTATAACACCAATCATCGGCTCAGTAAATTTAAAAATAATTTCTATTCAGTGGTGGGTTTACTGGAAAATATTTCGACTATTCAATGACATTCTGTTTCAAATTTGGAAACGCGTGTTTTAGTTCGTTACACATGCACATTTTTCGAAATTTTCTATCCACATTTTATTGTCCCAAATAATCCTTGTGCTAAAAATACTTTTTCAACAAGGCGACACGATTTGCTGTCTCCAATTTACATATAGAGGGTGATTCACATCATTTAGACGTTTATGGAGAACCGCCGATATTTTTCTTGTGAAAATTTGGATTTTTACATAAAGGCAATGTTGCCGTTTCATTTTAAAAGTGGTACTTAGTTTTTTGTTAATTTAAATGGAACACCCGGTATATTATTATATTTTTGGAAACTACTTTCATATATCGTAATTTTTTTATTATACTAACCTATAACATTTTTTGAGATAATAAATCTATACTAATATATAAAATCCTTAAGTGACTGACTTACTGATTAATCACGATCCTGCTCAAACCACTCAACGTAAGAAGCTCAATTTTGGCATACAGGTTGATTCTAGGGTGTAGAGGTTCGATAAGAAGGGAATTTTCGAAATTCCAGTTCCAAGAGGGTGAAACCACCCGTCAAATATTACAATATTTTTTATTTAAAAAACGGTCAAGTTTCCGAAAAAACGCTTAAACACGTATATTTTATTTTGTTTTTTACATATTTTAAGATTTTTAAAAATGTATATAGGGTGTTTCGAAAAATCAGGTCATTGATTAATCACGATCCTGCTTAAAGCGCTTGACGTAAAAAGCTGATTTTTTGGAAAACGGATTGGCTTTAGGGTGTAGAGGTTCGAGAAGAAGGGATTTTTCGAAACTCGAATTCTAAGGGGGTGAAACTATCTCTCAAATATTAAAATATTTTTTAGTTAAAAACCGGTGAGTTTTTCGGAAAAACTCTTAAACACGTATATTTTTAAATATTTTATTTTGTTGTTTTACATATTTTAAGATTTTTATAAATTTATACAGTGTGTTTCAAGCTGATTTTTGGCAAACGGATTGACTGTGGGGTGTAGAGGTTAGATAAGGAGGGGTTTCTCGAATTCCAAGAGGGTGAAAACGCAATCAATATTAGAATATTTGTTATTTAAAAACGGTTAGTCTTTCGGGAAAACGCTTGGACAAGCATAATTTATTTGGTTTTTTACATAAAGGTTTAGGTATAGTAACGTCATAATTATATTGTTGAAAAGCAATTTTATTCGTGTTTAGACTTTTTAAATAATATACATTAACAAAATTCTCGATTAATGTTTTTTTTTATTTTTCTTTCAGGGGGATTACATCAAACACCCTGTAGTTTACGAGCTGTCCCACAAATACGGTCTTCCTACGGACAATCTGAGCGATTTACAGTTACAGGGAAAGCTAGAAGAACTCAAGGACATTATAAGAAGGTAGGTATATAAAATCATTCATTATGTACAGGGTGTCCCAAAAATTCGAGCTTCATCGTTGGGATCTCGGAAACTAGAAGAGATATAATGTTGGTTAAATAGCGCAAAGTTGCGCAATTTGATGCTGTTCAAAATGCCACCTTAAAAGTTTAACAATTTCGAATATTTCCGAAGAATATTAATTTTTTACACGTAAAAAACTATTTTTACGCGTATAAAATTATTTGTTACACGAAAAAAAAGTATTTGTTACTATACAGTACTATACAGTACGTCTGCCGGATCTGTCTATGAAAGGAATGCGGACAAAAAACATTTAAATAAACAATAATATATTTTATTCGTCGACTTGACGAGTACGTCACCGCAAATCGCTCCCCCACTCATTTTATTGGCTACTTGCAAATTTGTTGAATTTTTATTGATGGGACGCGTCGTCTAATTTTTTACGAAAAACATCGAGAGAATATCGTTTCCCCTCTCACGGATACCCCGTAGCTATAGAACGGACAGAAGTACTGTACCTACGTGCCTCCAAGGTATTCTATAAGGCGTAACATCATCATTTGTTGTTTACACGTTTACAATGTTTATATTTCTTATTGCAGGGAAATTCGCAAAGAACTGAAAATCAAAGAGGGCGCCGAAAAGCTCAGGGGCGTATCCACCGACCGGAAATCGCTCAGTCACGTGAACACAATAGTGAAAAATTCGAATTTTAAATTGACGGAACTGAAAAATGAACTCAGCGAGTTGGAGTCGCAGATCATTCTGTCACAGGGACAGACGTCACCGGCAACCAATCCCTTGTTGTCATCGAACGGAGGTAAGCACCAATCATCGTCTTTTTTCCTTCGTTCAACGTCACGGCATATTATTTTGTCGACTTGCCAACCAGATGAAAGAGATCGGTGACGTCATTACGGCATTTCGTAAATTACTGCATATTCTTTTTAGTAATTGTCATTGTCGTTTGATTTGGAGTTATAATTTTATTGACGGACATCGATCAATGTCAAAATTAAAATTTGATCGTTGCTGTAAAACAAAATTCAATTATTTTTATTGCAAAAATGCCTCAGATGTTTAACCAAAACGAACAAGAGCTCATTGCTAAGCTTATAAATTATTTTTCTCAAGAAAGAGACGCTGCACAGTGCTTCGTCCCATGGATAAAAATCGAAAAAAAAGTTAAAATTTACTAATATGTAATTTTATACTTATAGCAATGTTCAACCATCCTGTATATTATTTTTCATAAACAGCGTTTTTTTGTTAGCAAATATTTTTACTAAAAATAAATTTTGCGATCATTATCTTATATCAATGAAAAGAATAACGTTTATAGTAGTTCTGTATACGGAGTTAAACGTAAACGAGTTAGTACGTACTTAATTGAAAGCCACTATGGATATTGTTAAACAAGGTATGTACTTTAAATTTATTTCTAAACAAGTTCGTGATTGTTTAGTTTTTATTTATTTTTTAAAATGATTCTTAAATGGGTATAAAAATTTTACGTTTTCAAACTTCAAAAAGGCATTTAAAAAACATATCAAAACATATCGTATTTATTGAATATTTTTGTTGTCATATTCATACACTTTTAATTTTTGTATAGTTCACCTGCGTCTGCTTGCGACGAACTTTATTTTATAATACTTTTCAGATGGAGTAAAATTGACAAGCAATGCCGATCTGGTTAATACTTGGCTTGATCATAAGGACAAGAACTCAAAATTATTTGTATTTCAAAAAATGTGTTCTTTATTAGATATTGATGAACATTCCACTCAAATGAGACCATTTGTGCCTGAAAAAGCCCACTATTTTGGAGCGAAACGTCGCATAAAAAGTTTCCATCTTTCAATTTATTATAAAACCTCATACCCAAGAAAACGAAAAAATAATATATTGATATGGTCTATTAAAGAGGTAACTATTAACATCCGAACCCCTCATACCAACAAAAAGAACAGTAACAACGCGAAAAAGTAACATATTTGAAAATGATGTACAGAAATATCTTATATGTGCGGATATTTCATCTACCTGTGATTTGGATACTATAAATTTGGAAGATTCTGTCAGCAGTGATTCTTCTGAATCAGAGTAGTTACGATCTATGCATTTTGTTGTCCTAATGTAAATTTATAGTATCTTGTTTTTTTTTTAATTAAATATAGCATTAATGTTTCTTTTTCATTAAAGAAAAACATTTTTATATTATATTGGCTTATATTGTAGGAATCATGTTCTAATGTTATTCATATTCTTTTTTATCACAGGGATTTATTTATTACTTACACCGTTTTCATACTATAAATTATTATTTCCTTAGATGGAACACAGCTGCCACATTTTTATTATTTATAAGATTTTTTTTCATAAACGTGGGACTAAGAACATCATCATTTAGTACAATGAGAGTACTCATCATTTGTGTCAAATAAACCTAGTTTGAATAAATTACCTACAATAAAAGAGAAGTTTTGCATTTTTGTCCTCTAGAGCTATATGTTCGAAGCACTGTGCGCTGGTAGAACATAGATGAAGTAAGTACAATGCAAGGGTGTAATATTCCTATGTAAAATACAAATTGATAGCGTTTTAAAATAATATAGCGAGTTGCTGGTGCTCTAGGAATAGGAATTTCAACAGTCCAAAGGATTGGAATTAAAGGGATCGTAACTGATGAAAGAGTTCAAGAAAAAATTAATAAATGCCGAAAAAAAAACGAAACTCGCTCAATCAGATATAGGAACATACTTAATTCTAGTTTTCAAGTTAATGTCTCCTTTTTGCTGCCAGGGCTAATCTGGACGGGGCTTACTTTGTTTACGCGGAATCCGAACCGCGGTCCTCGGCCATATCATGATAATGGCTACCAACTGGCAAGTGTCTAAATCGAAGTACAATTCTTAAAAAAACTATAAGGAATAATAATAAATAAGGAAAGGTTCATATTTTCATTTTATTGATTTTATGGAAATCACTGTTCATTAAAATGTTGTATCCTATGTTATAGGGCTTGTTTCTCTCTACAATTTCCTGTCTCACAATGTACCGTTTGTCTCCAGGAAGGGTTCATAGTTTCATAGATGTCGATTTTCGAAAGAAATCAGAACATGTATATTATTTCGTATATTTTTCATTTTATTGATTTTATGGAAAGCACTGTTCATTAAAATGTTGTATCCTATGTTATAGGGCTTGTTTCTCTCTACAATTTCCTGTCTCACAATGTACCGTTTGTGTCCAGGAAGGGTTCATAGTTTCATAGATGTCGATTTTCGAAAGAAATCAGAACATGTATATTATTTCGTATATTTTTCATTTTATTGATTTTATGGAAAGCACTGTTCATTAAAATGTTGTATCCTATGTTATAGGGCTTGTTTCTCTCTACAATTTCCTGTCTCACAATGTGCCGTTTGTGTCCAGGAAGGGTTCATATTTTCATAGATGTCGATTTTCGAAAGAAATCGGTACATTTATTTTATTTCGTATATTTTTCATTTTATTGATTTTATGGAAAGCACTGTTCATTAAAATGTTGTATCCTATGTTATACGGCTTGTTTTTCTCTACAATTTCCTGTCTCACAATATACCGTTTGTGTCCAGGAAGGGTTCATATTTTCATAGATGTCGATTTTCGAAAGAAATCGGTACATTTATTTTATTTCGTATATTTTTCATCTTATTGATTTTATGGAAAGCACTGTTCATTAAAATGTTGTACTATGTTATAAGGCTTGTTTCTCTCTACTATTTCCTGCCTCACAATGCACCGTTTGTGTCCAGGGATGGTTCATATTTTAGTTGTCGATTTTCAAAAGATTATGTGTCAATAGATTTTACACTTTTACCTTTGGACAACAGCACGATACAGAGTTTCGAACCGGTCACCCGTCCATCCACTAGTATCGCCATGCGTCGCTTAACTTCGGTGTTCTAATGGGAACCGGTGTTTCGACGTAGCTGGGCCCGTTGCCCAACATACTTAATTTTTTTAAAAACAATATGAACTGATCTCAGACACACCCTAAAACTCATATTTGACAAATATAATGATGACGTAACGGTGAACGATGGCTGAACAGTCTTTACTTTCACAAGCTAGCGTGATTGCGGCGTTGCCAAGCCTTACCAATATTCCCAATATTTTAAGGAACAGTTCTAACAATATTTTCTCGTTATTACTCTAGATTCGTTACACCGATTGACAGGTCACAATGACAAGATCAGTCCCAACCACCTGAGTCGGATAGAAAACCTGGAAAAACAGCTCAACATCGAGCTGAAGGTGAAACAGGGCGCGGAGAACATGCTCCAGAGCATCGCTTCCAGGGACAAGAAACTGGTGATGGAGGCGCAACAGATGTTGCAAGATTCCAAAAAGAAGATCGAATATTTGAGGATGAAAATAACAAAGGTAATGACGAATTCTTAGCTTTTGACAAACACTAGATTATATTTTTTGACGTGACTATCATTATCTATGGCTATTATTATTATTATTATTTATTTAGGCCATTTAATTTGCATTGGGGCCTCATGTTTTAATTCATATTTTTGGCAAGTTGTAAATATAAGCGAAAATGCAAGAAAAAATAGGTATGGTAATCGCAAAACATTTTCCAATGTACAGGTTGGGTCAAATTCGACGCTTTAAATGGAAACACCCTTTTCTATAGGAGATAGACGAAAACTAATATCGGTGTCTGGAGCTCAATTTTCATCAAAAATATGATGGTGAAAACCGCATATCAATATCTGTTACCGTTTGGGAGTTACGGGGTGTTATGTGCATTTTTAACAAATCGCTGTAACTTTTTTGTTATGGAAAATTTTGTATTTCTATGAAAACATTTCCAAAGCACCTTTTTACGTAGAATTTAATGGTTTAAGTATAATTTTTTTAACATTAATAATTTAAGAGTTATCAACAGAAAAATTGACTTTTTATTTGGGACACCCTCTATATTTTTAATTAATTGTAAACAATTTAAAATTACCTTTCCAAAATATAGCACTTGATATTTTGTTATAATCCCTTCGAAATACAGAATTTTTAAAAGTTCGCTATTTTTAACTAGTAAACTTTGAACCCCTTATTAATGATATGCCCTTAATGGAACTCGAAAACATATTTTTTTCCAGCAAGACGACGCACCGCCTCTGAACGAAGTTATTAGCAAATTTTTGCAGCCAATTTCAAGAATAATTGGATAGCGAACCAAGATCCCAACCGTTGGCCGTCGAGGCCGCCTGACTTAGAGCCCATGGATCTAATCCTATGGATATATTTGCGAATAAAGGTTCCTTATTCTTCCGTATAATCTAGACAAGAATTAAAAATACTTAGCAGTTATGAAAGGGTATCTTTCACCCCTACTGAGTTAATGAATTCCGCGAGAAATGTTCAAAAACTGCCCTGTCTGTCCATAACAGATATAAGGTTGATATGTCGAACACCTGTAACAAAATCTCATGTCTTGGTTTGCTATTTATTTTTATTGCAGATATCGATATGCGGTTTTTACCATCATGTTTTTGACAAAAATTGAGCTCCAGACACCGATATTAGTTTTTGTCTAACTCCTATAGAAAAGGGTGTTTCCATTTAAAAACGTCGAATTTGACCCACCTTGTACAGGGTGTCCCATTTTGGTTGAAATCATACGGTATCTCGGTTATTGGTAAAGATAGGAGGATGCGGTTTGCACAAACCTGTCCCACTTTTTTGTCAAACGAAAGATGCTGTAAACAAAATTTTCATAGCTCCCTTCGTTCCTGGGCTACAGGGTCTTTTCGAAAATTTTCCAATTCGGGACTGCCCCCGCATCTCCGTTATTGTGGATGATATCGAAAATGTGAAAACTGATTCTTGTAGAACTTTTTACGTAGAATACAGTGGCGTAATCTGTTTTTGTACGGAAAAAATATTTTTAAAAATATCAACTAAAGTTATGTTTTTTCAAATGGAACACCCTGTATATTTATAAATCATATGATCCGTCTTGCTATGAGCTTCTCAAAAATATATATCACTCTATATTTTCACCTATTTACTTCAATATTTAAAATATATCATTTTTTATTAGTAGGCCGTGATAAATAGCATAAAAATCAAAATGGTATTTACTAAAATAGTCATACACACATTAAACTTTTATTTGGGATTGGTAAAATTTATAAATATACAGGGTGTTCCATTTAAGAAAACTTAAATAACTGCAGTTCATATCTTCGAAAATATTATTTTCGTAGAATAACAGACTACGCCACTGTTTTCACCGTAAAAAGTTCTCCAATAGACAGATTTTACCTTCTCGTCCCAAATTGCAAAATGTTCAAAAAGAAACAAAGAGAGTTATAAAATTTTGTTTACAGCATCTTTCGTTTGACAAAAAAGTGAGACAGGTTTGTGCAAACTGCATCTTTCTATCTTCACTAATAGTGGAGATACCGTATGATTTCAACCAAAATGGGACACCCTGTACATCATCAATCATATTGAAATTGACACTAAAGCCTATAAACCTGACTAAATGAAGATTTGCCAAAAATGTTTAAATTTGTTGTATAATTTAAGACACCTTGCAGCTCTTCATTTTACTTCATAGAGCCAAATGATTGTAACAGATACTTTATTTAGATAAAAGCTGCAAAAATTAGTTAAAGGGATTTTTATTATCGCCATGTTGGTCACATTGCGCCGCGATCAGCAAGGTTGTCGTTTATTATTTGACAATTATCACAATGTCAGTCATTATTTTGTATAATATCGTGTAGTTGTTGAATCTTTGTGAGTAATTCTCGTTTTTTGCCTATTTTTATAGTTTTTTTAAGAATTGTACTTTTAAGCACAAATAGTTCTTTTAAGAACTAAATTTTCGAGATTTTGTATTGCATTTCTTGAAATTGTGTGTCGAAAATATGCCGAAGCATTTAAACAGTCGAAGCAAAGAGCTTGTAACTTCCCTGATTAACTATTTTGAACGCTTTCAAAGTTATTTCTACTTATTTCGATTTGTAGCTAGTAGCTGCTGCCTTAAATTTAATTATTGCTACTGTGAGTGTTAGTGACTACTGTTAATAAATAAATTAATTACTAAAATATTAATTATTAAATTAAAAATAAAGTCTTAAAAAATCCATAAATTCATCACAATCTGGCAGCGCTGTCGCCATCGCTTGTCACTCAAAGTTGATCACGTGCATCGGAAATTGTTTTGCGATTACTTTAAATACTTAATGCTGAGTGAATTTCAAAATTGATTGATCAAATTCAAACGTTTTATGATGTAGATTCCATCTCTAATACCTGAATACAGGGATAACATTATATTCCTTCCCTAATCTTTTGATTCAAAGATCTCTGATATTTTTTTTCCAGATGAAACATGACATAGGTTCAAAGTCCAGAACGATTGGCTCTGTACACGACCTGACATCTAACGGTAATGAATTCAACAACGTAGATTTAGAGCCAGCTTTGGAAGAAAGGATAGAAGACTTGAAACACCGATTAAGAGTTGAAGCTGCTGTGGTAGAAGGTGCCAAAAATGTGATAAAACTACTGCAGAATGGCAACAAGGAACGCAGTGACAGGAAAGCTCTATCTGAGGTATAAAGGTGGCGTTACGTGCATCCGTCATCCGTCGATACTGTCATCTGATGGCGCTCTGATTCGTCATAGTGTTTTCACGTCACTTTTCGTACTATGAAAGTCGTTTTGACAGTTGTTATCTAACCTCACTTTTGTGTTGGCAATGTTCGAATTTCTACTAGTGAACTATACGCTATACGAAAAATATTTCTTATACAGAAATTGTTGAGAATTAAGTTCTCTACAAATTCGTCACACGCGTCTATAATTTGTACACATTTAAATGTGCCATTTATTTTTATTAGAAACGATCGAAAAGTTGAAAAAACCACGTTTATGTCATAATTTTTGATTTACTGAACTTTATGTTAATTAATAGCAATAAACAATATTTTTTTACAAAACTTGCGTATTCAAAAGTGGCGGATGATTTCATGCTCTCCAAATTTGATTGTATTTTATAACCAATCAAAGTTTAAATTCAACCAATAAAATTAACATGGTATGACCGTATCGTCGGATATTGGACGCATGAAAATCTACCTTAAATGTGCAATTTGACAGTAGTATATAATATACGTATTTTTATTTGATGTCTTTGGTCGTTATTTTGAATAGTTTGTCTGTGGCGCCATCTGTATTTTGGCGCCCGAACTATTATAACTTTCGATTACAGGGATCTTTAGGTGCAGTTTTTTGGTTTGGAGCTAAATAATCATAGAGGTGAGTACTGTGAGTTATTTTTTTTTACTCTAGCCTAGGTGTTTTTAAAATAGATTGCATGATATAGTAGTGAAAGTTATTCATTTCATCATTTTCTGCACAGTAAAACCCTCACATTGCTTAAGATAATATACAGGTGGGTACGAAAAACGGACACCTTGAAAATTTTCATGTATATTAAAGTATGATTATTTGACTTTTAAATTAAAAATTAAAGTTTCTTTTCTGTCTATTATACAAGGGAAAACAAAATGTTTCTATTTTGGCGAAAGTTCGATTTGGTTTGGTCAACAAAACTACTGTTGAATTGTTATAGTCTTCTTCAAAAGCCAATATCTCTAAAAAAAATTATTGAGATGAATAAAAAAATAAACTATCAAGAAACGATGCACCTTGATGATAAATTGCTAATAATAATTGAAATAAAAAATGTATAGTGCTATCATACTTTCTATCTTTTGTTTGGTAACAGTTGCAGTAAAACGGTTCACACAAATTTGGAGAAAAAATATCTTTCACAAAAAAAATGTACAGAGTGTTCCATTAAAAAAGTAAACTTATATTTTCTTCTTGGCTTTCTGACTGTCCAGAAGTCCTACATTTATTTTTTTTAACTCCAATAGATAAGTCTGCATTTAATGTCTGAAAATTCTGTACAACTGTGTATGTAATTAATATTTTATTATAGCGACACAAAATTAAGGCGTCTCAAATGTGAATCCTGAACTGTTGCCAGGAGATACAATAGGATCGCAATCGGTGTTTCGTTCAGATGCGGTCTAAGAATAGTTTGTTTGTTTATAGGAATAGCAACAGCGTCATTCTTAACAGACACTAAACCTTTCTTTTATCAGCTCGACCCGATCTGTTTTAACTTTGTTGGTGTTTTGACATTATCGCTTACATAATATCTGTGGCTGGGCTTCTTAAATATGTTCTGTGCGACGGCCAAAATGACGACAAATGGCAGCGATAAAAGACACTTTTTACTTTTACTTTTTGCGTAGGCTGGATAGTCATGTGCAGGTGTGTAAAATAACATGTGTTGCATTTTTTACAAGCTGTTCTAAATTTTAGAAAATACGAAAGTACTTAATTAAAAAACGCACTGGCTAAACAACCGCTGCCGCCGGCAATATTGTTAGTATATAAAAAAATACCGTCATTCGCCGGCCAACAGATTATTTTTAAACAACAGAATATTATTAAATTACCAACAGATATTCAGGCTAACTTACTTCATACACTTACTTTATTTCGATTTGACCCAGGGCTATAAAATTTTATTTCATTCTTCGATCATTTTATTCTAAATTGAGGTTTCACGTTTTTAAGATAATTTTTTTTTTGAAAACAAAACGTTTATACATTCTTGATTAATTTTTTTCTTAATTAAAAATAAAACTTGGCACTTGTTTCAATAATATTATTTGACATTTAAATAACTATTATGTACTTAATACACCATTTAAATCTTTATTACACGAAATAAATCTTTCTTAGCGTAAAACATGGTGAGAGTCAAGTTTGCTTTAACTTTGTACCATATGAAAAAAAACGGCGTCCAGTTGGCAGGGAAATGACGATCGACGACATTTCCCACATAAATTTACATATAAAATGACAGCGATCTTCATTTCATAGCCATCGCTGACGCCGTTTATTTTCGATCGAGAATTATAAAAACTGAAAATATCATTATGTTTTAACTCACAAAGCCCGTTAAACCATAAAACTTTCTAGTATATTGTTTTATTAGGAGTAAAAATGACACTTTTCGTTGGCGAGACTGTAGGTTTGACATACAGCCGAAGCACAAAAGTCATTTTACCCCGAATAGAACATGCTACTTTTTTCAAACGCCACAAATAATGTTTTAAACAATTTCAAACGTTCCAAATAATATAAAAATATTTACAACTCATACCTTGTAAGTAATTATCATGCTACAAAAAAAAAGGTATGATATTGCGCAGGTGGTCACCACGTCACAGGTGATAAACGGCAATATTGGTCGGCAAGCTCCACGCGCCAATTTCAAATTTTCAAACAGATGACACATAATAAATGTGTATAATGTGTCATAACTTTTCAAATGTCCAGCTCGATGATTTTACATAACTTTAGGGGTTATTTAATTCTTCCCTATTTTAGGTCTTTTTTTATTAGTGGCAATTGAACAATACGGATATTTTGTTGTATGGCATATGACGTCACAGGCGATATGCGCAAACTGAACGAAATTGGAGACGCTATCGACCATACCTTGTTTTCAAGTTTTCTTTGTACCATGAGTAATTATATATCGAGAAACTATGGTTACGGCTCGTTGAATTTGAGACTTATGTCATTTTAATAATATATTTTCATACTTTTATGCTTAGGCGTAAAGTGCTTTACTTTTATGCCTAGGCGTTAAAATGACTTTTTTATATTGTCAATCACGTCGCAAAAATTAATACTTTTGTGACGTTTGAAAAAAAAATAATATTTTGAAACTAACTGGTATATTTTTCTGCCACAACAAAGTTATTATACAGTGATAAATGATAAGATCATATTGAAATACGCTACTGGGTAAAAAAAATTGGCTAAATTTTATCAATAATACTCCATTTCAAAAGTTATTTTCCAAAATAATTAATATTTTTTAATAATTGATTGCAATTAATATTATTTGACTAGTTTAATTTGATTAATTAATAAGACTAGATTAATTTCATTTAAAATAAATTTGATCAGATTTTTTTCGTATATTCAACTACCAGAAAAGTAGAAGGAAGATTATAATGTATCTATCACAATATTTAAAAGAACTACTACAATAATTATTAGAAGAAAAACAAAAAGAAAAAAATACCCAAATACCTTCACCTTCTACTCAACTACAAAATAAATGAATATAATCTCTTACAAGAACACTACACAAACTACTTCTTGTATTCTACACTAAACAAATTATCAAACTTATTAATTAATCAAACATAAAGAAAAATTAACCAAATTACCCCTTCACCTACTACTTAACTTCAAAATAAAATATAAAAACACTACTAAATTTCTTCTGGTAGTCTACACTAAACATTATAATCAAACTTAATAAATTAATCTAATTTTACATTACAACTACAAAGAAACAAGAAAATATTTTAAAACTACAAGAAATAAAACTTCGATACGTGCGACCAGTATAATAGATCAAGCGGACAAAGAATATAAAATACTTTAAAATGTGCATTCAGAAAGAAAAAATATCTCGAAAATTATCTAAACAAACATTTTTTTTTCTTATCAGTGAAAAACATCGACCTCGTCGGCCTTGCGGAATTTGTCGGGTATTTACAATGGTCGAATTGTATAATTACCAGCTTTTATAGCATATCTAATAGACAAAAAGTATCTGGTCGATTAGTAACCAATTGGCACAGTCCGAAAATTATCGATTTTTATTTTCTCTGTTTTTATTGGCCGCTTCAAAATTCATAGTGACAAAAAATATTTTTCTCTAGTAAAAGACTGTGAAATACGCCCCGCCATCTGGTGCTTTAGATCCATAAACGTCTTAGGTTGAGCTACTTTAATTCATATACAAGGCTATTATGCACCAGAGCCGTTGAACTTTAACCTTCAATAACTTTCAAACGAGTCGATTAAATGAAAATTCATGAGATCTTTTTTGAAGACCGTTCATTTTCCTACAAGATGTATTGATTTTTACAAAACGCTGATTTGTTAGAACGCAATAAAATTTAAAAAAAATGTTTTTCCGTGTTATTTAAAAGGGAAATAGAAAGTCACGATGAGGCACCTCTTAATATTAATATTAAAAGCTGAATCATCATGAACGATATTTTCATGGTAACTAAAAAGAAAAAAAAATATTTATTTTTGTGCACCCTAATGCTCATTGCTTAATCTTCTTATCCAAAAGTTTCTGCGATGTACCTAGTTGGAGTATACATAGAATATCAAAATCTCATGCTAAAAAGTCCGTATTCTACGCCAATGGTTTCGGCCGCCTAGAAATAGTTTTTCCTTCGCTTGGCTACTACATGCCGTTGCCAAAACAGTCGCTCGAAAGACCCCAGAACGTCGGGAAAATTTCGTAGCCGCGAACGAAATGAAAAGAAAATTAACGAAAAATCCTCGAAATAGTGATCTGTGGGCGGTATTTCGACCGCTGTAATCGTCCAAAAAATTCGTATAGTGCCTAAAAAAACGTGTATTTTTTTAAATATTAGTGTGTATTTGTACAGTAATATGTGATTGTGAGTGAAGCAAGAATTCTATCTAATTTATGTATGACGAAGTTCTAGTTAAATACAAACTTCTGGGGTCTTCTAATAGTTATTTTTTATACAAGACGATAAAATGGTATTTTATCGTCGACCGAAAAGATTAATTCACGAGCGATCAAATCGCGAGTGACTTAATTTCGGGAGACGATAATGCAATTTTATCGTCGTGTATAAAAAAATATTTCTTTCCATAACGAGTTACGTTTTAAAGAATATTCAGAAATTATTATTACAAGGAATTTATTACAAGTAGAAAAATATTGTGCTGGGTTGGCGTTGGTTTCTATGTAATTTGACAAATAAATAAAGCTGTCTCTTCAGTTGTCAGTTTTGAGTCAATATTTTTTAATTCTCTTTCGTGTCGATTGCTGATTGAATTGGAGCCAGAAATGGCTCAAAACGAAATAAGTAAATTACAATTACGAACAGATATTCAGGCTGAGGCGACAAACGCCATATCCAAACTACTTCTATTTAAATCCCGAATAACTTATGAAAAGGAATACAAAAATTTTCAAAAATGGAAGCAATAATTAAAAAACGTGCGAGTAGAAATAAAGTTTTTAACCTATCCTCGCTGTTAAAGTATCATTTAATCTACTCTTGCGGTTAAAGTACTATTTTATCTACTATTTTTGATAGATATAAGGCAATTTTAACAGTTAGTTGCTATGGAAAAAAAATCAAAATATCTTTATTTTTTTATATAAAAAACCTACTGGGCTAAGAATCCAAGGAGACACATTTCTGAAGGTTGACAAGTCTATCTTTCTGTTTCAAATTTTCTTTGTTTTTTTTTTTTAATTCAGATATTTAAAGAAGTAGTCTAGATGTTTGGGCAATGTGTCATTTGACAAACTCGCATGGTATTTGATACAATACATTTTTACTTTGATGTTCGTTGTTTGTTGGGGTTTTGTGTGTGCCCCATGTGTGCCCCCAATATAGATTTATATTGCGTTCTAACTGAAGTGCGTATATTGGTTCTCCTAGCTTTTGTCATGTTTTTTAGATATCTAGGATGTGTGAGATTTAAAAGTTAAATACCGTTACAAGAAATCTCTAAATACTTCCCGAATACCTGTGTTTTTCACACGATATAACATTTTGAAAGAATAAAAATTAATATTAGTAATACTGTAATATAATAACGTATAGTTCATATCAAATCAACGTTTAGTCACGTGATTAAGCTTGACCGGTACAACGTTGCCAACTTTTTCATATTTTCTTTTAATCAAAATATTTTATGAAACAAAAATAAATTAATTATAAATATATAAACAGTTATTTACATCAATAAAACTCAGCTTCTTAACAGCACTTAAGGGACATAAAGGGCCATTACTACCGCTTTTCCGTTCAAAACGAAGTTGCGATGAGTTTTTTGCAACGGTTATTAAGCTATTTTAAACAAAAGAGGTTCTAAAAAGAACAATGTTTGACTGCAAGGTCTGCTAGTATATTTTTTTAATCTTAAATTATCACAACCCAATTCATTTAAACCAAAAACTCGTAATACAAAACTAAAGTGTGAAAACGAATAACAATGTCAGGAAATAAATAAATAAATGTGGCAACTTGGCATTTTTTACAGCAGAGCTACCACCTGAATCCCCAGCTGGAAATTTAAATTCCAGTTAGTCAGCCTGGCGCCGAATACGTCCATTGTTGGCAAAAATGAATTTAAAAATCGCGCACTCGATGACGCAACTATAAATTTAATTGGTATCGCTTATATGTATACTATTTATTCATTTAATACCCTGCATACAACGCAAGACATTTTATTTCAATGTCTGTATCGTGTTGAAATACGAGCAAAGCAATATATTCACATGGTGACAAGTGTGGAGTGTCGGGTGGTCTTCTTCGGTTTATTTTGGTTGGAGCTGTCCAACGACCGGGAAAAAAGAAGCGTACAGGTGTACCGGGACTAAACGGTGTCTCCGGGAACGAAAATAGAACAGGAATACGTACGGGTGTGCGTGTATGTATGCGGATTCGTTGGCCGCACGTGACGTAACACTATCGGTTTGTTGATTTAAGACGTTTCCCTTTGTTGTTACCGCCCGTTCTCGGTCATCGCTCCATATTTTTTTTCAATATATATTTATAGAAACCTGTTTAATGCATTTATTTAATTTATATCATTATCATCATTATATTCTGCTCAGAGCTTTGAATAAAAAGATTTCACCAGTCCGAAAAAGTATCAAAATAAGCGTTCGGCATTTAACGTTTTATGTCAAACTGGCTAGGTATTTTTATACAGATGAAGAAGGAAATTAAAGATAAAGGATTATACTATATCCGTATTGTAGCACATTTTTACACAACTTCTTTATTTTTAAGATTTTGATGGTAAATCATCAACAAAATATTCTTTATGTTTGGACTAAATTTTCTCGAAAATAAAGACATAATTTAAAATTCCGTTACAATACAAAAATAGATTGAAGTTTTGTGATTACAGTGATATATAATTTATATGGTTTTGTAACAAATTGCTGGCTATATTATGGCAATGAAAAATTTTCATTTAAACTAAATAATAAAACAAAATACAGTATTGGCCATAAGTGGATGAACTTTGTTAAAATAATGGGTTTTTCCTAATATGTTTAAAATTAAAATTTGAGCTATATTTACTTCAAGTCTAGTGTCAGTGCTATAAAAATAAATAGCATTGTTTTTTTTAAAATGTGCTTTAATAAGGTAGCAAAAAATTTAAATTGAAAAAACTATTGGACAAAAGTAGATGAACAAAATATATATTTAATAAAAAAAAATCTTATGTTAACAAAAACTGAAAAATTAACTTATAATTTACTAGTACTTAGTGTAATAACCCTTATTCTTAATTACTTTCAGACATCGCTTAGGCATAGATCCCAGAAGATTTTCAATTATAGAAAAATCGATATTTTTCCAAGACTCTTTCAAAGCTGCAAATAATTCTTGCTTATTTTTGTAGAATTTGGCCCTAATGTGTTGATCCAAAATTTCCCATAAATTTTCTATTGGATTCAGGTCTGAGGATTGCGATGGCCATTTGAGAACAGTCACCATTTCATCTTCCAAAAAACTTTTAACGAATTGTGAGGCATGTTTCGGGTCGTTATCATGTTGGAAGTAGTGTACAACTGGCATTTTTTCCTCCAAATAAGGCACTAAAAGGTTTTGTAAAATGTCTCTGTAGCCAAACCGATCCATTATGCCCTCAATTTTATGGAGAGGCCCCATCCCATACCCAGAAAAACAGCCCCATACCATGATTGAGCCCCCGCCATGTTTTACAGTGGGTCGCGTGTACTTTGGTAGCAATCGTGCGTTGGGAGGTCTTCTTACATGTTGAATTCCATCTGATGACAACAAATTAAACTTTGATTCATCACTAAAACAAACTTTTTTCCATTGTGCCACAGTCTAGTTTTGATGTTCCTTGGCAAATGCTAATCGGGCCTTCAAATTTTTTTTTTGATAGCAGTGGTTTCTTGGCGGGTCTTCGGGAAAACAACTTCTGGTCAACTAATTTAGGTCGGATTGTCCTTGTACTCACTGGTGGATAGCCCATTTCTTCAAGTTTTGCTTTTATCTTCGTTGACTGCAAAAATGGATCTTGTGAAGAAATTCGTTTTATGGCTTTTATCACATTGGGACCAACTTTTTTAGGTCGTCCTGGTTTTCTTTTTATAGAGACATCTCTCTCATTATATCTCTTTAAAATATAATGGACCGCTGATTTTCCAAGGCGTAATTGCTTAGCGATTTCCGATTGCTTCAAACCATCCTTAAAAGCATTCACTACTCGCAACTTAAGATCTGCAGACAAGTTAATTCCACGTGGCATGATATATCACAAGCTCAAATGTTTTTAAATTGCAATTGTTCATAAAAGCAGAACAAATGAAACTAACGATTTTTAAAAATATTTAGTTCATCTATTTTTGTCCAAGACAAAAAAGCAATATTTGCCAATTCTTATCTATAACTGATAAGACTAACAGAAGAATTTATATTTTTTGTAGTATTTTGGTGAGAATGTATTAACCTTTTAACATACAAAGGTACATAAAATAATTTTGATATTTAACACCTCAAATCTGATTTTCTTCGCAATTATTGGTATTGGTTCATCCACTTTTGGCCAATACTGTAAGTACTCCATATTAACTTACTTCTTTTGTTGATTTCTGCTAGTAGGTATTCCAAGCTGTGTATTAGTTGTTCCACTAATCTACAATTAAAGTGATGTATAGCAAATTGAAAAAAAAAATAAAATAAAACAATATTAATGTAAGCATATTTTATGAATAATAATGGATGTTTTAAAGTAAATATACAAAAAATCTGTGACTAAAGGAATGTTTTTATTAAGCAACGACAACCGTAAGCTAATAATAACAAATTCAGAAATAACTCGGGTTTCAAAAATAAATTTTTAAACAAAAATAACATAGGCTCGAATATTTCGGTCGTTAGTAGAGGCTTTCGTGAATTTTAATATATATTTATTTTCGTTAGACCTCATTACTACTGTTACTGGCACAATTTCGTTTTTAAGAGTGTTGTTAAAACCACTACTGACTAGTAAATAATATAATATTAAAATTCTCATTACTCATAATATTAAGTACAGTATTACATATTATTATTTAATTATTATTATGTTTTCAAAACGTCTGTCAGAAAAGCAGACCAAACCAAACCAAACCAAAACAGATAGTGTCGTGGATTTCTAAGCCAAGTAACTTTTTATATTAATATTCACAAAAAAATCTTAACTATCTTCAGACCTACCAAACGTGTAACTTTAAGAATATTTTTCCCTAAAAGAAGTCTAAAATTTGAGCAATATTTTATAGAAAAAAATAAATAAAATTACCCCAACATTAATATCACACCAAAATAAAAGACTATGACAATCCTCGCGAGTGCACGACACTTCCACCTTCCCAAAAAGAAGTAAACCATCTTTTCCCACCGCCTACCAACTAAAACACCACGCCCACAATGTACGGGAACGCCCGAAGGGACGAACAGTCTCCACCCACACATTTCTCCGTCCACGCAGAATTCACCATCTCCCATCCTGGAGCCGACGACCCGCGAAACAGGCCGCGAACCAGCACGGAACGAGACGAAGCTACAGGGGGCGTGCGCATGACGTACACGTGGCAGCCCGAGTGGGCGGGACGAGCCACGTCAGAGGACAGGACGTCGGAGGGAGGACGTGGCAGGACTGGGGAGGCGTGGCCACCTAGTGTTTCGAATAGCAACAAGTAAGTGAGAGGCAGAGTATCAAAACTCGTCTTATCCATTTTTGGTTTGGTATGACAATTTTTTTGATATGACAATTTTTGCTACCAATATACAGGGTGGTCCGAATTTTATTCCGGAAACTTTGACAGCATATTCTGCAAATAAAAATAAGTAAATAAGTGTGTATAAATGTATGTTCTAACATGCTTAGTTTCGGAGATACAGCGTGTAAAAATTCATTTTTATTTCGATTTCTTCCAAATAATTTCTGAAGTAACGTCAATTGAAAATTTGTGTCCGGTAGTTTTTTGACATGAATAATTTGATTTTGATGTAAATATGACTCCTACTTGTAGAGGGCGCCACCTACATATTTTTAACTGGTTTGAAAAGTAATAACTTTTCGTCCGTATCTGTATAAAACTACTGAGTAAAAAAATATACATTTACGACGTTTTTTTTACGACTCTTGGTAAAAATCGCTACGAGTAATGGTTCTTGATATATTTGGAATCGAAATTATCAATACCTGTCACCATTGCCATAAATTTGAAATGTTTTTGTGCCAAAAGTTTAACAACAACTGTTTTATAATAATTTTTTCGCAAAAAAAATTTTGATTAATTAAAAAAAATATAAAAATTTACCAAATTTATTATTTCAGCCAAATAACTATCTACTCAACATGTTTATTTTTTGTAATAATGACATGTATTGACCAGCCAGATATCAATTTTCAATTGACGTTACTTTAGAAATTATTTGGAAAAAATCGAAATAAAAATGAAACTTTTACACCCTGTATCTCCGAAACTAAGCATTTTAGGATATAAATTTATACGAACTTTTTTACCTATTTTATCTGCAGAATATGCTGCCGAAGTTTCCTCAATACAGTTGGGACCACCCTGTAGAATAAGAAGATATAAATGTCTTTTTACAGATCTCTTTATAGTGATACTCCCAGCTCTGCAACATTAACACCTCCAAGATCCGTACCGCCTCAGATCAAACCTCCTAGTGCAGTTTTCGGTACTGATTACACCAGAGGGTACCAGCAAGGCAACATTTTCTTTACTTCCACACCTCCACCTAACAAAGAAGGTGACGATATCAAATCTGAAAACATTCCCAAAGACCCCAGACTGACCCTGATGCAAGACGCTGCCACTAGAGGGGGTTTGATTCACGATTCTTCCGGGTATGGTAGTGATATGTTTAGTCCCGCTTCACTGGGTAGTAGTAGTTTGCCTAGAAGAATTATACCGCCTTACGATAGGAAATGTAGGAGCACTTGTAACATTACTTTGTCTTCAAATCTTGCAGGTTAGTTTTGAGATAGAGACCATATAAGTAATCTTCTGTAAGGCTAGTAAAAACTTTAAGCGCCTTCCAGGAGAGTACGATGGCAGCAACATGCGGAATGCTATAAACAAGGGTAGATTGGTTTGGGACATCTAAATCAATCGATTAAGTTTACAAGTTTACATTTTTAAATTTCTACAAAAAATATTTAAATTAATTTTATTCACTGTAGATTTTTTAATCACCCTCTATTAGATATATCAATAGTCAACGTTTAACCCACATTTAAACAGCTCAGCTGATTGAATTTTTAGGTTATCCAATTTATTTGAGATTTTACTCAAAACAGTAAACCTCTGACAAAGCTAAAAAAAATTTATGTGATTTTTATATATACAGACTAGCTTTATAGGAGTGTTGCCTCTATGGAAATAAATATTTGAGAGAAATAACACAATAGTTTTTGTTTCTAGGTTCTCAAGTACCAAGTAGTTCTAATTCCTTATGTAATAGAACTCATAGTTTAAGGTGTCAAACTCCTTCGTCCTCTATAGGACCTAGTTTACCTTTAAATCGATTTTATGGATGTGGTGATCCTTGGTGTCACCACACGAGACAAGGAGATGAATACCCTTTCGGCGGTGGAATATCAACTGTTCCTGAAGGTATCCACACTTTATTTTCAAGATTTTAATACTTATATAGTTTTGGGAAACATACAGTAGTACATAGTTCCTTCTAAAACCAATAGGAGAGCCAACGTACAACACCCTTAAAATTTACTTATAATATGTCCTGAGCCAAACACATAAACTAACAATTTAATTGTAATTTAGAATCATTTTTAGAATGCGCAAAGGGATCGTCAAGAAGTACAAGCTTAGGACCACCGATTACTCAAGCGAGTACAAAAAAAGACGCTTCCGTACAAACCTTTGAAATGGTGGACAAATGCACGTCTCCCTTTTTAAGAACCAACAGTACTGACTCTGTTGAAGGTAAAACTTCTAAGAAATACCAAAGGCGGGGATTCACAGAACCGATTTGGAGAAGACATTCCCCAGGAGGCACATTTACACCGGATAGTCTAGACAGTGTCAAGGTACGAATTAGTTATTTGTGTTTCTAATTAGTACCATAAGGTCGAAAAAACGGCGTAAAAGACTGCTGGGAATGTAACGTTTAGTAAATAGTAGTAGTAGATAAGTATGTAACGTTTTTTTTTGTTACTGGGAGCAAAACTCACTCTTATTCTGCAAAACACTGGTAGGCTCTTGGATTTTTTAAAAGATAGTGCTTCATAAATCGGGAGTCTAACAGAAAAAAAAACGTTACACACTTATTTTTGGCGCCCAACGTGGGGTGGTAAATCCAAAGACTGCTGGGAATAACTTTTTTTTTTTGATTTAATAGTGACTATTATTAAATGAGAATTAATATTATTTCATAGCCTCCAAAAAAACTAACTCGCTCACCGAAGCTAAGAAGACATCCTGCTTTCGATCACTCACGTGAAGCTTCCAAAGAGAAATCACCCGCCGATTCCAAGGCCAGTGATTCACAGAAGAAACCCAGAACCGTTCACATTGACGTTTACTGTACCGGTACCGAACTAGAATCGGATGCTAGCGGTGAAGGTAGCGATGATGGCACAGAGAGCAAAACAGCCAGTACGCCTCAAACAGTATTTGAGAACGAAAAAATGAGAGTAAGTATTTTTTTAACAGAAAATGCTGATAATTTTTTCTTATTAGTTCCTCTATTTCTCTATTTTTGTTTTCAGGTAACTCATAAAAAAGCCGACGAAAAAGACTTACCGTTTTATTTGAAAAACAGATTAGTCAAAAACTCTGAAACAAATCAGTCTTTAAAAAAATCGTTTGAAACTGCAACGTCCATGGAACAAGACGAGTCAGACGATGATGCCGCTAGCACCGCATATCCTTCGAAACTTAGCTCATATTCAACTATTGGTAAGACTATTATATCTGCATATTTATGTTGTTGATTTAAGATTTAGTCAAATACATTATTTTTTTTAATTTCGATATTTAATCTAATTTCAGGTGATTTTTCTGCAAGTCTTTCAAGTGTTCCACGATCCTGGACAACCTATTCCATGTCCAGTTGCGCCATTCCAGAAGACTACGATTCCGTGGCCAATACTTCTTGGAAAGACACGTTTTCAGACATCGACAGTCTTCTCCATAGTCGTTCCAGCATAGCACCCACAGAAAGTCTGGATTTTGTTCCAAGAAAACTTTACCAAACGAACCAGAGCATAGACGAAACTCCCGAATATTCAAACGAGAGAAAGGATCTTTTGGAGACTCCTACCGTGCTGAGTATTCAAGGAAGTGATAGCTTCGAGTATGCTAATTCCGAAGATCGGTTGAGGATTAAACAAATGGAGGAAAAATGGAAGAACAAAGGGTATCCCAGACCTTACAAACCTACAGTGAACGAAAAAACCCTTCAGGCACAACAAAAACGCATGCAAGAGTACATGGAGAAAAAAATCAAAGACAAAACCAAGTGGGACTCGAAAGACAGCGATAGTAACGACTCGGATGGTTCAGGCAAGGGCTGGACCTTCGTTAAAGGTCCTCAAAAAAGGGACACCATCGTTAAAAAGCCTAGTAAAGAAGAGGTTCCTAAAATTACAGTGGAGGATGAAGTTCCTAAAGCTAAAGACCCAGTAAATGCTTTACCAAATACAGTGAGACGAGCTTTTCTGAAGACTTTGGACTATCAACCTACTTCACATGGTGAAACAATCTCAAAAAAGCGTCCAGAACCTTTAAAAAAACCTCCATCCAAAGAAAGTATCGATCAAGGCTCTCTAAGCGATTCCAGTCCAACATCTCGTTCGCCTTCAGTAATTTCAGCCAAACAAAGACTAAGTTTAGACCCGAATCTTCGTTCGCCTTTCATGATAGTCCCGGGGATTTACACAGAACCCCGATCCATCGCCAGAAAGTTCGGAAAGGTCGTAAACGTCATGAAAAAACCTGGACACCACGTTGGACCGGCCAAAAACCCGGACTGCCTGTGCGATCACTGCCAGAGCTTCTGGGAATCGCTGGGCTACAGGAATAGAACCAGGAGCATGGGGGATCCACCTAGCGGAAAGTACGTGGGCAATTGGAAAGAGTTTTTGGAAAACAACGGCTCCAAGGACCGACAGAAGGGAGGGGACGTGCCCTTTACCGATTTTTGAACTGTGTTTGTCCGTGTCTTAGAGGTTATTTTGTGATAGTTTTGTGATACAGTTCGTGTAAACCTAGTGATGTTTTTAATTTTTTTTTATTTTTGTTTGGATTTAACTCTGTGTATTTTTAAGTTTGAAGAGTTTACTGGTAAGGTTGTTCTTCCGGCCTGGAGGATCGAGTGAAATCATGGATGTAAAAAGGTATTTTTTTAAATGAGTCATTCCATGGTAATTGAGTCGGATATTTTTACAAAAAAAACAGATAGAAAAATCAGACAAAATTACTATTTTTCTCTAAATAACCAGACCTTTGTGAAAGATTTATCTTCAACCTTATGATAACTATTCTTAAGGTTGAAATTAAATCATTGTTATTAAATTAATTAAGATTTAATGTAATGTTAGTTACGTATTTTGTACTCTCATGACTAAACAAAAATAAACTGACCACCATAGTCTGATTGGTCAGCTGTCATCTTCCATGGAATGATTCAAATCAAAGTCTATAACAATCTATAACTCCACTTTTATTAGCTCTGTTTGGTGATTTACCGCCTCACGTTGGGCGCCAAAAATAACTGTATTACGTTTTTTTTTGTTACACCCTGTGTAAACGGTCACTTCATCGGTAAAATAGTCGTAGGTTCTTCGATATTTTTTTATTTATATTAAGAGAGCGCTACATAAATCGCATGGTGTAACAAAAAAAACGTTACGCATTTAATTTTGGCGCCCAACGTGAGGTCGGCAAATTCAAAGAGCAAATAAAAACCGTAATATCGGGTAGTAACCATATGCAATCATATATACTAAAATAATTAACGTATATTTAAAAAAAACGTTACACCTAGACCAAAAAATTTACATAACATTGCCAAAAATTCTTAACAAATGGGAAATAAAATTATACAGTTGTCGGCAATATCAAAAATCTTTGTATATTTAGAAATCTTCATTAAGTGATTAAGTACCGTATTTTTTATTAATTCTGTTATCAGACTTAGAGTTAGGTACTTTTTTCTGTTATATAATGAGTTGAATGGGTTTTTTTTCAGAAAACATTAGGTTGAGGTGATTTCCTTGTTTATTATTCCTTTTTTATTAAGATTTTTTTTATTAAATAGTTGAAAAATTTTTTCCATGTTTAAAACAGCGTTTTAAACATTATTTAAACATGTTTAATCATAACCCTGATAAAATTCCTAACCTTACATTACCCCAAACACGACCAAAGGCATCAATATATTTACCGTATATAACTTAAAATCTATTTCTTTATTTCGTTCTATCCAACAACGCCATATCATTTGTTTTTATTGTCGGTACCTGCAGGCCCAAGATAGTTTGCGAGCGAGCAGCATGAAGCTGGACCTGCTGCGCAGATCGCTGGAGCAGCGCAAGGCGGAGCTGCCCGCCGACTCGCCCGTGGCCATGCAGCTCAAAGAGGAACTGGCGCACGCGCAGACGTCCAGTCCGGTGACGGTGCACTACACCAGTTTGCAGCCGTTCAGGGTGCGCAGTGATAGCAATAAAATGCATAACGTTTCCAGTACTATTAACAGATGCGCCGCTGTTACCGGTAAGTCGGCAATATATTTTTGGAGTATTATTATTAGCCTAGATCATATATACTTACGCGGATAAGTAAATCACTATGGAAACTGTCGCAAACATATCAACGACTTCCATTGTTGCACACGCGGTGCTTCTACTCTATCTATCCTTGTCGAGGACCTATCGTCCGCGCGCCAAATTTGAACATTAATTTTAAAAATTTAATTTGTAAAATGCTTATATTGGAACAATAAATTGAATGTTTACTGTCACAAAAATTAAATTATATAAAAAATACATTTAGCTGCTTCGTACGAATATTAATATTCTTAGGAAATATAACCAGAAAGTATTCATGTGGCTTAATATAAATAAAAGAACAACTGAATACTTTACTTGCCTATGAAAAGATAATCCGGGGACCTTTATATTAGAACTTTCACACACTAAACACTTTCTAGTCATTTTTTCGAGTATATAGAAAGTCCAACGAAAAAAAAAATAGAAATATAATTGCACAAACTTAAAATTAACTCCTCGCTGAACACACTTGCATCCTTAGTTATATAAAAGCGATCGATAAAAGAGTAATTAATAGGTACAATTTTTAAAATAAAATCGCAAACAACAAGCGTCGTTATACAATGAAAATAAGATTATGACGTATGATTATGATAATATGATGACAATGAAAAGTTGGTTTCCATAATAATGAATAATTTGTACTTTCTAAACCGTATAAAATTGTGATTATTTTGGAAATACGTGCAACTTTTAATGCGCATGCGCAAAGTAAGGCCCTCGGAAAAGACAAACCTATTGAACGTTTCATAAGTGCAATAAAGAAGGTTTGAAAATGGCATGTCGTGATGTTGGAGACGTCATTTTTAATACTAATCGTATGGCGTTTGTCCATCCACGTAATCATATATTATGATCTAGGATTATTAGTCAGTTTTATGAATCTAAAAAAATTAACTTAAAAAAAACGATTATTAAATTAAAATTTTCAATTCAGGTACGTTAGAAGTAAGGTTAATGGGCTGCCAAGACTTGTTAGAAGATGTACCGGGTCGGCTCAAAAAAGACTCGGATATTAGTTCCAGTCCAATGGATCTTAGGTTTTTTAAAAAAGGTAAAAAACACGTTCTGTATAAATGTTGAGGCTTTTTATAAAATTTTATATTAATGCAGGTGTAACAGGGAGGGGTTCCTCAAAAAGTTATAGCGTGAAAGATGACATTAGTGATGAAATAATGGCGCTTCTTAAATTAGATAACAATACAGTGGCGCAGACTAGTTGGAGGCAGTGTTCACAACAAGTGAGTAAATAATATATTGGACTTGTACAGGGTGTCGTACAATTTTCGTTTTATTTTTATGGGGTTTTTCGTTTATGAGTAGATATACAAAGATGCGGTTTTTACATCACTGTGCTAGTTTTTTTACATTAACTATTAAATTCGCCCTGTATATCAGGAACTAAGAGGGCTAGAACAAATCTTCGTGTTGCATCTTTAGTTTCATAAAAAAAAGTAGCATAGTAACATGAAAACCGCATCTTTGTATCTCTACTAATAAACGAGTAACACCAGAAAACATATTAAAATGGGATACCCTCTACTTGTATAGTGTGATTAAATGAAAACGACGCGATGTCATAAAGGCGTAGAAATAGATCAATTTGTTGATTTATTGCAGGCATGGGACCAGAGGTTTTCGATTGAACTGGACAAGTCCAGAGAATTAGAAATCGGAGTATACTGGAAAGACTGGAGATCGCTTTGCGGAGTTATTTTCCTAAGATTAGAAGAATTCATAGATAACGATAGGGACGGGATGGTTTTACACCTCGAACCTCAAGGACTGTTGTTTGCAGAGGTATGGGTCAAATCAGGGACATCTAACTATGAGGGAGACACAACACTCCATTCGTAAAACACCATTTGTTTACAATCATACATACTTTAACACTTTTATGTTGAAGTTAAAATGAGATTGGTGAATAAATATGGCAACGCTGTTGAGATTCGTGTGCTTTTCTGTCTTTTCGGTCTACAAGCAGCGTGCGTTTTTTATCATCAAATTTAAAATGTAAAAAGTAATTTTAATTTTGATTTATAATATACAGGGTGTCCCTGAAATAAGTGCAAGTATTTTAAGGGGTGACAGATCTCGATAAAAGAAACATCTTTTCTCTTTATCGTTTTTGAAATAAGTCCAAAATAACCGAGTTATTTTACTTTGAAAATTTCCAAAAAAAATGATTTAACTATTTATTCTGTGATTTTTTAATCTCCGGTATTAATATAAATTGATTGTTGGTACAATACCTCATTTAATATAAAATAATATTCTACTTTTTGAAATGTATCGGGCCCTAATTGTACCTAAAAGTAAAATATATTTTTAGTGATATACCATATTGTAAACTATTTAATATTTCAGTCGGGACACCCTAAATAGTTAATTTGCATTGAATAATTGCCTACCATTAAAAGGAAATTTGAGCTATATAATCCTTGATGGGCATCTTACTCTAAATTTTGGGTTTCGTTCAACCAATTTATTCTCAAAACCTGAAACATCTACATATAAAAGAAGCACAGGTCACTAATTATAATAAACTTAACCCTTATAATTTTACTTCCACTAATTATAATAAACTTCACCCTTGGAATTAGTTCTATCACAATTACAATACATTCATCTGCATTGGCATTTTCTACTGCCGATGAAAAACAATAAACTTTCTAACATTTTTTAAATGATGTAACAATTCCTTTTGTTATTACTTTTCCATAGATATCCTCATCTACTGTCCTCATGTGAATTCAGAGGCAATGAACATAAAAATTATTTACCATAAACATCGCAAACTAAAAACCTAATAAACAATTTTATAACATAATATAGAAATAAATTTAGTATTCTTACCTATTTTATCGTCCAAATCCATGTTAATAGATAATTATTCTTTCTTAATAAATTTTAATTTAATTAAATTAAACGAACTAAAAAGTCTTAAAAATAAACAATTCTTAACCATAACCCCAAAAAATACAGATCTCCTGTCAACTTTCTTTATTTTTTATTTATTCATTGTTTTCCTAGTGACGTCACAGGTGGTATGCGCGAACTGAACGAAATTGGAGCCGCTATCGATCATACCTTGTATTCTTTGTACCATGATCTAACACAAACCGCGGAAATTTGGCATCATCGATTTTTGTTAAAAACGATGTTTGATCGGGATAAAATGTAAATAGTATCTCCTTCTTTATGTTAGATGTCTTTGGCTCTCAAAACGCTACAAGAAAAAATGTGTATTTTCAATTATAATGATTTTTTTAGATTAAATTCCTGAACCCGATGATTTCGAAACGTCCGAAACTACAAAGACAGAAGAGGATATTCAAGCAGATGATGCCCAGGGCGAAGCAAATGAATATTAACATTGTCACGTGGGGCAGGTGGATGAAGCAATCAAACAGAGTGCCGAGCAGACAAAACCTTACACTTAGTACTCCAGAAATAAATGATGCCGTTAATGTAAGTTTCTTAACTAAATTTAGATTAATACGAGGGTGATTTGGAAAGTTTCTCACCTTAAAATAATACGAAACTTTTTTTTACTGCTAGTTAACATTTTTAGAAAAATGTTTCAAATGTAAAGCAGGAACCTGTTGTGTCATGTAAACCGATTTCAGTTATTCTAAAGTCGGAAAAAAGGAAATTATGCATTTGTGCAGAGAAATTTTTATGATTTTGTGCTTGTGAAGGTTTCTATATACTGGATTTTTGGTTTCTTCTTTTATAAATGAATTCAGCTGAATAAAATTTCACTCCTTTCTTATACAGAACGAGCAGAACGAAGACGAGAAACCTGCCACGCCCGGGGAAACCCCCGACCACCAAATAGGCGGTTTAGGCGGTCGCAGACCTCTGGGTCTGGAACTGACTCCCGTGCCTCCACCCAAAGTGCCTCCCTCCTTCCAATCGTCCCTCCCATCGACGCCGTCACCTCCCTCCGTCCACCTCCTGCCCACCCACAAACCTTCGCTCAAGTGGGAGAAACCGGAGGATCTGGCATCGGTGCTTGCTCCCACTCCCGGACCTAGGCCGCCTTCGGTAAGGAGAGTGTCGGACGAGCCGCCGCTGATAACGCCGCCCCCTGTACCGCCCAGGCTGGACCCAGAGGTAGGTTATGTTTTGGTATTATACACTTTATATGTGTTTTTCGAGAGAAATAAGTAAACTTAGAAAGGTGTTAAAGTATTTATTTCTTATTGAATATTTGTTATATTCGTGTAGGTTCGTCGCTAAAAACATACGTAGATATTGGACAATCTATGGTAATGTTGTATTTGACTCCAAATCAATGTTATTTATACCTTTTATGGTGCCCCTTTTACTTATTTCTCTGAAAACTTAAATCTATGCAGTAAAATAATTTATTTTAAATCTATATAATTTTATACTTGTACATTATTTTTTATATAAACGTTCCAAGGTTTAGGGATTTATAACTAAGTATTTTGATTTGTCTAGGTATGGTTAGAGGATGGGCAATGTATTTTTTGGAGACTCTAGATAACGAGTGTATCAAAAGTCTTAGTTTTAACAGCTTTAGATTGTAAATTGTATATGTTTACTTCTGTTTCTTTGTATGTAATTGAGCTATTATTTCAAGAACTCTCTTTAGTGGTGGTAGTTAATTCATCTCTTACTTTATCTCTTATTTGAAGTAATAATTTTTATGAATATGATGGCATAATCGAGAAGCAAATTTTTTTCTAATTATTGATTAACAAATAACGTAGCAATACTTGTTGATAATAATTTTTAAAACAAAAGAGGAATTAAAAAAATGACATTTTACAATTTAAAGTTTGTTTAGAATCAGGCCAATTTTTTTTTAACGTCTACTGAATTGTAATTTATGTTACAATCTAAATAAATTTTGAAAAATAAATTAAAGTAATGGTCTGAAAAGGCTTCTGATGATTCGTTATGTTTGTCTATTGTCTGTACAATTGTATATGTCAATACTTCCCGAGGTTTGTGAACATTTTAAGGATTTAAGTTTATTATTGTAAAGACACTTGTTTAGTATCTTTAAATAGCACTAAAGCACATATAAGGCCGTATTTGGTTGATCATTTTCATAATTTTTTCAGAGTTTTTTGTCAGTGCAGTAATACCAACTTTTCTCTAAATATAGTTAAAAATCTTAATTATTCAATTATACTGTTTGTACAGGGTGTCTCAAATTCGAGAGTCATTGGAGTCTCGGAAATTGTAAGAGCAGTTTTTGAGAGTCCAATGGTCAACCCTTACAATAAACACAAATAGGCTAGTAGATTTTTCTTAGAATTGAAAGGGATTTCAGTGAACCATCCAGACACAAATTTCTTTTAGAAAATGAATCCTATTTTACCTTAAAATATACTTCGATTACTTAGATTATTTGAATAAAGTCTGATGTGAAAAAACATGTTTCCCATAAAAAAATATTCTCTGTATTTTAATTTCTATATTAATTTCCATAACCGATAATAAAAGACAGTAGTGAAGGTTGAATTTTGATAAACGTTGCAGGTTGACAAGACATGCTTGTCAAATCGGATAGTAAATTATCCAGAATTTAAGAAGCCTACCTTTCATGTATTCTGTTTTTGTGGAGGGACTCAAAAAAGTAATGATTTGGCGGTCGATGTCCCAAAGTTAGGTTAATGTCTAGCTATACCTCTAGCAATCAAATCACGCTATTTGATTGCTTTAGTTTTACTCTTTTTTTTCGTTTTTCTCTGTCTAGAAAAAATTAAAGAATAGTCAGTGGAAATGGCAACATTGCATTTCCTTCTGTCTCCTGTCATGTCAAATCATGTGTTAAAAATTCTCCTTAACGTCAAATAGTACCAAAATGAAATTAAAATATTTTGAAATTCAGTGCATAATCGGCATTTTTTCTTATTTTAAATTACTACTAAAAATGCTTACTTTATGATCAAAACAAGAAAAATGCAAAAATCGTGTATCTGGATAGTTCACCGAACCTTTCAAAGCGATTTAAAATTGACTTAAGTGAACCTTTTTCTTGCCGGTTGGTGGCACTGTTGTCTAAAATATCTCTCGACTCCCTTTTTCGGTTTGCAGAGCGCCGCCGCCTTGCGCGAGTTCGATTTCCTCGAGGAGGAGGCGGAGGGTACGCTGGGGCGCGGTCCCGGTCCCCTGCTTATCCCCTCCACGCCCCCCATAGCCGTACTAGCCTACCAGGCCTCGATCGAGCAGTACGTCCTACCCAGTCCTCAGCCCGTTATTGAGTTCCCGGACGATGAGGTAGGGGACGGCCGTGTGTGTCCACCGCCACACCCGCACTGCGCACGCTTCTGTCTTGTTTGTTTGTTTTTTAGCTGCATTTGGGGGTCTTGTTTTGCTAGGTTTATGGGATACCTTTCTAGGTCTACCTACCTACCCTCTGTATAGGTACTAAGTATTTAGTACCAAAGAGATAAGACTGAGTTGAGAGTGACTACTAGTAATTACTGTCAAATGTAAAGCAAGAATAGTGTGCTCTTTCTTTATTACATTTTTGTAATTTCTTGTTTTAAAAAAAGTTTTAAAAACAATAACTTAAAATTTTTAATTAAATTAGAGATGTTTATTCTATTTATTAAAATTAATATTTTCACTAAAGAGTCCATTTCACTGGTCCGAAAAAGTAGCAAAGCGTGGCTAGGTATTTTTACACAATTCAAGAACAGTTAACCTAATAGGACTGCTCATTCAGCCGAAAGCGTCTGCCAGGTGCATGCGAAAACTCTTGGCTTTGTGACGTCAGTGTAGTCCTTGTCATGATAGTGTGTATTATTGGTTGCCGTATGCAAAACATTCATTATTTAGTTTATTTATTTAAACACCTTATATGTATGCAGTGTAGAAAATTAACTGCATAAATCGATTTAAATACTCGGATAATGCATTTTTAAGAACATCAGTTCCCAGCATCACCTTTTACAGGCATTCTTTTTCGAGTACTTCCATATTTTGCTTTAAAATAATTAATAAACAATATCGTAGGCACTTAGTAAGCAATTAGTCACAATCCACAACACAAAATGAACGTATTTATAAATTCTATAGCTCTAAAAACCTCAAAAACATTTTTTTTTACATTTAAAATCGTCAAAATAATTAACTCAAAATTTCTCAGCTGTTATTTTTATTAGTTTACCATAAGCGACCAATAATACACACTATCATGACAAGGACTACAATGACGTCACAATTGTCAGCTAAAGCGCGGAAAGAGGCGTCTTATGAGGATGAACAATCTTATTAGTTTACCGTTCTTGTACACAAATGAAGAAAGAAATTAAAGATAAACGGCCGTATTCATAGTCGAGCGCCAGCCGCCCGCCGAAAAGAAGCGCTCGCCGAAGATTTCTCCGGCGAGCGCTTCGATATCGGGAGAGAAAAAAAGCTCTTTCATAGTCGGCTGCCAGCGCACCGCTGGCTGGCGAAAATGACGGCGCGTCGCCAACAAAATTTCACTTCGGGTGGAGGGTTTTAACAACAGGGAACATGTTTTCTTCCTTTTTCTACACAAAATCGGTTATACGAACTTTAACATTCTCTAAATATTTAAATATTAATAATTTAAATATTTTATTGATATTGGGTAATTTAAATATTTTATTGATATGTCCATTATTTTGTTATAATTCGTTTTAAAGTAATGAATAATATTTTCGTAATCCTTCACTTATAGTAAAAAGATTTACAATTTTTTATATACATGTTTTTTTGGCTAGGTATATTTGTGGGTCATAATTAAAAAGGACATTAAGTTAATAATTTACATAATGGGGAATTCCGTAGGTCTGTTCGGTTTTATTTGAAAGTTTTATGGATTCGTTTTTATTACGTTTATAAATTTTTATAGACCTTAACCTTAACCTATTGGTGCTGTCAAGGATTTTAAAATTATTTTAAGGGAAAATATGACCAGAGTAGAAGTAATTTATATTTTTAAATTGGCTCTATTTTTGTTTTGTGTTGATGACTGATGTTTGGTGAATTTGGTATATTTTTTCCAGTTTGTGTAAATTACAAAGAGAATTAATGTAATAAACGTAAAAACAATAGGAAAAATAAAAAATCATAAACATAACAAAAACAAAACGATAAAACATTTAAATGGTCAAATAGACGGACGGAATTCATATGCCTCAAATGTAATGAATAATTGCCTCAAAAATACGAATGTCATCGTTCTCGTTAATCGTCATAATATTATAAATATCCATAATTAATTAAGTTTGCTTGGTGCTTCTTTCAACTAGAGAAATAAACCAGACTAAACTGGCGGGCCGCCCGGAGATGGTAAGGACATGCTCCAGTCGCCGCCCGAGAATCACCGGATGGGGTTTAAACTGCGCAAGTGTTCTTCGCCTGGAGATCGACTATGAAACGGAAAAAAATGCTTATCCAACCGCCCGCCGGCGAGAGAGCGGTTACTCTATATGACGGATGTGCGCACGCGTTACTCGGAGAGCGCTGGACTCTGAAATAAGAACGAAGAATTTCGGGAAAGCTCCCGCCAGCGGGAGGCTGGCGATCGACTATGAATACGGCCGAAAGAATTGTACTATTTCTGTACTCTAGCACATTTATAAACAACTTATTTTTAAGATTTTGATGGTCTAACATCAACAAAATTTTCCTTATATTTGGACTAAATTTTCTCGAAAATAAAGACAATTTAAAATTCCGTTACAATACTGACATAGATTGAAGTTTTGTGATTACACTCATATTATATAATTTATATAGTTTTGTAACAAATTACTCGCTATTTTACGACAAACCTTAATCAAGCCTTAATAAAAGCACGTGTGTTTGGAATTTTAGATGTGACTTAACACGACAGGATCGGGCTAAGCTTTAGGCAGATTTCTGAAATATAATATATATTTCCTTCGGCCACACACCTGCTTTAACCGATCCCTGAGAGCGACCCGAACAGTACAGCGTAATAGACTCTTAACTCATTCTTTTTCTCTATAGATTTTTCTCCAGAAAATATCTACATATATTTTGAGAACTATTTTCAATTGTATTTTTACAATTTCAAAGTATTTCCAAAAATGATTTGTTATCAAAATATATGGATATCTTATATTGCTTACAGTTACTTTTTGTTTTACTTTGGCTTAGTATTTGTGGTATTTTCGTATATGTTTTGATCCATTGGTGCTATTTTTTTTATTTGTTTTTGGACTTCTTTTCTTGCATGTAGAGTAGTTGAGGTGGGTATTGATTTTAAAGTCTTGTTTGTGCATTTTGTTTTTATTTGTTTTTTGTATTTTTGATTAAATTTTGTGTTTTAACTAATTTTGTATACATGTATATGTTTATCCCAAAATCCTATTCATAGTTATCCTACCCATTATTCCTGTAAAACATGTTAATAGTATCCAAATAATTATTCTATTCTATTGACTAAAAGGCATTATTTTAATAACATTACTATAAATATTCTGCTTTTTATGACTTTTTTTTAATTATACCTACATTTTTTCATATTAAAAAAAATAAAAATATATTTCTTAGGACGTATGTTCATAAGAACTTTTTGTTTTATTTGTATCAGTAGAATCGCCCATTCAAATTTGATACACTATTTTTTACACCCTGTATATAACAATAAATAGTAATAACACGCATTGCATCATTTGTTTACTAATACTACTACAGTCTATAATAAAATAATTTTGAATAGTATACCCCGGATGCGTCTCAGAAGTCGCTCACCCCTATAACTTTTTTATTTTTACAATTAAAAAAACGAGATTTGGTATGTTCATATATGACATAAATTAGGATTGATTGACGTATTCAATTGTTTTTGGTCACTTCCTGTTTCACCTAAAATGACTACGACTTTTGATTTTTAAATGGCACCCTCGGTATTTTTTTACTTTATTCGATAAAAAATGACATTCTGAACAGAATGACATATCATATGTCAACTTTTGACATTCTCGCTTAAAACAAAATTAAATTTTAAAATTCAATCCAGAGTGCCATGGTTATGTTAAAAACACTAATTCTTAGACAGGGAGCCTTGGAAAAATAGATTTGATTGTCTAATGTTTTTAGTGTCTTGTCCTGGCCAGTTAGCTCAAATCGTATTTTTAATCATATCTCAATTTTTTTCAAATGGAACGAGGATGGCTCATTAGCATATTTGGAAAAAGCATTTTTTTACGAATAATTTCGTACCACACACTTTCGATACGAACCGCAAGTTATAATTCCTAATAAACCATATGCGAAAATGTCAAAAGTTGACATATGATATGTCATTCTATTCACAGTATTATTTTCTATCGAATAAAGTAAAAAAGTACCGAGGGTGCCATTTAAAAATCAAAACTTGTAGTCGTTTCCGGTGAAACAGGAAGTGTCCGAAAAAAATTGAATACGTCAATCAATCCTAATTTATGTCATATACTAACATACCAAATCTCGTTTTTTTTAATTGTAAAAATAAAAAAGTTATAGGGGTGAGCCACTTTTGAGACGCACCCGGTATAACAGATATTTATAGTATAAGCTCTGAATGTATTTATGTATTTTACAGGATATCCTTTGCATGAAATTTTCGATTTTACCTACAACCTGTAAAATATTCGAATACCAGAAAAAAAAACATTCTTCTACCCTTCTTTGACTAAATTATTTTTATTTTTAGCCATCCTTTGACCAACCCCCTGTAGTACGACGTCCAGTGGCAAGAGAATTAGGTTATAGAGACAGTGCCTACGAGTCCAGAAGACAGTCCCAATCCCAAAGCAGCGCAATGACCGTAGAGCAGTTCAGATTGATCAGCGTGCTGGGCAGAGGTCACTTTGGTAAAGTTATTTTGGCCCAGTACAGGAATACCGGGGAATATTTCGCTATAAAAGCCTTGAAGAAGGGTGATATCATCGCTAGAGATGAGGTGGAGTCTTTGCTGTCAGAAAAAAGGATATTCGAAGGTAAAAATCTCACCAAAATCGCGAAATGATCATCGATTACCATCCTCAAATGTCTTTGACGCCGTCTTTTTTTCGATCATACATAATATAATATAGATATATACATAATATAAGATAATACATAAGTATAATATAGTTTGCATAATTTGTAATATTAAAATTTAGCGCCCAAAATTAGGTTGGCAATGTTAGTTACTTTTCTGAAAAAATATATGATGCACCAGGTCTTCTAAAATTGTTTCTATTTTCTTCAGGGCATTTTTATTCTAATATGTTTATCTGATGGTAATTATCAAGAAACACATGTAGTTTTTTGCTAAAAGTGGTTTTTATTGAGTTTTATCTCGAATTTTCTTTATAGAATACCAAGCTGATGCACCAGGTCTTGTAAAATTGTTTCTATTAATTTTATTCGAGGCATTTTTATTCTAATTTGTTTTGTCTGATGTTAATTATCAAGAAACACATGTCGTTTTTTGCTAAAAGTGGTTTTTATTGAGTTTTATCTCGAATTTTCTTTATAGTATACCAAGCTGATGCACCAGGTCTTGTAAAATTGTTTCTATTATTTTTCTTCGGGGCATTTTTATTCTAATTTGTTTATCTGATGGTAATCATCAAGAAACACATGTCGTTTTTTGCTAAAAGTGGCTTTTATTGAGTTTTATCTCGATTTTTCTTTATAGTATACCAAGCTGATGCACCAGGTCTTGTAAAATTGTTTATTATTTTTCTTCGAGGCATTTTTATTCTGATATGTTTATCTGATGGTAATTATCAAGAAACACATATCGTTTTTTGCTAAAAGTGGTTTTTATTGAGTTTTTATAGTATACCAAGTTGATGCACCAGGTCTTGTAAAATTGTTTCTATTACTTTTCTTCGGGGCATTTTTATTCTAATTTGTTTATCTGATGGTAATCATCAAAAAACACATGTCGTTTTTTGCTAAAAGTGGTTTTTATTGAGTTTTATCTCGAATTTTCTTTATAGAATACCAAGCTGATGCACCAGGTCTTGTAAAATTGTTTCTATTTTTTTTCTTCGGGGCATTTATATTCTAATTTGTTTATCTGATGGTAATCATCAAGAAACACATGTCGTTTTTTGCTAAAAGTGGTTTTTATTGAGTTTTATCTCGATTTTTCTTTATAGTATACCAAGCTGATGCACCAGGTCTTGTAAAATTGTTTCTATTATTTTTCTTCGGGGCATTTTTATTCTAATTTGTTTATCTGATGGTAATCATCAAGAAACACATGTCGTTTTTTGCTAAAAGTGGTTTTTATTGAGTTTTTATAGTATACCAAGTTGATGCACCAGGTCTTGTAAAATTGTTTCTATTACTTTTCTTCGGGGCATTTTTATTCTAATTTGTTTATCTGATGGTAATCATCAAGAAACACATGTCGTTTTTTGCTAAAAGTGGTTTTTATTGAGTTTTATCTCGAATTTTCTTTATAGTATACCAAGCTGATGCACCAGGTCTTGTAAAATTGTTTCTATTATTTTTTCTTCGGGGCATTTTATTCTAATTTGTTTATCTGATGGTAATCATCAAAAGAAACACATGTCGTTTTTTGCTAAAAGTGGTTTTTATTGAGTCTATTATTTTTCTTCGGGGCATTTTTATTCTGATATGTTTATCTGATGGTAATTATCAAGAAACACATGTCGTTTTTTGCTAAAAGTGGTTTTTATTGAGTTTTATCTCGAATTTTCTTTATAGAATACCAAGCTGATGCACCACGTCTTGTAAAATTGTTTCTATTATTTTTCTTCGGGGCATTTTTATTCTAATTTGTTTATCTGATGGTAATCATCAAGAAACACATGTCGTTTTTTGCTAAAAGTGGTTTTTATTGAGTTTTATCTCGATTTTTCTTTATAGTATACCAAGCTGATGCACCAGGTCTTGTAAAATTGTTTCTATTACTTTTCTTCGGGGCATTTTTATTCTAATTTGTTTATCTGATGGTAATCATCAAGAAACACATGTCGTTTTTTGCTAAAAGTGGTTTTTATTGAGTTTTTATAGTATACCAAGTTGATGCACCAGGTCTTGTAAAATTGTTTCTATTACTTTTCTTCGGGGCATTTTATTCTAATTTGTTTATCTGATGGTAATCATCAAGAAACACATGTCGTTTTTGCTAAAAGTGGTTTTTTATTGAGTTTTATCTCGAATCCAAGTTGATGCACCAGGTCTTGTAAAATTGTTTCTATTACTTTTCTTCGGGGCATTTTTTATTCTAATTTGTTTATCTGATGGTAATCATCAAGAAACACATGTCGTTTTTTTGCTAAAAGTGGTTTTTATTGAGTTTTATCTCGAATTTTCTTTATAGAATACCAAGCTGATGCACCAGGTCTTGTAAAATTGTTTCTATTATTTTTTTTTCGGGGCATTTTTATTCTAATTTGTTTATCTGATGGTAATCATCAAGAAACACACATGTCGTTTTTGCTAAAAGTGGTTTTTATTGATTTTTTTTATAGTATACCAAGTTGATGCACCAGGTCTTGTAAAATTGTTTCTATTACTTTTCTTCGGGGCATTTTTATTCTAATTTGTTTATCTGATGGTAATCATCAAGAAACACATGTCGTTTTTTGCTAAAAGTGGCTTTTATTGAGTTTTATCTCGAATTTTCTTTATAGAATACCAAGCTGATGCACCAGGTCTTGTAAAATTGTTTCTATTATTTTTCTTCGGGGCATTTTTATTCTAATTTGTCTATCTGATGGTAATCATCAAGAAACACATGTCGTTTTTTGCTAAAAGTGGTTTTTATTGAGTTTTATCTCGAATTTTCTTTATAGAATACCAAGCTGATGCACCACGTCTTGTAAAATTGTTTCTATTATTTTTCTTCGGGGCATTTTTATTCTAATTTGTTTATCTGATGGTAATCATCAAGAAACACATGTCGTTTTTTGCTAAAAGTGGTTTTTATTGAGTTTTATCTCGATTTTTCTTTATAGTATACCAAGCTGATGCACCAGGTCTTGTAAAATTGTTTCTATTATTTTTCTTCGGGGCATTTTTATTCTAATTTGTTTATCTGATGGTAATCATCAAGAAACACATGTCGTTTTTTGCTAAAAGTGGTTTTTATTGAGTTTTATCTCGATTTTTCTTTATAGTATACCAAGCTGATGCACCAGGTCTTGTAAAATTGTTTCTATTATTTTTCTTCGAGGCATTTTTATTCTAATATGTTTATCTGATGGTAATTATCAAGAAACACATGTCTTTTTTTGCTAAAAGTTGTTTTTATTGAGTTTTTATAGTATACCAAGTTGATGAACCAGGTCTTGTATAATTGTTTCTATTACTTTTCTTCGGGGCATTTTTATTCTAATTTGTTTATCTGATGGTAATCATCAAGAAACACATGTCGTTTTTTGCTAAAAGTGGTTTTTATTGAGTTTAATCTCGAATTTTCTTCATAGTATACCAGGCTGATGCACCAGGTCTTGTAAAATTGTTTCTATTATTTTTCTTCGAGGCATTTTTATTCTAATATGTTTATCTGATGGTAATTATCAAGAAACACATGTCTTTTTTTGCTAAAAGTAGTTTTTATTGAGTTTTTATAGTATACCAAGTTGATGCACCAGGTCTTGTATAATTGTTTCTATTACTTTTCTTCGGGGCATTTTTATTCTAATTTGTTTATTTGATGGTAATCATCAAGAAACACATGTCGTTTTTTGCTAAAAGTGGTTTTTATTGAGTTTAATCTCGAATTTTCTTTATAGTATACCAAGCTGATGCACCAGGTCGTGTAAAATTGTTTCTATTATTTTTCTTCGAGGCATTTTTATTCTGATATGTTTATCTAATGGTAATTATCAAGAAACACATGTCGTTTTTTGCTAAAAGTGGTTTTTATTGAGTTTTTATAGTATACCAAGTTGATGCACCAGGTCTTGTAAAATTGTTTCTATTACTTTTCTTCGGGGCATTTTTATTCTAATTTGTTTATCTGGTGTTAATTACCAATAAACACATGTCGTTTTTTGCTAAAAGTGGTTTTTATTGAGTTTTATCTCGAATTTTCTTTATAGTATACCAGGCTGATGCACAAGGTCTTGTAAAATTGTTTCTATTATTTTTCTTCGAGGCATTTTTATTCTAATATGTTTATCTGATGGTAATTATCAAGAAACACATGTCTTTTTTGCTAAAAGTGGTTTTTATTGAGTTTTATCTCTATTTTTCTTTGTAGAGTATTTTTTGTAAAGTTGAAGACATTCGTTCTGAAATGTATGGCAACACTGGGTGGGAAATGGAGATAGAGTGAAATAAGAATGGCGCAGAATGAATGCTTTGAGAATGATTTGAAGTAGTTTTATTTAAGAAAAAAACAATCAAAAAATAGTTAAAACAGTCTCCTCCTTTACAAACAAATTAATAATCTGTTTTTTATATATTATCTCTACAGAAAACACATAATTTGAAAAACTAATTGACTAATGACGCTTCAATTTTTGACAGTTGCCAATCACATACGTCATCCGTTCCTTGTCAACCTATTCGCTTGCTTCCAAACAGAGGCGCACGTGTGTTTCGTGATGGAGTACGCCGCTGGTGGCGATTTGATGATGCACATCCATGCCGACGTGTTCAACGAGCCCAGGGCTGTGTTCTACGCCGCCTGCGTCGTGTTGGGTCTTCAGTATTTACACGACAACAAAATTATATACAGGTAAGTTACAGACACGGTTCTAGAGGTCTGCAATTCGTTAGACAAAAATACTTTTATTGATTTTTTTTCTTTATGTGATGTGTGTATTTTGGGTGGCATTCCACAACATTTGCAGGCCATCGATGAAACAGAAAATGTACAGATTACAGAAATAAATTGAAAATAATATTTCCTCGGTGAAATGTAATAAATTGCTAAATCCATTATTTCTAATTTTAGAGGAGAGAAAAGAAACGGCATAAAAAATATGTACACATGTAGCAAGTATTGTAATTTCAAAACATTTTCCGAAGCACGTCATCAATCATATCGACATTGACAGTAAAGTCTATAAACCTAAAATTTTTCTAAAAAAAGCAGCTCTTCATTTTACTTTATAGAGCAAATGATTGTAACAGATATTTTATTTAGATTAAAGCTGCAAAAATTAGTTTAAAGGGATTTTTATTATTGCCATGTTGGTCACATTGCGCCACGATCAGCATCGTTGTCGTTTATTATCTGACAATTTCCTAATGTCAGTCATTATTTTGTATAATATCGTGTTGCTTGTAACTCTGCCCTATATCGATATCATTAACAATTCTACGGTGTGTTTGTCATTTTTCCACATTGGTCACCAATATATTTTGCCAAAAAGTCGCTCGCTTCAGATCAAAAGGATTTTTTTTCAAACGTCTCAAAAGTATTAATTTTTGTCATTTTAACGTCTAGGCATAAAAGTAAAGCATTGTTACCCCTAAGCACAAAACTACAAAAATATATTATTAAACTAATATGTATTAAGTGTGAAATTCAACTAGTGTACAAATTGTTGCTCGATTATGTTTATATTATTTGCAATGTTTTAAAAAAAATAGTATGTTCTATTCGGAGTAAAAATGTACTTTTTGTGCTTCCGTTAAAATAGCTTTACGATGGTCCTTCAAAGGTACAGCATCATAAAAAAAAGTATAATTTTTACTCCTAATAAAACAATACACGATTGTTCGGAAATATGAAATTAGCATTATCTAATGTCAAAGTGTAAAATACTTACTGCAGATCAAAATGTTGGTAAGAATTTGGAAAAATACAACCGTTTCAAAAAAATATATAAAACAACATACCTATTTCCTGACAACGAATATAGATTCTCGGGAATGTGGTCTCTATATCAGAAGAACCTAGTTCTGCACTAGACTGCGAATAATATGTATTCGAACAGCGAATTTTTGTCACTTATTACATCAATTTTAAAATAAATCCGTGCGTTTAGCCGTCTAATGGATTCTCACGAAATTACTTCAAAAATCGGTTTACATCTTTTATAGAAATATCACTTGATTTAAATCACGATTTAAATCATGATTTAAATCATGCCAACCCTGCTGTACATCCTTTTTCCTGATATGTTCTATATATTTCTCTTTTCCCTCTTCCAGAGATCTCAAACTGGACAACCTCCTGCTAGACACCGAGGGCTACGTCAAGATCGCGGACTTCGGCCTGTGCAAGGAGGGTATGGGCTTCGGCGACCGCACTGGTACCTTCTGCGGTACGCCCGAGTTCCTCGCGCCCGAAGTACTCACCGAAACGTCCTACACGCGCGCCGTGGACTGGTGGGGACTCGGAGTGCTCATCTTCGAGATGCTGGTCGGGGAATCCCCCTTCCCTGGGGATGATGAGGAGGAGGTGTTCGACTCGATCGTTAACGACGAGGTCCGGTATCCGAGGTTCCTGTCCTTGGAGTCGATCGCGATTATGAGAAGGGTAAGTACTTGAGATGGGTTGTTATTTAACTATCTGTTATTTTATAACAGTTATTTAGAAATAACATAACGCAACCGTTGCTACTTTTAAAAAATAACGACACGTAGAGATCGATCACGCTCGTGAAACGAAGTCGCTACGAAATCCAATCATTTATATACAGGGTGGTACACCTCATTCGCTTTGGTTGATTATACGAAAACGGAAAGATATAGAAACAACAATTTTTATGGGTATATGTAGAGAAGCAATGTGCTTAATTTAAAATTATTTTCAAATGGACAGGGTGTGTCAGAACTAAAATACATACCAAAGTGATATTTTTTCTTATGGAACACCCGGTATTTTATTTAATTTTTGGATTCTTGGATATAAAATAAGGCTTTTATTATAAGGGTTTAATATATTTAACTGCTTTGGTTTTTGAGATATTTAAAGGTATTTAAATATGCATGCTGTAATAAAAAAGTTTGTCAACACCCTGAACATTACTTTTCGGAGTTAATTCTTGTGCTAACTTTGAAGCCACAGAAATAAGCTTTACTAAAAAATGTCCCTGCTTCCTTAAGAGTTTACAGGGGTATCAAAAAATGCTGGTCTATTTTAATATATATATATTTTACATAAAAACTTCGTTATTTCAAATACAACACTATGTATTTTTTTAAATAAATCGAAGCAGGTTTAAATGCTCTTTCAAACTATATTAGGGTTTCCTATATAGTCTGTGAAATGAATAACTTTGAATTTGACAGTTCCCGCGGGCTTTTTTAGTGTTTATTTTATTAGGTTAGCAACTTGCGGCCATGCTGACGCAATGCCGTCTCTAATACAACAGCCTCCGAGCGAGATTTATGACGTCACGCTAGTTAGATACTACGGATTAATAAATATGTTGTAGAATACATGGAAACATAATTATTCCTCGTATTTTTGGTTTGTACGAGGCATGTTTTTTAAGTAAGTACCGTTTTGCGATTCCGCCGCCACAGCGCTACTGTCGGCGTTCCGTGCATGCGCGCTGGTTACCTACATCTCTTGTCTATGCACAGACGCCAGTACAGTCTGATTCTTCATTGTATACGTTGTTTATTGAGTGTTTAAGATGCCTCCGACAATCGTGAGCCCCGCCGATTGTGAAGTACGGGCTGTCATACGATTTCTTAGTGCTAAAGGCGTAAAACCTGGGCATCGATATTCATCGTGAGATCTGTGAAGGTTGGACAAAACATTATGAGTGATGGAATGGTAAGGAAATGGGTGACTTCAAAGATGGCCACACAAATGTGCATGATGAAGAACGAGGTGGGCGTCCTTCGGTCGTTAAAACGCAGAAGATTTGGTGCAGAAAGTGGACGAAAATTATAAAAGAAAACAGACGCTTTTACAATTTCATCATTCTAAAGACTACTTTCCTCAATGTTCTCGTCCGTTTTTGTATCGCATTCCGTCGAGAACAATAAAACCGGAAATACGATTCACGTTGTTTCGAAAATGTTGACGGATTTGGTTAAAAAACCCAACGTTTAGGCAGTGCATTGACTTTCCTTGAGCACACAATGAAGGTGAAAGATTTTTTAGACAAAATTGTTATTGGATTGAAACATGGGTGGCCTACATCACACCAGAATCGAAACAACAGTCCATGGAATGGCGACATCTTACCTCATCACCCAAAACAGTGAAGTTTATAAACAATTTCTGCCCGGAAAATCATGTGCAAAGTTTTTTGGGACAAAAGGAGTATTGCTAGATAAAAGTTTCTGGCCTCGTAATGAAACAATCAATAGCATCTTATTGTGAGACATTGAACAATCTGCGCCGTGCAATAAAACAAAAGACGTGGCAAGTTGAGTAAGGGTATTGTTTATCATGACAATGCCGTCCACATGTATTAATCGGATAAATATCATCAAATCTTTTACATGGGAAACTCTAGATCATTCCTCCATACAACACTGATCTGGCGCCCAGTGACTACCATTGAATTCCTGCACTTGAAGAAACACCTGGGCGGTCAGCGTCTTCAAGACGATAACGAAGTCAAAACAGTTGTGATACAGTGGTTAACCAGTCAGGCGGCAGAATTTTATGAGGAGGGTATTGAAAAACTGGTGCCACGTTATGACAAGTGCCTCAATATTCACGGAAATTATGTAGAAAAGTAGATTAAGGTACAGGCTTTCATGTAAAAATAAAATTATTGCGATATCTTTGCACGTTTTTTTTAATTCCAAAACGGTACTTACTTAAAAAACATGCCTCGTATTTGAAAAACAAACTTTGATTTTAAAATACAAACCAAAAATACGAGAAATAGTTATGTTTTCCATGCATTCTACAACATATTTATTAATCCGTAGTATCTAACTAGCGTGACGTCATAAATCTCGCTCCAAGGCTGTTCTATTAGAGACGGCATGGTCTGATATTTAGAAATGTCAAAAGCTGATGACATTTTACTTTTGACCATTATGACATTTCGTGTTGATTTTTGGAAGAAGGGGAAGAACTGTCACTTGTTTTATTATTTTCCTTTTCTATTTCACGAAAGTAAAAAGAGTTACCTATCTGATTTGTTCAGGCACTCAATTTAAAGGATATCAGTAACTTTTTTGATAGAGGGATTTTATATTTGCCGTGTTGGTAAGAAATAACGGTCAAAATTCAAAGTTATTTATTTTATAGACTATACCTATCTGGCTCAGATTTTGAATAAAAACCTATTTTTCAATAAAATGGCAATCAAGATGGCTGGTGTCGCCATGGCAATTAGCTAGTGACAGTTAGTAGCTATTTTCAAAATCGACATTAGATAACAGTTACAAATAAAAATTATTTAATTTACCTACAATAGTTTAATAAGTAAGTATTTATTATTTTATGAAGAAAAATAAAGAAGTAGTTCTTTTTGATTTATATTACGATGACTTGTAAATATATTGGATTTTTTATAAAATAACCAATTAAGGCAAATTCATTTCCTTCACTTCCAACCACAGGTTTCTGCCTAATAGGTTTTTCATATACCACACTATCAGCTCTGCGAAATAGGAAAAGTAGTTTTTCAAAGGAACGCCTCTCAAGAAAATTTATATTCAGATATCTTTGAGCATAAACCATTCAGGCCAACAAGCTTAGTTAGATGTCTTTACTCGATCTTCTTGAACATCGACTCTTTTCTTATCCTTTCACTCTTTTTTCTTGCAGCTGTTGCGCAAATCTCCTGACAGAAGACTGGGATCGAGTGAGAGGGACGCAGAGGACGTGAAAAAGCAGGCTTTCTTCAGACACATCCAATGGGAGGAGCTGTTACACCGCAGGATACCACCGCCATTTGTTCCCACAGTGGTAAGTCTAGTGCCATTTTCTATTTGCTACGTTTATATCTACAGGGTGTCTATTTGAAATGTAGCAATCAAAAATATATACATAAATAAATAACAGAGTCTTGTCAACGCCCATCTCTGATTTTTTGTAGTTCATTTCAATTTTTTAAGAGTCCATTTCACTAGCCCGAAAAAGTAGCAAAATAAGCTTTCGCCATTTAACGTTTTATATAAAACTGGCTAGGTATTTTTACACAAATGAAGAAGGAAATTAAAGATAAAGGATTATACTTTATCTGTATTGTAGCACATTTTTAGACAACTTATTTATTTTTATAGATTCTGATGGCCAAACATCAACAAAACATTCCTTATGTTTGGACTTAATTTTCTCGAAAATAAAGACATAATTTAAAATTCCGTTACGATACGGAAATAGATTGAAGTTTTGTGATTACAGTGATATATAATTTATATGGTTTTGTAACAAATTGCTCGCTATTTTATGGCAAATGCTGAAGCTCTGCAAACCTTGATCAAGCCTTAATCAAAGCACGTGTGTTTGGAATTTTGGGTGTGACTTAACACGACAGGATCGGGTTAAGCCTTAGGCAGATTTCTGAAATATAATATATATTTCCTGCCGCCGCACACCCGCTTTACCCGACCCTGAGAGTGACCCGAAAGTACAGCGTAATAGACTCTTAAGATATTCCCGTCTGTTTTTCAAATTGCCACCCTGTATAATATATCTTTCAAGACATTACGAAAAATAAGGTTATAGCTCTAAAATCTAAAATCCATATAACGCCATGAGAATAAGATGTTCTTTAGCTTTTTTACTTTTTATTATAGCGGCTTTGTAAAGAAAACCAGATATTAAAAGAGGTACATTTTACATATATAGTCTATCCAGCGAGAGAATATATAATTTAGACAGACGTCAGCAAAAAAACAATCGATTTTTTACGAAAAATGTCACATTACCTGTCACAGTCATATATTCTTTTGCTAGACAAACTATATTTAGCTAGATATTACAGTGACGTTTTACGTTTTTTTAGACATTGGAAAACAAAAAAATATACAGGGTGTTATTTAGTGACATGCTAATATTTAAGAAAGTGATTCTTGAACTTATTCTAAGAAAAAAAACTGTATATGAATATGCAGGGTGTTTCAAAACAAATGCGAAAAACTTCAGGGGGTGATCCCTTGTTCAAAATAAAGGGTAGTTTGCTTCATAAACGTTGGGTCAAAAATCAACCATTAGGGAGATATCGCGGTACAAAGATGGCGGAAAAATAATGTTTTTATTTTTTATCTTGAAAACGGAAAGAGATAGACTAATGAAATTTTATGGAAGCATTACTGTTATGAAAACACACTTTCTGGTAATTTTTTCAGTTTTTTAAAATGAGTGGAAGGGATTGAAATAAACTGCCCCTATCATTCTTGTTAACGAAATTTAAAGAAAAATCTTATCAAACACATGCAAAAAAATTAATTTGGATAGTTTAGTTTGTTTAGAAACTTTTTTATCTCTTGTGTTTTTTTTTATAAAACTCACCGATTTGAAATTAAAAAATAAAATGTAAAGCATTACATGTCAGGACAAAAAACATTTTCTCATCAAGAATCTAGTGGGCTGCTGTAATTTTTTTAGGAAAAAATCTTGTCGGCCGCTGTTACTTTTTAGGATGTTCCTAATATTATTTTATTTGACATTACTCTACTGCAATAAGTTATTATCTAGATGATTATTATTATCGTTATTATCACTAGATTCTTAATCTAAAAATGTTTTTGTCCTGACATGTAATGCTTTGCATTTTTTATTTTTTAATTTCCAATCGGTGAATTTTATCAAAAAATACAAGAGGTAAAAAAGTTTCTAAACAAACTAAACTATCCAAATTAAAGCATTTGCATGTGTTTGAGAAGATTTTTCTTTAAATTTCGTTAACAAGAATGATAGGGGCAGTTTATTTCAATCCCTTCCACTCTGAAAAATTACCAGAAAGTGTGTTTTCATAACAGTAATGCTTCCATAAAATTTCATTAGTCTATCTCTTTTCGTTTTCAAGATAAAAAATAAAAACATTATTTTTCCGCCATCTTTGTACCGCGATATCTCCCTAATGGTTGACTTTTGACCCAACGTTTATAAAGCAAACTACCCTTTATTTTGAACAAGGAATCACCCCCTGAAGTTTTTCGCATTTGTTTTGAAACACCCTGTATATGTCCTAAACATCTAACTTTTCAGATACAGGGTCGGGTGGTAAGATGTTCTAATTTTTTTTCAAAATATCTATGACCATACCATCAGAGATATTACGTGTATCACATATATTTGATACACGTTTTCTATGCATCAAAGTGCTTATTTTGATATACAAAAAAATTGTTTTATTTCTTTATTTCCTTCCAGCCGATGCGGAAAGGAAAAAAAAGTTACTTTTAGAAAAATTTACGACCCTGTATCTCAGAAATTATGATGTTTAGGACATACATTCATATGAAGTTTTTCCCTTAGAATAGGTCCAAGAATCGCCTCCTTAAATATAAGCATGTCATTAAGGAACACCCTGTATATTAAATTAATTTATAAAACTGTTACAAAAATATGTTACTGTTTTTTTTTTTAGGTAAAATATCACTGGGTTAAAATCCACTTAGACAAATTCTTCACAGTCACATACTAGTTTAGACATTTAAGTTGCTTAACAAATATAAATATTTTCATTTTTGTTTGTTATTTATCGAAAAAAAAAATAGTACGTAAAAAATTTAAATTAGGGTTTATTTTAATAAGAAGTAATATAATTTAAATTTTCTTTTTTGTAGCATTCAATGGAAGATGTGAGCAATTTCGACGAGGAATTCACATCGGAAAGGGCCCACCTGACGCCACCCAAAGAGCCGCGACCCTTGACCAACCAAGATCAAAATCTGTTCAAAGAATTCACCTACATGGCCGATTGGTGCTGACAATAATAACATTTCTCTTAGGTTTCGGTTGCCAAAATGGACTTATTTCTTTTACAGGGGCATCTAAATCTATTTATGAGAAAAAAATAGTAATAATAGCTTGAGATGAAGTACATACAACGTGTGATTTACCTAAAACCTTTGACTTAAACGTAGTTTTATTTTTACAGTCAGTTAAGTTAATAAATAAAAAATGGTACAAATTATAACAAAAATTCTAATTATTTAAAAAATTTCAAACAAAACTGACTAAAAATGTGTTACAAAATGCCTACCATGACGCCTTTTCGGTCTTTGATATATTATAAATCAAAAAATAGTGTTAGGATATTTAGATTTTTAATTCAATGCTATAAATAGATTAATATGAATTTTAACATATTATTTTTTTAGTAATGTAGAAATATCATGTGATAAATAAATAAAATTAAACACACAGGTCAAAAAAATTAGATTTAACACTATTTATTTGAAATATATTAATAAAACTATAGTAACAATTGTTTTGAGGCATTTTACACGTTGCGTTATCTCCGATTTTGAGCCGTATTTTTGCGAAGAGGTTGGATAGTTTTTTTTTAATATTACCCACGCTGTATTTATACTACCCCTGGTCACTTGATTTCCGTGGTCTGTACTTTAATGCATACCACAGAGATAAATATATACGACCAGCTGACGGACAGAGAGACAAAATAAAAAGCGGCATACAGTGTTGCCGGTTCTTACGTGTGTAAAAACTTTCGTGTATACTACTGAAATGAAGATAACATATCTAAGCTAAATACAATCTATTACAGCCGTAGTAAAATGAGTAACTAATTGTGAAAAACAAAATTCGAACCCTGGATGCAGCATTTTTCATAAACGCCTACTTGGGCTGTTTGAAATTTTTATGCAAAATCCGGCAATACCGCATTGAAGAATGTATCAACCTAACTTTTCTCTCTTTTTTAATATATTTGATTTTTTATTTAAGCTGTCTACATTACTGTCTTACACGTTAAAATCCAGACCACGCAGTTTTTATGACCAAATCGGTATATTTTTTGTCTCAAGAACTGTTAGAAATAACAGAATGAAATATCAAAGGTACTATTAATTTTTGTATGAATTGTCAACACTGCTATACTGAAAATAATTTTGATCGACCGTGAATCACCCTGTATATAGTGCGTTATTTTTTTACTACCAAAAATTTGAAATTTTGCAAAGTTGAATATTTTAATCTGAACAATTTAAAAAAATAAAAATCCGTATAATTAGTATTATAAATATTAAAAAATATAATAAATTTCGCAAAAATAGGACTTGGATTTTTTTTTCATAAACTCAAAAAGGTGATGGTACTGTACTTGCTGCAATCTACAAAGAATGTTTGTTATAATTTTCTCAAGAACAGAATTTTTATTCTGTATTGATAGAAATGACTTGTTTTTTAATAAAAACGAATTATCAAATGAAAAAAGCTCAATATCTCCAGTAAAATAACTATTTTATCGCAGTATTATATAAACTATCTTTAAAAACTTTGTTTTTTTTTTCTTAAAAATGTTATTAATAAATTTGCTCTAAAGTGGACTGAATTTTTGTGAAAGTGTTTGCAGTTTCTTGCGAATTATTGTATTTGCTATGATAAATAATTTATTTTATAGTTTAAAATAGTGTTTACTATTTGATTCCGCATTTTTCTTCTTTGTTAATGTTGTTGTAAAAGTTTACTGTCTGTTATAGCTAAAATTACTTAGTAGAAAATCGTTCAATCCATCCCTGTGGCCTGTATTTTGTGTGTATATCTAGGAACATTTGCAACATTGTGATTTTGAATCACCTTATATAATTAAAACTTATATTGAAATTAATTAAATAATTTTTTCGTAATTATTTTTTGCCACCCTGTATATAAAAGGGTTTAATATTGCTTATTGTTTTAATTACTACATTTAAAAACTATAGATTGAGTAAAAACCATTATTGTTAAGTTTCTAAAGTTGCAACTGTTTAATAGGTCTATTTTTGACAGGACAAGATCTGTCAAATATGTCAAACCCTTGCATATGTTGTTAGATATATTAATCATATTATAAAAAAAATACATAACCAATGTGTATACCATACAGTGTGTCAACACTTTATATCACTTTGTACTCAATTTTACTTTTGCTAATGACCTACATACTATACAGGGTGATTTGTAACAATAGGCTAGACGTTTATGGAGAGCAAGTGATTTTTGGATAAATAAATCGATGCAAATTATTTTTAGCATTACAGTTGTTGAAACACCCGGTATATTATGTTTTAACTAAAGCTTATTCAAGGTCCTTTTTGTATGAAGCGGCAACACAGCAGAATTAAATATATTTTAGATCAGGGATGGGCGCTTATGCTTTTATTCTGTATTTTTACGTTTTGGTGGAAAATACACGTAAAAACAAATAAATAACTAACGTAAAAAAACTCTCACAAAAATTTTTTTTTTCTCGGTAAAACTGGTTTTTAAATGTATAAAATAGTTTTTTACGTGTAAAAATAGTTTTTTCGTGTAAAAAATAGTTTTTTACGTTTAAAAAGTAGTTTATTACGTGTAAAAACTAGTTATTTGCATGTAAAAAATTGTTTATTACATGTAAAAATAGTTTTTTCGCGTAAAAAATAGTTTTTTACGTTTAAAAAGTAGTTTATTACGTGTAAAAACTAGTTATTTGCATGTAAAAAATTGTTTATTACGTGTAAAAATAGTTTTTTCGTGTAAAAAATAGTTTTTTACGTTTAAAAAGTAGTTTATTACGTGTAAAAACTAGTTATTTGCATGTAAAAAATTGTTTGTTACGTGTAAAAATAGTTTTTTACGTGCAAAAAATAGTTCTTTGTGTGTGGAAAAAATATTGTTGACGTGTAAAAATAGTTTTAATGGTATTTCTACTACAGAGATCCGCTGGGAAATGTAAAAGACTAAAAAATGTAGAAAAAAATAAAATACACTAACGTAAAAACTATTTTTTATACGTGAAAAAACAAATTTTTGACACGTAAAGAACTATTTTTTACGTTAGCCTTTTTTTATTCGCACATCCCTGATTTAGATTCATGGAGTAGAAGCCGAGTATGTAAAAAAATCAAAAGAATCCTACCAATCATCCTCCATAAACGTATTACCTACCATCGACCGTGGATCACCCTGTATATTCATAAGTAAGACTGTGAAAAAATGCCTATTATCCTATCTGATAAGATTTTAAGTTTTTTTTTGTCAAGTAAGGCCCTTTTTGAATGATTTTAAATGGAAATCGGAATGTAAAGTCTGTTCAGTGAGAGAATACCCGACAGTGACAGTTATCTGTCATTTTAGTTGGCAGGTAAATTCTATTTTCTGTCATTTTTTGATGTCATATAACTCGTTGGATAGCCTGTTTTATGATTAAAAATGGGAAATAGTTTTGTAAATGAGAATCGAAGTGCCTGTTCACACAGAACCTAATATTATGCTCATATTTTTCTTCTTTTTGTAAATATAGTTACTAACATGTAGCCCTTAAGTCCTTTATATAGAATAATTAATGAATATTTTTCGATGCTTTAATATACCTTTAAATTATGTAAGTTTTAATAATAAACTCGTACTGTCGTTGGCCGATATAGTGGTTATAATTATTTTATTTATACCAATAAACATCACTAAGGAAACATTGTTATGAAAAATCTGAAATATAAACATATTTATCTGAGAACAAGTTGTTTTATTTGACATCCCTCTGTCTTGAAAACACCCCCTTTTGATCCTATTCTGATAGCTTGTATAAGTAACTTGACAAAAAATAAATAAAGGGTTCATAGTTTCATAGTTGTCGATTTTCGAAAGAAATCAGTACATGTATATTATTTCGTATATATTTTTCATTTTATTGATTTTATGGAAAGCATGTCTGACGAACCTCCAACAGACTATATAGTAACAGGAGTCCTAGATGATTTAGTCAAGGACTGGGAGCTGCACGACGATAAATTGGATCTTAAGTACAACCTAGAAGGGCATTCATTAGGTATGGTATCAGTTGCCATGAGTCACAATGGAAAATGTAAGTACTTAGGTCTATACACAGATAAAGTTTTGTTTAATATATATTATTGCTCGAGCTCATTAGATTCGTCAATGAGAATATGGGACCTAAAAAAATGAGAAAAAATTGCGAATATTCATGTGGGACCTGTAGATCTCTGGACGGTTGCGTTCAGTCCGGACGATAAACACGACATCATTTCTGGAAGCCACTCGGGCAAAATCACTCAGTATAGCGTTGAAACCGCAGCGGTAGAAAACAGTCATTTGACACCAGAGGAAAATTTACTCTGAGCATTGCTTACGTGAGTGAACCATTTGGAATTATTAGAATTAGAATGAGTGGGAGGGGGGTTAATCACTGCGACCTTACAGATCCATTGTGTCCCCCTTTCTTGAGTCATAACTCATCATACAGTCCCAGGGCTTTGACAAAAGCCAGTATCTGGGACGGTTTTATAGAGGGTAGTTCTCCATCTCCAATATCAGTCGTACCAAAATTCATGGCACGAATGGTTGTCGTCTCGGCGCACTCAGTGATGAGGTGTACTGGTGTTTCCCCATCTTCCCCACAGAATCTGCATTCGCCGTTTCTTCTTAGTTTCAATCTACTGAGCTGTTCATTGAGGAGACAGTGTCCTGTTAAAAACGCCGTGACAATCCGAAGATTGTTCTTACTTAAACCCAGGAAGATCTGTGATTTTTCTTGATCATAAGCCCTCAGAAACTTATTCGAGTGTCTTAGACCGTTGCAAGATTTCCATTCCAGGTTGCGGATGGAATCTTCTAAGTTCTTGAGTTCTGCCTTGAGTTGGTTACCACTTGGAAAGCAGAACGGTTCTGGTCTAGTTAGTGGAATGTTCGCTCCTTTCCTAGCTAGATTATTTGCTTTTTTATTGCCTTCTATCCCTTGGTGAGCAGGCACCCAGAGTAGGAGGACTTTGTTTTCTTTGCCTAATTTATTCAGCTTCTCTATGCATTCTTTGACCAATTTCGAATTGATTGATACTGAGTTGATCGCTTTTAACGCTGCTTGACTATCAGACCAGATGGCTATTTCTTGTTTCCGATAGTTCCTATCTAAGATAAGTTGTACGCATCTTTCGATAGCGTAGATTTCTGCCTGTAGGATACTAGGGTAAGTGCCCATTGGTTCGGAGTATTTAGCTCTCGGCCCAAACACTCCGATCCCTGTTTCCGTATTGGTTTTGGAAGCATCAGTATACCAAGTTATGGTATGGTCTTTTAACTGCTGGACAAGCGTTTCGCTCTTCCAATTCTTTTTATTGCTCAATACTACATTGAGATGTTTCTCAAAGTTGTACGTTCTTGGCATATCGTCCACTGGGAGTTGCAGGAGTGGTATTTCCTTTATGAGGGTGTTCCAAGCCCCTGATCTGACAATTCTCCCAGTACTAATTCCGTTAGTGACCATTCTAATCATTGTCGCATTGGCATATCTACCAATGACAATGTGCAGTGGTGTTAGATCTAGAATGACCTCCATTGCTGCTGTTGGACAGGTTCTCATGGTCCCTGTGATGCAAACGCATGCTAGTCTCTGGACTTTGCATAGGCTTAGCCTTGCCGTCCGTTGCTCTAGTTTTGTGTACTAGGCAACTGCTCCATAAGTAATCATGGGTCTTTCTATCATGGTATACATCCAGCGCAAAATGTTAGGGGGAAAATGTTAGAGTGAACCATTTAGTAAACCATTACTTTTTAAGTTAGATTTTTTAGAGCCCCTATGGAAAGTACATAGCTAGAGGTTTTATTAACATTTTTGACGTTGCTGCTAACAAATTATGGCACACTCTAGAGAGTCACGCTATGTCATATGCCAATAAGGTCTCTGTGTTTTTCTCCAGATAATCAGCTATTATTAACAGCCTCTGACGATGGGCATATGAAATTATATGATGTGTAAGTTAAAAATTAGTTAAGTAGCCTTTGTAACTCGTTTTTATCTAATTTTTTTGACAGAAAACAGACCCATGTAATTGGAACGATATCTGCTCATGCCTCTTGGGTTTTAAATGTGGCATTTTCACCAGATGGAAAGTATTTTGTGTCTGCCAGTTCAGACAAGACGGTTAAAGCATGGGATGTTCAAAGCCGACAGTGTATTCACACCTTTTTTTTTAAATATAATATTTTATTAAAAAAAACTAAATTTTAAGGGATATAACCATTTTTAATTAAGATTTGTTTTTTAATAATGAAATTTTATCTAAAAAAACATTGCACGTTTGGTGTGTAAAATTCAGTTCCGGATAATTCGAAAATTTTATCAGTTTCAGAAGACAAAAGTATTGTAATATATAGTTGTCCTAAGTAATAAATGCCTTTTATCCTAATTTGTACTTATTCATATATTTTTTCTTGTAAATAAAGGATTTTTCAGCTTATTTAAATTTCAAATTTGAAAATTGTGACGCCAAAAGTTGAACAGATACATCCGGTAAGAGCTGTCAACGTTGAGTCAAGTTAAAGACTTATGAAGTTATTTTTTATATAATTTATCTCATATTTCTTACTATTTAACTAAATAGAATTAGTTTCATATTAAACTAAGGGATATTTATTGAATAAAAACACTTGTTTCTTAATAATTTATTAAAATATTAAAGAAATGCATGATTTTATAGTTCATCTAATTATGCGCGTACTCAAAGAAAAATTATAATATTCTTTGGCGTACCAGATAATTTCAATATAAAATAAGTTTTGTATGATATTTTATACTGGAGAGAATAAATACAAATAAACACAAACCATTTAATTAATTTAAGAAGCATATTCTACTGAAATTTTAATAAAAACCATCCATGTTTATTAAAAAAAGTTAAAATCGAGGCATCCAAGAGCAAAAAATACACGATCGTGATTGGTCAGTTTCGGTGGCGTGGAGGTTTTGAGTTTTATTCTCGTTCATTGTTGCCGGATTGTTAAAAAATGTCGATAATCTTTTTTTCTATGTGATTTTTGTAAAATTATATTAGTTTAAATTGATCACTAGCACTATAGTAAGGGCCATTTCTATATATTTTTAATAAAACAAGTACCAGTAATGTTGTTTTGAAGAAATTTCTTTTATTTCTTCTTGAAATTATGTACTAACATTATAGTCTTTATTCTTGATTTCGATGTATTTATAGCATTAAAAATGTATTTAAACAGCTTCATTTTATGTTTATTTTATGATTTTTGTGTGTTTATGTTTATAATTACTTATTTATGACAATAAAAATATTTTACCTTAAGTAAAAAAACGATTTCAGTGGAACGTATTGAGTAAATAATAACTTTTGAGAACGAAATTAAACTTAATTTACAAGAATTTTCCTATAACCAATTTTATTAGTAATAAATAGATTAAGTTTATGAGCAGCTTAAATTTTACGAATGACTTCAATCTGGCAACGCCGGTCATGCTTTGGTCGTTTGCAATTGAAGGATCCGGACGTCCTCCCGTCGGTTGCATCGATTTTTTAAATTTTCTGACGAAAAAGTGCATTTAGTGTACACAATTTATGCGTAATCTATTACTAGTGCCCTGCTTAGCCTCCTGAAAAAGTGAGTACCCGTAATTTTATGTATTTTTTGAGATATTTTACTTCAAAATTTTTGGATTTCGCAATATCCATCATGGCAGCCTTCTTCTCAATGTTCCTCATTAAGTTATTAATTTTTAAGAATATTGTTTAAATAATATACGTAGATTAATAAATAAGTATGTAAAACTATGTATTTTCGGTACTTTCTATACTGCGTGTTACATAAGGGTAAAATAATAGTACTACATTTTTGGTAAATTACGTAATGTATCTTTGACTTTTTGTTTAATTTTTTCGGTCAAGGCATGTTTAAATAAAATGGCCGCCTGTTGGAATTCGATGTCTTGATTTTTTGTAAATTGCCATTTTTAATTTAAATTTCTTTTTATAGGGCATACTTAGAGTTTTCTTTATTTTTTAAAAATATAATATGCGCATTAATAATATTTTGAATGAGTAGGTTTTTTGTATTTAAGTTTTAAATAGGTAGGTTCATTAGGAATTTTATTACGTATTTTTTTTATTTAAGATTCCTACATATTTATGTTTCAGCATTTTTGTAATGATTTCTGATATTGGTATTTTAAAATATATTTCTCTTTTAAAGCGCGTTGTGTAATATTACATGTTAAAAAATAGTATTAATGTTGACAAACGATTTTTGCTAATTCAGTATTAGTTGTAAATTTGCATTGAAGAAATAAATCAATTGTTACTGAATTTTTATAAAAATTAAAATATTTCGAAAACAGTAAGTACCTATGATTATTTTGAGGTAAATTTTGACCGAATGTTTTTTGTCTTCATAGTAGAAACTAAAAATGTAATAAAATATATAGGATGTCTCATTGTTAAAAAAAATATAACTTTAATATTTTTTATTTATTTGAAACACTGTAGGTTTAACTTTTAGCTCTAAATAATATGTTACAACTCTAAAAACTTCTTGTGTATTTTTATTTCTTTATGTGTTACATCATGGAAAAATTCTTTGGATTTTGACCATATTCATCAAATTTATATCCCTTTTTTCCCTAGATCATATAACATCTTTATATTTTTGACATTTTTGGTATAATAATCAAGGAAAAATCTTGTAAAATATTGCTGAGGTATAAATGGAGCATCTTTTTTTTTCATTTAAAATAAATATACCTATTTATATATTGTCGTAATATTTTTATAGGTGTTCGATAATATTTTTATAGGTATCCCAATATTTTTTCTTTTTTTAGGCGCGTTATATTAATACTACAACACCACACACTCCTTTCCCACTCACACGAGCATTGCTAGCTCTCTGTGTTGGTTAATAAAATTTCCTAATTCAACATTAGTGAATTTCGTTAGCTGATGCAGTTGGTTAACAGTGTTTTTGTCGGTGTGGATTCCCGAGCTTAAGATGACTCCAGAGCGCGGCGCGGCCTTCCCCAAGAGAGGAGACTTCTTGGGTCACCCCCAACCCTGATGTTCGGGCATCGATGACCTGTGTAGCATGCAGAGGTACCCAAAGGGAGTCACCACCCTCTGGTTTACGAGCTAGGTGTTCTAACGCTAGAGGCTTCGGCCGGATACGACCTGGCACCCAAGCTCCGAGATTTCTTCGTGCACGTATTCCGTGACCCTCGAAGAGGCAGGGGCGGGATATCGGACACATTGAAGATGATGAGGGGGTCCGCCTGTAGGGGGTCCTGGTGGATGTCCGTCCGACGGGTGACGAGGGTGACCCCAGACGAGGCGGCTTAATTGGGATGGGAACTGACTGGTGAGGCTTAATCGTCGACCAATGGGTCGAATCTGCATAAGGAAGGCAACCAGCACACACTCGCAGGCGGGTCGTGGAAACATCTTTTTGTTTTTTCTCTTGGTCTGCCCCGCGTCGAATTTTGAAGGCAGAAAATGTCGGTAGGAGGCGAGCATATCCAGGCCTAACTTAAACCTGTTAAAAGTAAGTCTAATTTTTTTATATTACTTTCTTTAAATTGTAAACTTTTACTGTACTCTCTACCAAATAACTTTTTTATTGCACCATATAGCAGTCAAAATTCTTTTTATATAAGTGTTGTATATTTTAGTTTTTTTGTTACATACATGAGCTTCAATTTAAAGTAGAATAACTTGTATAGTAATTAGAGCAACTTTTTTAAAACTTATAGTAGATATAAGTTTAAATTCTAATTTAACTTATAGTTACTTATATAACTAATTTTTTTTTAATTTTTTAGGACAACCCGGGTTCGCAGCGCGATTTTAAAAAACAAGATTGAAGAAGTCAGAAATTTTATCTACATGCTGCATATGATCAGTCCCAAAAAATTTCGGATTGTTCCAGGTACCGTCGAATACCTGGACAACGTGTTTATTGTCAACTCTACAGGATCGACCGAGGTCCATGGAGTTGGGGGCATTCGATGTGCCCCATAGCAGTGAGACGCCACTGTTTTTTTCGCCGTATAATTATTATGGTGGGACTGAAAATGAACTTAAGCAAGATATGATGGTGAGTTTTTATATTTTTACATTGTTTTTTTTTTGTTGTCTATATCTTCTTTTTTGTTTCTTCTAGCATATGTATTTGTTAGAAATATTCTAATATTTCTTTTCTCTTACAGGTGATACAGTATGGCTTGGAGAACTTCAAAAGTCGGTTCGCGTCGTGGTTCCAAAGCAGTAACTTTAGGTTCCCTACATTTACAGAATGTTGCATTAAGTACTCATTTTTTAATTTGCAATTTTTATATTTCATTTTTACTTTTTTTCTTACTCTATACAAGGCTTTAATATAAAGTTTTTTTAGCAATAATAAATGGGTAATAAAAAAATAACTCCAAAGAGACAAAATTAGGTAGCATATTGTTTTTCTATTATATTTTCGTCTTATTTTAAAATTGGTAATATTTAATTTTTTTAATAGTAATTTTTAATTAAACTTAAATTAGAATAATGTAATTTTACATTATAATGAGAATTAAAGTATTAGTAATTTATTTTTGTTACTAAAATTAAATTTAGCTGCATAAATCTTTTTAGTACTAAACTGCTTTGGAATGAATTTTTTTGGGGGACAACAGCAAGATTAGAGCCATCTTCTAGATGCCATCAGGTAAATTTATATAACTTTATATTTTTCTCTGACTAAAAAAAGTGTTTTTCTTTTTTTAGGTAGGTGCGCTAGCGTAGTCGTTTGTTGTAGCATTATATCCCTTTCCCCCTTTTTAAAAAATGTTTGTAAGACGCCTGAAATTTGTATAAGTTAGTTATATAAGTAGTTGAATAAGAATTGGTGAGACTTGGAAAATAGAAGAGGGCAGAGAAGATGGAAGAGGATTGCTTTGAAATAGAAGGAGAGGAGATAGAAGATGTTTGAGGAAAGGAGGAGGATTTTGTTCGCTGTGACGGAAGTTTTTTGAATGAAATTTGGAGCAACTGTATTAAGGTAATTTTTTTCATCTAGTTACAAAAAAATGAATACTTATCACAACTTTTATTTATTTATAGATGTTATTGGTATCTTGGACATCAAGTTTCATTTATTTATGTATTAATCAAGCATATCTATTGGTGGAAATGTAGAATAGCAGATGTTATAACAACTTGGATGAATTATCAGAAACACCCAAGAAGTTTTGACATAATTTATACTGGGAAAAGGCTCACAAATGACCAATTTATTCTACAGTAGATACAGGACATTAAATTGACTTCAACATCGCAGATATTTCTCAAAAAATGGTAAGTTTTTTCACATTATTTTCTTTCCTATTAAAGTTTTTGGGAAGCTTGAAAGTTATGACATATTTTACACGTAATATGTATATTTTAATAACTTTTTAATTTTTTTTTAAATTTATTAGGAGAATTTTTTTATTCAAATCAACTTAATTTTATATTTTGCCTATCTATATTGATATTACAATGTTTTCTTATTTATTTTAATTTTCTACATTGATACAAATTAATATACTTACTAATATTTGTTTATTTTTAGATATCGGTTCGAGTGATGTACTGGGCGTTAACAGTTGCTGTTACAAATCTGCAGATGAGTTAGAACCTGTTAGAACTGTACATAAGTTTGATGAATGCCGGAGGAATTTTTTGAATGGAATGATACTGAAAATCTTACCTACAAATGACAATTTCAAGATACAATCAATAGTACTTAGATTGATTGGCCTTCATTACCATTGCGCTATGAAAATGGTAAGTTATTTTTATTTTTTTTATTATTTTTTAAGGCTACAATTTTTGTATTTAACTACAAAATTGTAGGCTTCAAATTCAAAATAAAATAAGTTTGAGATTGAAAATAAAATATATTTTTTTTCAATCTTTGTAGTTATTTACAAATTTGTATCAGACAATTTTAATTTTATTTAGTATGTTTTCTTTTTGTAAAAGTCTATAAATATTTGACAATATTTTAAAGAGTTACTATTGCGTTTATTTTTTTAATATCTACCTAACATATTAAAAAAACATATTTTTTTATTCCAAAATGTGTGAAGCAACTGACTTTATAAAAATTTACTTATTTATTTTTTGTATTTTTAGTAAGCAATACAAATTGGTATTAATGGACGTTTTGACAGCTGTTTCCAAACCAAGTTCCAGTTTTAATGGATAATCTTTAATGAACACAGAAAAATGACATTCACTGGATTGACTTAAACACCTGTTGCCTTTTAATAATGGTAAGTTATGCCTCTCAACTTATTCTTATAAAATTTAAAAATCTTATAAAAATATTAAATTTTCCATCGTATTCAATTAAACCATTAAAACAATAATAAAAAGGCAGGACAAAATAAAATACAGACACTGTATTACTGGTTGCATATCAGCGACCTTGGAAAAAAATGCAGTTTTTAAATCTGGTTTTAATAATTATTAAAATTTCCACTAAGATAAGCACAATAAAATTACGGTATGGAAAATATAAGTTGATTTTTTTTATTTTGATATTTTTAGTACAGCAGATATCTTATTTATATTTTTTTCGATCGTTAAAACCGCTAATATTAATATAAAAATTATAACTATTTTTTATTAGAGTCGGTTTAAGATCTTTATTGTTTGAGACTTATTTAAATTGGTATAATAGCCATACATTTATGATTTGACGTAGTTCTAAACAAGTTCTAAATATTAATATCTTTTTTTTTGTTTTTAAAAATCTTTAAAAATTGAGTCATTAAAAAATTACTTAATACTTTTTTTGAATTTTAGGTATACAACGGGACAATTGGTGTTAGAAGTCAACAAGTAGTACTAATTGCAAATAATATATTATGGCGGACATCAAAAAGCTTTAAATGGAATGAAGCAGAAAAAGACTCAGAAAGTCCATTTAGAACTCTGTACTTAATAGTTGTTAGAGTGGATGCAGTCCTTCATCAATGGTAAGTTATTCAGGCGTCTATATAAATGCAAAACCTGACAAGTCCATTGAAATCAATTTTACAGAATAGACTAAAAATTATTTAAAATATTATGAATAGTAGAAAGAATAATAAATCTACAGGGCTGAATTTATCTGGTGTATTATTTCTTGAAAATATCTTGCATGAAAATGTAATTCAGAGTTTCTCTTGGGATAACCAATTAAATGGTGTATAGATCTCAATTTTCCAAAATGTGTCACTTGTCGGGTTTTGCATTTAGACGTCTAGTTTATTTATTTAATTTTTTTATTAAATTTCTTTGACAAGGTTGAAAATTATGATAAATTTAGTATGAACAAACTGACGTCATAATTATTTTTATTATTTAATTTTTATTTGTACTTTTAGTGAGCTGAACAAATTGATGGTAATGGACATTTTGACAGCTGCTGTCACAACTCAACGAACAAGTTGCAGCTTTGAAGGAAAATTTTTGATTGGATACAGAAAAATGTCAGTCGTTTCAGGATGTAAAGTTAATAGAACCAGGGTTGGGCTCGATATTTGTTGCCTTTTAATAATGGTAAGTTATTTTGATCATTTTATTTACAGAGATTTTCATACAACTGGTTCATTAAAAAATTTTCAAGGTATATATTTTTCTAAGTCTATAACTAGTTTAATTTAGACTAAATTTCATCTTAAAATACTTTTAATGGGCTAGTTACGTGAAATACTCTCTAATTATTTTTATGAATTGGCATTGATAAGCTTGAAAATTCTGTAAAATTATTAAATTTTGTAAAATATTCATACTTTGCAGTTTGTACAGTGTTAGCTTTAGTTTTATTATTAGCTTTCGTTAGTTTTATTTTGCCCTAAATTTAACAGGTTTTAACTTTTTTTTATTTTGGAAGCTAGAATTTTCATTGAAAAAAAAAAGAAATTAGAAGGTTTTAATGGTTTTAATGATTTTTTTTTTGTATATTATTTTTGTCTATTTTTTAAATTTACAGGGTAATAACATAACATACATAATAACAATAAAATGTATTAAAACTTGACAGGAAAGCCTATAATTTGTTTTTTTTTAACGAATGTTCTAGCTCAAAAAATAAAAAAGTTAATTGAACAATGCAAAGAGTGTATTACTGGTTGCATAGCCTTGTTTTAATTATTAAAGTTACCACCAAAATAAATGTAATAATTTACAAGTTATTGCTAAATATTTTTTATATATATATCTAGTAAATTAGATCTTTAATTTTTTGGTCATTAATAACTCGCTATTACTTTCATATCAAGGAAATTTACAATTTTTATATTATTTCTGAAGTTATCAATAAAAGTCTTTCTTTTAATTTTGTATAACTCTTTATAACTTCTTCAAATTAATATTAACAAAATGAGTATTATTTATTTGTTATTTTAGATAGTTTCAAATATTAAGAAAATTTATGTTATTGTCTGTTTTCTGATAGCTTCTTCAAAAATTGCTATAATAAAAATTACCTAATATATATTTTTTTATTTAGGTATAAGAAAAGACAATTGCTATTTAAAACAAATAAATTTTAAAACAAATAAGTTCTACTAGCTGCAACTAATGGTGGTCATAAAAGAAATTTAAATGAAATGGGAGAGAAACTTGTGCAGAAGAAATCGAGGAAAACCATTTTGAACTACTGTTACTTAATAGCTCTTAGAGGGGATCCAGTTCTTCATCAATGGTAAGTTATTTTTCTATCTTTTATAAAATTTCATTGGACAGCTTGAAAATTTTTAAAATTTTCTAATATTCGAGCGCTTTTCTTCCAATATTAGAAAAGCCAACAACTGTTAAAAATAGGCAGGACGAAATAAAATGCTGATACTGTATTACTGGTTGCATATTATTACGGATTCTGTGGGTCCACTAATTTAAACTCACTATAAAATACTTAACGGATTTATTTTCGCACTTAATAAAAATATAAAATATTAAAAATATAATTAAATTTTTGAATTCATTCAAATAACTCTGTTTAGTATTAAACGACATTATGGAGCGTAGAAATCTTATACTGATTACAACACACAATTAACTATTTAAAAAAATCCTTCGCCAAATTGTCAACATTCGCTATTCAAAACTACACACACCGGAAAAATCTAGGGATATCATTTTATTAAAGTTAAAAATGAATGTTTTGAATAAACAACCACATATTTGTAGGCCGATTCTTTCTACTTCGATTGAAACCAAGTAGTCACACTAGTTATTTCTAAATTTGGGATATTTGCAGAAGTGTTTGTGCATTTTGTGTCAAATGTATAAAAAGCACCTAGCAACAATTGTTCGAATTTAACCTGTACTGGCTATGTTTTTTATGATAACTGGCCAAATTCATTCAAATAACTCTGTTTAGTATTAAACTACATTATGGAGCGTAGACATCTTAACAGAGACGAAATGCTAAGGGCCATGGGTATGCTCGAAGCTGGAATGCGCCAAATCAACGTAGCTAGAGCATTAAATACAAGGCAAGGTGTAATATCGCGATTAAGTGCACGCTACCGTGAAAGTGGTGATGTTGCAGAAAGGCACACAGGGCGACATCGCATTACTACCCCTCAGGAAGATCATTTTTTACAATTAAATGATCGACGCCGACCGACTCTTACAGCACCAGAGCTTAGTTTAATTCTCCAGGAAACACATAATGTAACCGTTAGTCTGACACTGTTCGCAATAGATTAAGAGAGGTCAACTTAAGAAGCAGACGCCCCTGGAGAGCTCAACCCTTAACGAGAGGAAATCGAGAAGTACGATATTTGTGGGCTCAAGATCATGTTCAGTGGTCGAATGAACAATGGGCCAATGTTCTCTTCACGGATGAGTCACGCTTTGGAATTCATCCGGATTCGAGAAGGCTTAGGGTATGGAGAGAACCGGGACATTTTATTCGGTTGGATCATGTTCAGGAAGTGCACCCTTATCAAGATGGAACAGTTATGGTCTGGGGAGGAGTCCAGTTAGGCCGAAAAACCGATCTCGTTTTTCTTGAAAGGTTTCTAACAGGAATCACATATCGTGCTTTAATTCTTGAGCCTGTCGTGTTACCACATGCCAATGATTTTGGGAGAAACTTCATTCTCATGCATGACAATGCACGGCCTCATACGGCCAGAGCGGGAAGTGAGTTTATCAATGCTCATCAATTAAACATCTTACCCTGGCCGGCACAATCTCCTGACCTCAACCCCATCGAGCACGTATGGGACGCGGTCCAAAGAAGAATTTTGAGAATGGGTATGCCTCGTGAAACTCGTAGGGATCTTGTTCGGGCCGTGAATGCAGCGTGGCAGGCTGTACCTCAAGAAGAGATCGACAACGTGATCAGGAGCATGGAGAGACGATGTAGAGCTGTAATGAACAGTAGAGGACGTCATACCCTTTATTAAGTAAAAATGGTTTTATCTTTTTTTTTAATTCACAGTTTAGAATAAAAAAAAATGTGTGTATTTTTTGAGTTCAATAAAAATGAAGGTAAATTTGAAAAATTCCGTAAATTTCGCATTTTTATTTCCAATACGTCCTGTAAACTATTTGTTTATTTTAATTTTATTATATCAGAAATGCAAATAATAAAATTATGACGATGGCGGGATAAAATTGTAATATCCCTAGACTTTTCCGGTGTGTGTATTTGGTTTAAAATTACAGACGATATATTAATGTTCCCACTAGAATAAACGCAGTAAATATCTATGTCGTAGTCTCTTAGTGTATTCCGTCTTTTCACGAAGAGCCTAGTCACTTAATGAAAAAAACTAACCTAACAACATAACTAGCTTGCTAATCTAACCGACGCTTCATGAAGTGACTAGGATCTTCACGAAAAGACGGAATACACTATGTGACTACGACATATACATTATTTTAAGAAATATAATTTTAATTAATCTTTTTTGTTTTGTTTTTATTAATCTTGTTTTCAGAAATCTTCCAAAATTAGTATAGTAAAAATTTACTTAATATTTTTTTGGAATTTTAGGTATACGCTACAATCCGTACTATCTGCAAATATTATGGTGGACATCAAAAAGCTTTAAATGGAATGAAACTTGCAGGAAAAGACTCAGAAAACCCATTTAGAACTGTACTTAACAGCTGTTGAAAAGTGGTCGCAGTCCTTTATCAACGGTAAGTTATTTATCTCTTTTTGCTTACTAAATTTCATCGACAAGCTTGAAAATTATGATACGTTTTCATAATATTCAAGCTGCACAGGTCTCTGAGATCAACGTCTATTCCTATATGTCATTTATTAAAAATTGATATAAAAACTTGTCAAAAATAATATTTAAATGACAAAAAAAGAAAAGGTTTCAAACATACTAATTATTAATCAAACGTGAAAACCTTAATTTAAAAAAATATGAGCTCTGAATTTTTTTAACATTTCATTCTTTCATTAAATTTTTATACCAATTTTTTTTAAATGATATATTGTGGTCTACCTGGCAGAAATAATTGTCAGAATCAATTGTTATTTCAAAAGCCACTATATAATGCTGGTTTTTTTTCTCATAGGGTATATACAAATTATTAATTTAAAAAACGTAGTTATTACATTAATAAAAATGTATTTATTTTAATTTTTACATAGATCGTTTTATGCCTTTTTTTAATATTATTTTTATTTTATTTTTTAGATATCTCTGCATTTTCTTAACAATGGATGTCCCCAACAGTTGCTCCTACTTCCTCACTTTCCTCTTTCACTCGACATAAAGCAGACTCAATACTCCTCAATGCCTCACCAAGGTTCGTTAGCTTCATGAATATTGTTATTGTTTCAATAAATTTGTTTATTGGTTTTTATCCTCTTACTATATAATTACATCAGGCGTCATTTTAATGTTAATTTTTTGTAAAATTTTGATAATCTGGATAGAAACCTTTATTTTTTCTTAAGCATTTGCAATTTAAAACACTAGTTAAGAGCAATACATTTTATGAATAGGACCATTGTCCCTGTTGATATTGTCTTTATATTTATGCTTTGTGTTGCCTCTAATTTGAGGGATGTTTGATTAATTTTAAATCGTTCAAATCAATGCAATAATCTTTATGGAGGATATGTTGAGCAACATAATACTAATCTGTTATAATTTTTCATTTCAAGCTTTTTTTCAATCTCACCTATCTTATATTTAACTTCCATTAGTTCAATCATTAAATTGTTATTAAATAAAACTATATTGTATTCTGGATTTCGTCAAAGCTTTTTTTAAAAGATTTAAAAAACAATCTTTACAGGCTTGTATCATTTCCAAGTTATTTTATCTTTTATATAATTATATAACTAACTTCTTAATTATATAACTAAACTTCTCTAAGTTTATTCCAGATTATCAAAATTATAATTTTTATACTTGCGCATCTGCGTCACTATAGCCGTATGAACACAAGTATTATTTCGGTTTTAAAGTTTATATTTTTTAATATTTCATTTATTGTATTAACGCAAAACTAAATTTTATAGAATTTAACTAACTATATCTTCAACCGGATGATAATTTAATAGTTAATGGTCATTTAATATTTTTTCATAAACCTTAAATGTGATTATTGAATACCAATGTTAAGCAAGTAGAAATGATTTATTAGTGTTTATTTTTTTAAAATATTTTTTTTATTAAATCAATTTTGGATACTTGTGTTCATATAGTTTTTTTTTGCTTTTGAGAATTATTTTTGGTACCCTAACACAGATTTTTTAATCAATTTATATGATTTTAAAATATGTTTATATCTATTTTGTATTTAAATTTTAGCGATAAAGTTTGTTTCTTTAACACAGAGAGCAATGCACTTCATGCATTGTTTTCTTTTTTATGTGCAGAATTCTCTTTATATACAGTATGTCCTCAGAACGTCTTTACAAGAGCAAAAGCTTTTTTTTGAACATTTTCATAAAAAATACATTTCTTATAAAAATATTTTTCTTTTTAATATTTTCATCTTAATTTATTTAACAAATATATTGTGTGAGCATATTCGTAGATATACTGTGCGATTCAAGTATATTTATACTAAAATTGTTTTTTTTTTAAATGCAATAAAAGTAATCCAATCAAAATTGCATAAATTAGTTGTTTTAGAAGAGTTCAATTGAAAATAAATACATGAATTTTAACCTTTAGTATTACTGGTTGCCTAATCGATTCTTATGTAATGTTGTGGTAATGTTCTTATTATTTAAAAAAATCTTATTTCCAGTAGTAATTTTTTCTCTCAATTTTAGTATTTAAAATGTCTCTGAAAAATACAAACTGATGTTTGCTATGTGTTAATAAAATCGTTACACTTGCGTTTAAGATAATTAATTACTGCTATATAATTTTTTTATAAAATATGAAACAAACTTTATCTCTTAAAATTTATGAATTTTACATATGAAAATGGTCTGCTAGGGTATATAATATATTTATTGTAGGATCAATTGAAATATCATAAGCCATGATATAAAAATTAACACTTGTATATACATATTTGTTAAATATATAATTTTAAGATAAAACACATTTTTACACAAAAATAATAATTCTAGTTTTATATGTGGCATATCGTTTTTCAGTTGGTCCTTCAACATTTAAAATCTTTTGGCATAGAATTCATTCCACTTAAATGTCCCAAAAAGATATATTTTAATACCAGTTTTGTATGTTATTTGGTGTATTAGAATTTTATAAATATTGTTTTTAATATTTTGTTAATAATAGTGATCTATAGCTTACCTTTGCTATCTGTAATAGGAAATATTTCTAAATATTTTTGTTGAAAAATGAATATTACTTTTATAACATTTATTAAGCAAAATAAATTTGAAGATCCCTATTATTATCAAAGAGATATCATTAAAGTATTTCAATGCAATATTTTTTTTTTTCAAACGTCACAAAACTCTTAATTTTTGCGACATGACAACAAAGATTGACATATAAAAAAAGTAATTTTTACGCTTTTGCGCGCTTAAACAAAGGCTTAAACACAAAAGAGTGCAAAATTATTATTAAACTGACAAATTTAACAAAAGCGTAACCATAGTTTCTCGATATATAATTACTTACAACATAGCAACGTTTGAAATTGTTTAAAACATTATTTGTGACGTTTGAAAAAAGAACATGTTCTGTTCGGAGTAAAAATGACTTTTAGTGTCTCGTCGCAAAAAGTATCATTTTTGCTCCTTATAAAATAATATACCGTATGATCGAAAAAAAAAACAGCGTCCAGTTGGCTTGGAAATGAACATCAATTACATTTCCCATATAATTTTATATATAAAATTACAGCGATCTTCATTTCATAGCCATCGCCGACGCCATTTTTATTCGATAATGTACTATTTCTGTACAAATGTTATCTGTTTTCTATATAATATTATTGTGATCTATTGCTGTATTTTTGTTATAAAATTGCTTTGAATACATCTATATTTTGTAACCGTTTTAGAGGTTCCGAGCACTATGTTTACAGTCATTTCTTTTTTCATTTTAAATATTTTTTTGTCGCGTCTAATAATTAATCAGCTAATTAAGAGTCTTTTTTTAGTAGGTAAAAAAGAATAATTTATATTACCACAGAGTGGCCCAATGTTACAAAAATAATCATGTTAGGTCTTCACTTTGAAATTTTCACTAAATTTTTTTTTATAAAACATACGGGTTACAGTAGATCATGTTTTAAAGTCAGTTCGTAGAAATACACAGGGTGTTTTTAATATATTTTTGCTTTATATTGGTAGTATTTAAATGCAATGTTATTCAAATTTTAATTCTATTGTTATTTTAGATTTTTCCTGTACATTTTTAAAGCTTTCACAAATTTATAAAGTCGTATTTTTTTTAATTGAAAATCTACATATATAAAATGCTAATGTTTATCTGTGTCGTCTCTACTGAAGTAACGACTTGCTCTAGAAAGTTGCTTTTTTTACTAAAAGATAGCTAATTGGCTCTTCTAAAAACTGTCGTCGCCGGATTTTTTGTTTTTCATTTAATTATAAAAAGATAATTAAATTATAATTTTTTTTCTGATGGCGGATGCGCCAGGATTCAACTAGTATTTTATATAACAAGATCAAAACAAATTATACTAAAATACTTTATATGTTGGTAACTAAATATAATATAATGTCTTTCTCTGCTATTTAAATAAAACACTCTTAATTTTATAATAATATACTTTATAAATAACAAAATTGTGGCATTGTTAATATTTAGAAATTAAATATATCCAGATATTTGAAAATAGAATATATTAAAAAAATTATGCTTAAATTATTACTACTTCAAATTACTAGATTACATTAAATAACATTCTTATGAGTTGATACTGTTGTTTTGTATGCATCTGGCAAGCTTTTTCTGGAATAATTTATTTAATTAGCACTTATCAATTATCTGAACTAATTTTAAGGCTGTAAACTGTAGTTTTGGAATCTTTAAATATTTAGTCAGTGATGGGATTAAGATTTGTAATTGTGTAATGATTAATCCACCACTGTACTCCAATAGAAAATTGCGTAAATTAATTATATAAAGCTCATTTTACATAGAAAAATCCTCTGAAAATATTTATCTCAATTTCTTTAAATTTTAGTATAACTGGTTGCCTAATCGATTCTTGCTCATTCAAACACCTTAAAAGTTAAAAATTGTACAATAATTAATATATTTGTTTATTGCTTTCTAAGTAAGTATTACTTTCAAATTTCAATTAAATCGTTTAAATTACTACAGGGTGGCTCAGTGTTAAATAAACTAGGTGTTCTATTTGAGATTTTCACTTCAATCTTTTTATTACAAAACATGCCGGTAATATTAGAGCACCATATTAAAGCCATTTAAAATTTCAGTTAACTAGAAGTTTACCATGTTATTTGTTTATTTATTTATTAACTATTCACTTCAATTTTTTTTGTATAATTTTATTTCATGCGATGAGCGATTAATTAATTTATGCAATTTTTAATTTTATATTAGTTTAAATGGAAAATAAACAACAAACCCTATAAAAACTTCCATTGTTAAAATGTTCCAAATGTATTTGTCACTTCCTCGTGAGTGTATTTTCCGTCATTTGATCATTTCCACTTTGTGTGCTTTATTGGAAGTATTGGCGCTTGCTATGAAAAGTTTATCAATCAATAATGTTGCACAGACTTCCATCTCGCTCATTAGTAAGGATAGGTCATTGCGATTTTTATAAACTTGATTTTTATGAAAAATAAAATTGCCACAGTCCCCTTTTAGTTTCTATGATACAGGGTGATTTTGAAAATGTTACAGTTTCAGATACATCTCCTATTTCAGTAGTCTGACAACATATCAATACATTTCAAAACATATTGCTATGGAACTTCTTTTTTAATTTCTTTAAATAATTTAAATAGTTTTTTTTAAATATCGACCAATGTTTAGTTTCTATTAATGGGACAGCCCGTATATTTGTCAGGAAATTAGTGTATCTTCTCACAAGCCACCATAAGTCACAGTTTTTAATTAGAGGTAAAACAGTTTAATACAAATTTTTTTATATCCTATCTCATTGTTCTTAGTATTTGTATTTTTAGTTCTTTATTGTTTAAACTTTTCATTTAAAAATTAAATAGATCAAAATTGGTTTCGCCAATTAAAAGTTAGTTGAATAAAAAAGTAGTTAATCCTATGTAACTTTTTATTTGTATTATTTTAAAATTATTAATTCTGCAGCTTTTAACTAAAATATACTGTTACATGTATTTTAAAAGCTTGTAAAGGAGGAAGATTATTTT